GGTCCCAGTAGTTCAACTCCCTGCAATGCAATGTATACCCTGGCCATATGCATGACATATTGGATGCTGCTGATGATAATGCTGATTAGAAATGAAGTTGTGTCCCTGGCATACATACGTCATCATTAACCCATCCCATCCCCCATCCCCCATTTCTTATGGTTGGCTGTCTGTGTAAAACCAGCAAGCTGAGCAAAGATATGCTCCGGACAAATCATCACATGGGGCCTGTGACATGAGGCATGGCGCATGTTCTGAATAGTAGCCAAGGATTGGTGGCTTCAGTCTCCGGCACACTCGTTTGTCCAATCCTATGACAAAGAGAGCCAGAACCAAATTATACAAATTAAGCAAATGTAAATTTCCTTCAATCATTCAGGCTGCAGAATTCAGTTTTTTCTTTGCACAGAATTTAGGTTTAATGCAGAACGTGGGTGATGGATGCATTTTCAAAGCCTAGAACTCAGCTTGCAGGCCAGTGCTGAACTATGTGGCATATACTTTAGGCAACACTGGTGATGGTTTGGAATCTGAGGCAGAGCTCTGCTAGTAATGGGAATACATAAAACGGCATCACCCTCGGACTTTCCACCGCTCTGTTTGGTAGAAAGTTATTTCAGATACCTCACTGTATCTCATGAGCATATCATGAGAACAACTGTTATCCCTCAGGCAGATTTATATTTGGAAACTCTGAAGGGGGTCGTGCGCCTTACACTGTTCTCCAATGTGCTGTTTACTACCTTGAAAACATCAGCAGCAATTCATCACCTCTGGAGATGAATCAGCCAGCCTCTGAGAGCGAGAGGAGCAGATACAGGCCAGAGAAGCAGAGGCAGTTCTCAGAATCTGTTTTCTTGTAAAGGCTGAGGAGGGAGAGAAGGGCCGGGGTGCAAACTGTGAATACACGAAGTGACACCTCAGACGGCAGCAGTAGCAGCCAGGCATCAAAGCCAAGATTAGGCGCATGTCCAAATGCAACCCTGATAAGACACATGGCTGCACGTTGACTTAAAAAGGGCAACAGCTGAGGCACCACAGAGACTTCCTTATGGGTGAATAAAGGAGGGATAATACATTCCTCTCTTCAAAGGGTGTGCTGGGACCTTGGGTGTCCATGGGAGGGGGCAAGAGGGGCAGTTTCTTCCCCCCAGTTAAACTGGACCTCCCAGGTTCCCAACTTTCATTAAAAGAGAGAGAGAGTTTTTAGCATTTTTGGAACCTCAACGTATCAGGCAAAATGTACTGTCACTATTCTTATTTTTGCATGTGAGAAACTACTGGCAGTCTGCTTTCCCTTTCAGTATTCCAATTTGGCCCCCCACACTGGAAAAATCCATGTAGGTGCCCATGGCTGGGCCCCGGCAATGGGGACAGATCCACACCATGCATTCAAAACAAATCTAATGCACATTTAAAGCACATTACTCCCCACTTCCCAAGAATCGAGTGGATCTGTCCTCGGTTGCTCAGCAGGCATTGGCACAATCTCACTGGTGCCATTTTCTCTCTGTTTCTTTTAGCTTTCTGGAGAGAATAGGGACATCATGATGATGATGTGACTTCTACATTCCAGGCTGGGGGTAGTGGGTAGGACCTGAAAGGCTGAAGATTGCTCCTGCTTTTATTAAATCCAGCGCTGGCCTAAGACATTTTCCTGCATGAAGCAGAGCCCAAATTGCTGCACTGCTCAGACACCAAGAAGGAGGGACAGGCCTCCTTCTTGCTGCCCAAAGCGAGTCATTTTGCTTGCTACATGGCAGGACTCAACAATGCAGTTAATCGGCTAAGGCTTTTAATTAAAAATTGACCCCTAATTAATCAGTGGACTTGACAAAGAAAGCTCTGCGCACTATACGAACGAACCACTTTCCAGCCCTAGATTTGATGAGAAAGCAGTCAATGTTTGTCCACTCTGCTCCAGTTTCTGTGTAAAGCTAAGAGCAAAATTTGGCCTTTTCTGTCCTACTTTGTGAAGCACAGGCTACCAAATCAGACAGTGCTCAGTCACGCCAACTTGCGTAGGTCAAAATATCAAATGATGGGCTCAGCCACAGATAAGAGATTTATCAGTTTGCTAATGTTTTGCCCAGCAAAGTGCCTGAAATAGCATTGCTCTCGTTGCCCAGATAACCTCCAGTCAGAAGGCTGAACTCTTCTAATTTCATACATGGAGTACGTGACTCTTGTCAAGGTGTTGGTAGGCAAGTGGACCAGGAGCTCCAAAATGGCGGGGCAAGTGGAGGAGGGAATTCTGCTGAGGTCTCTTTCTCCACTTGTAATGACTGAGTGTGCAGCTGATCCCAGAGGCTGCAAGCCTTGGATGGCTTATTCTGATGCAGCAGAATGAAGATTTGCGTTACATTTTCCTAACCATATGTAACTGAGGAAGAAGAGTGAACAGATAGCCCTGTACCAGTGCTCTTAGTCTGGCACAGAAGAAGAGTTTGGATTTGATATCCCGCTTTATCACAAGGAGTCTCAAAGCGGCTAACATTCTCTTTTCCCTTCCTCCCCCACAACAAACACTGTGAGGTGAGTGGGGCTGAGAGACTTCAGAGAAATGTGAGTGGCCCAAAGTCACCCAGCAGCTGCATGTGGAGGAGCGGAGACCCAAACCCGGTTCACCAGATTACGAGTCTACCGCTCTTAACCACTACACCACACTGGCTCAGAATAGGAAAGAGCGTGACTGGGAATACGGTCCGTACGAAGACATGTTACACACTGGTAAATTTCATCACTTTGGGCACTGAGTGAGCTCTGAGTACTTTGAAACAAAATAAGGGAATTGGAGCAATAGCTGCCTCATTTAATCTCTCTGTGCTCTGCTGCTTTGAGACCTTTCCCACTCAGGCCTAGATGACTTAAATCGTCTTCTTTTTAAACAACCATGAAAAGCTGCTCCAAACTAATGACATCTTATCGCATGAGCACTACTGTGCGCATTGTTCATGGAAAGAAATAGACCTGAAGCAACAGGCAACAATATCAGCAACGTGATATTCCTTAAAAGACAATTTGGTAACAACTTCTTGAAGAAGGTGGACATAAGAAACAATTTGTTAAAAATATTATTCCCTGCGTTTTATCTTCATTTCGGCCAGTGGACTGAAACTACCGCTGGTTTTGATTATATCTCCACCCTCACTAAAGCCTCAAGATACAGTGTTTACAGATCTCTCCACCCACCTCTTTTTCCTCCAGTCACTACTGATGTCCCTAAATTTCCCTTCAGCGAAGTGTGTAAAATCTGCACTGTAGACTCTCCAAATATTTGTCTGGCATTTCAAAATGTTGTTTAGAAGAAGAAGATGTTGACGTATCACATCAAAAAAATTCCAAGTAGAGCCTGGTAGTTATAATATCTAAGTATCTGGGAGTATTTTGTAGCTGAGATGTCTGCTCTGGAAGTGATGCAAGAAATTGCTAGCTAGGATTAGGCATTAAGTCTTGCACAAGAAATCATTTTAGCAAGGTCATTCGAGAGAAAGGCCGATAGCATCTAATAGGAACCAGCTGCTTTTCATTTAAAATTGAGCCCCTGATAACAGCATTCCAAAAACATGTTGCACATGGCAAAGAATGTGGAGCTGGGCTTGTGTCTTCCACCATGGAAGATACACCATGCAGATTCTGGGGGCAGCAGCAGTGACAGACCTCTGGTTGTCCCTCATAAGCCCCCTTTTCCCTGCCATTTCGTACTCTCGGTCTGTCCTGTACTAGCTTGCTGCTTCAGGGCAATCCCCACCAAACCATTGCACAGTTTAAAAACTCTGCTACTCCATTCCACATGGTTGGATATTTTAGGCACATTTGTAAAAGTTCTGATTAACATCTCAGTCCGCAAAGCCTCTCCTCCTCCCAGAGGGGAGGTGTTGTGAGCGGGAGCCGTTCCCGCGTCAGCAAGGGGGCGTATTCAGCCCCCTGCTTCATTTTCCTGGCTGCTGTGCCGCGCCCATCAGGCCTGCCAATAGGGTTGGCTTGGGGGCGGGGTCTAGCCGCATTCAAGCGCCTCATTCTGTTTTGATATATAAATTGTTTGATCCAATGCCTAAGCCAATACCACTCACATGCTGTAACCAATAAAGTTGTGGCCTTCTGTAGCCCATTAACCTAAAATGCATGTGTCCTTGTGTCTTATTTACCCCTACATGGGTTGCGGGTCCTCGACTCACAACGGCTGTGCACACGCTACACCTTTAAAACACATTCAAAGCACATTCTTTCCCTCAGAGAATTATGGGCACCGTAGTTTGTTAAGGGTTGCTGGGTATTGTAACTCTGCGAAGGGGAAAACCGCAGGGCCCAGAATTCTCTGGGGGGAAGAATGTACTTTGAATGTGCTTCAAAGGTATAGTGTGTACACTGGAATCTCAGTACCTGCATTTCCAATGGCTCAGAGACCAGCGTGGACATTAGAACAATTGTGTCAGAGATGTAGGTACATGCTTACATTCAGTGATATTTTTTTCTAGAAAAAGAGGTTCACTCACCATGAACACTGCCCTCTTTCTCTCAGAATGGCAATGGCACCCACCTGAGAGGTGCCAGAACTCACCTGAGAGGTTATGCAGCTCACCTGAGAGGTGCCGGAACTGAGTTCTGCCGAGTTTCCACGGGGGAGGGGGAGCTGCTTACATTAGACATCATCATCATCATCATCATCATCATAATACAATTTATTTATACCCCGTCCTCCCTAGCCAAGACCAGGCTCAGGGCGGCTAATACCAAATATAAAAACAATTGATTGAAATACAGCTTAAAAAACAAGATTAAAATACAACATTAAGATTAGAATACAACATTAAAACATTAATGGCTGGCCTTAGGCAGGGGCACTATAAATCAGTTTGATTTATATTGCAGCAGGGGGACAGTCATGATCAGGAGTGCCATGAGGGGAAAAGGAAGTATTCAACACTTTACCCTCAGGCAGTGATCCCATTGAAAATTGCCTCCCATTAACATTTGGAGCCAGGGAAAGGGAGACTGCTCACCTGGTTGCAAGTCAGAGGCCAAATAGAAGCCTGGAAGCTGAGCAGCAATTGCACTTCCACCTTGAAGCAGAAGTGCAATGACTGGGTGCTGCTGAATCGTCCACCTCTGGAAGTAACCTGTGTGAATAGATAGATAAATACCGTACTTTTCTGTGAATAACACGCCCCCCATGTATAAGATGCCCCCTATTTTGGGGAACTACAATTTAAGAAAATGACCCAGAGTTGTGGAGCTTTTTTTTTTTTGCCAGAGGTTGTTGAGGTGGTTTTTTTTGGGGGGGGGGATGCAGTAAATCACTAACCCGACGGTTGCAATTGCTCGCACAGCTCACTGACAATCGCTCGAGTCTGCAACAAGCGTCTGCCCGATCACAAACGGCGGCAGGAAATAGCAAGTACAATTGCCACAGCGCCAACCAATCCACATCAGCCCTTGACACAGCAACCAATCAAAGACCCATTTAACGCAGCATCAGCCAATACAAAGCAACCCTTGCTGCAGCCACCAGTCACACACAAAATCGCCAATGACAATCTGCAGCTCGCGGCTGCAATCAATCACCCTTCACCCCTACCCACTGTCTGTGTATAAGACGCCCCCAGTTTTTAAACTTTATTTTATAGTAAAAGAAAAACCCCTCATCTTATACACGGAAAAGTACAGTAGATGATAGATCGATCGATCGATCGATCGATAGATAGATAGATAGATAGATGATAGATAGATAGATAGATAGATAGATGATAGATAGAGATAGATGATAGATAGATAGATAGACAGATAGATGATAGATGATAGATAGATAGATAGATAGATAGATAGATGATAGAGCCTAGGGGTTGCCGATCAGAAGGTTGGCAGTTTGAATCCCTGTGACGGGGTGAGCTCCTGTTGCTCAGTCCCTGCTCCTGCCAACCTAGCAGTTTGAAAGCACGTCAAAGCGCAAGTAGATCAATAGGTACCGCTCCGGCAGGAAGGTAAACGGCGTTTCCGTGTGCTGCTCTGGTTCGCCAGAAGCAGCTTAGTCAAGCTGGCCACATGACCCGGAAGCTGTACGCTGGATCCCTCGGCCAATAAAGCGAGATGAGCACCGCAACCCCAGAGTTGTCCGTGGCTGGACCTAATGGTCAGGGGTCCCTTTACCTTTACCTTTACCTTTTAGATAGATACTGGGTGGTATCCAACTAAACAGTTTCCATAGTGCAATGAGATTCAGCTGTACAAGGAACTTCTCCACTCTCATCCCCCCCCAATGCCCCCTGTGCTATTCCTATATCTGCTCTAGGGATTTCCCCAACTCTCCAGAGCAGGGATGTGCAGGGGGAGGAGAAGGTGGGGATGTTCCATTGCCCGGTTAAAACTCTTTGTGGAGCAGTCTAGTTGGATACCCAAGGTGGCATGCATCAGCTAATCAATAACCCGAAAATGTATGTGTACTGAGCAATCTGGAGAGTCTCAGAGCTGCAAGCAGAGCACAGCAAGACCAACAGGGAAGGGGAAGGGGGACGACTGCACAGTGCAGGTAGCACAATGCAAAACTTCTCTCCCACTCAGATCACACACACACACACACACATTTGTGGTAAGACTCATGCAAGAGTCATGTTCTTTCTTTGGTATGCATAGAAGATGAAATCGGGACTTGAAAACCAGTTCTGTAAAGGGGGCTTTTGTAGGAGGAATAGGGAGGAGGACCCCCTCCCCAATCTGTCCTTCACCTTAGGCAGCAAAATGTATAGGGCTGGTCCTGCCCGACGGGGACCTTATATACCTTATAAAGGGGACCTTATATATTAGCTTCTACATATTCCTCTTCCTCCCACCAGCCCCAGTCAGAATACTCAGTGCTGTTTTGCTGCTTGCCATCCACGCTAGTGGACAGAATGTGACAGAATGGGAGGCATAGTTATACTTACAGTAGGTCTGTTGAAATCAATGGACTGAACTTAAGTCATGTTCATTAATTTAAGCAGATCATCAAATACCATCCAATGTATCTGGGCTGTGTTTTGCTGTCTCTTCACTCATCCACTCCTCCCCTGCACTCCAGGTATCTGTTTCCATCCTGGAAATGGTTGCAGCTATTTCTTTATCTATGTGCATGCATTAAAAATAAATAAATTCCAGGAAGTGCACAAGAACAAGCATTATCAGCCTTGCCCAGACAGTTTCCCAATGGCCAAAATGGAGGGTTTTTTTTGAGGGGAGGGGGGTGATAGTATAATAATAATAATAATAATAATAATAATAATAATAATTTATTCGCCAGCCACGCTGGGCGGCTTCCAACAAAATATTAAAATACACAAAATATTAAAATACACATATCCATTTGGACATTTGGGTTTATTTTTTTCTTTAAAGAAACAGACAAAAGCAAAAGAAGTGAAATGGTTTGCAAGCAGACTAACCATTATAGCCTGACATTTCTGCAGCATTTCACAACAGGGCAAGAATAGTGTTATAATCCGGGGATTTGAGAGCTTGGAAGACACTGGTCAATCTGCCTTTCTTGTTTTACTCTGCCCTTTTGGCTCATTAGTTAATGTAATTATCTGTCCTCATACTTTCCAGATATTGCAAATGCTACTCTCAGAATTTTTAATAAATGAGGGTTTAATTCAATTAGCCTGTTTGTTCCCATTAAAATTATATTTTTAGAGTCACACTTGCATTCTAGAAACGAGGGGCATTGCCTCCATTTTTAAGATACCCTATTAGAATGGGGTGGTACTTATTTTTTAACAAACCTCTGCTATTACCAGCTTCAAATCTGTTCAAAGTGGCCCACTTCAGCTTGGAATCTGCTGCACACCCCTATTGGGAACACAATTTTATGAGGACATTAAGAACCTTCCATCAGAGACCTGCAACCTCTTCACAGAACTGCAAAATTCAGGGCCTCTATACTGAGAATTATGTGACATGGGTGGAGCTGTGGTCTAAACCACAGAGCCTACGGCTTGCCGATCAGAAGGTCAGCGGTTTGAATCCCCGCAATGGGGTGAGCTCCCGTTGCTCAGTCCCAGCTCCTACCCACCTAGCAGTTTGAAAGCACGTCAAGTGCAAGTAGATAAATAGGTACTGCTCCGGCAGGAAGGTAAATGGCGTTTCCATGCTCTGCTCTGGCTCACCAGAAGTGGCTTAGTCATGCTGGCCACATGACCCGGAAGCTGTCTGCGGACAAACACCGACTCCCTCAGCCTATAGAGCGAGATGAGCGCACAACCCCAGAGTCGTTCACGACTGGACCTAATGGTCAGGGGTACCTTTACCTATACTGAGACTTACAACAGGTAAACACACATGAAGTGCAGATTGGGGGTTGTTGAGTTGAATTGGCTCTCCTGTAGCTTGGAGAAAACTTTGCTTAGAGTTATGGCCGAAGAAGGCCAGGAACCGCTGTCCCAAGGACTCTACGAAATGGCCTATATCTTGCAAGAGAGCCATATTCTTGTGAATGTAACTCATTCTTCACATTAAAAACAACAACCACACATCAGCGATAGCAACCGGTTGGCAACATTTCACAGAAATTAAGCCTTGCTTAATTAAATAAAAATAAATTGCCTAAAAGCAGGTAAGCACGAAACTATCTAATGAAATAAATGTTCCCTTGGCCTCTAATTGCATGCAACCTCATCAAAGACTGCTGCATAAATTAATGAAAGCAAGTGGAGGACTGTGAGGAGATCACTTGAATGAAGTTTTCTGACATTTAAACTTTGTTTTGGTTTGCAACCGGTTACTTTTGCTGTCACAACCAACAGATGATTACATCCAAATGAAAACTTGTCGAGATTAATGAGGATTTAGATGGGTGGATTATGAGATGAATATAGATTTGGACCAAAGTTATTTGAGCGTGTTCTCTAAACAGAAGCTACAGAAGAAGGAACAAACAATGGAGCCAGCCTGGGAGAGCTAGAAGCAGCTGCAGAACAGAAGCTTTTATAAATCATACTATTTACAGAGGAGAGGTTGGAGAGAGAGAGAGAATGGGAGAGTAGGGATTAATAAAATTAGGACTAGAAAACTCATTTATTCTCCCAAAGTACAGAAGTTTATTCATAGGTACGTAGATGGTTGACGAAAGACAAAAGAATGTGCTTCGGGTGCATTCTTTCATATACTGGACTTCATCCAACAACAGTGTTGCGCAAAGGGAACGACTTCCACTCACACAATGGAACTTTCCCTTCTTCTCTTCCCATGTGCAGTGCTGCACTTCCATGTTTTCTCTGGAGGCTCCCCCAACTCTCTGGAGCAGTTTTTGAGTGGGGTGTGGTGGGGAGGAGAGGGAGGACATGTTGTGTTGTGTGAGCAGAAATTTTTCCACTCTTACGACGCCTTAGTTGGATTTCACCCATTTACCTGGAAGTAAGTTCTACTGAGGGACGCAGGTGGCACTGTGGGTTCAACCACAGAGCCTAGGACTTGCTGATCAGAAGGTTGGCGGTTCGAATCCCTGCGATGGGGTGAGCTCCCGTTGCTCGGTCCCTGCTCCTGCCAACCTAGCAGTTCGAAAGCACGTCAAAGTGCAAGTAGATAAATAGGTACCACTCCGGTGGGAAGGTAAACGGTGTTTCCGTGCGCTGCTCTGGTTCGCCAGAAGCGGCTTAGTCATGCTGGCCACATGACCTGGAAGCTGTACACTGGCCCCCTGGCCAATAAAGCGAGATGAGCACCGCAACCCCAGAGTCGTCCGCGACTTGACCTAATGGTCAGGGGTCCCTTTACCTTTACCTTTAAGTTCTACTGAACTCAGTAGGACAATGAGTGGAGAACTTATTTCACCCTGAAGGTCACATTCCCTTGTGGGCAGCCGTCTGGGAGCCACATGCGTGGTGGGTGGGGCTAGAGGCAAAAGTGGCCAAAACTATGAATATGATTCTTACCTTTAGACAGTAGGTTCCATCCCAGCCATGCAAATGGCTGTAGTTTCTACACACCTGACCCCACACCTCTCACCCTGTGAACATATATGCCTGTGAATGTATACAAACAAATTCTCCATTGCATTTTGAACATAGGGGAGTTTGTCAGGGGAAACCTGTAGGCACTGAAAATCACAGTGCTTTGGGGTTGCGGTTGCGAGTTTTCATCTTCTCATAGCCGGACCAATAGACACCCACAGACATTTGTTGACATTTTGTACACCTGCCTCTTCTGTTTGCATCCATTTTCAGATGCGGTGCACTTCGGAGGCACTTAGAAGCTCATGGGACACAGAGGGAATGGGAAGAGATGAGTACAACTTATTGTGAGAAACCAGAAGACACACAGGGAGGAGGTCTTCTAGCTGGAGATGCAATAACTAGGTATAATCAGTGCAGATACTACTGCAAACCATAACTGCACAAAGATTAAGAAAGTTCTGTATGGTGCGTGAGTGGAAGCGGGGAATAGGTTCCATGCATAACATTTTGAAGCAAGTCAAGGGAGAAAGCAAGTCCTGCAGATCATGGTAGGAAAACTCTGCATACACCAGTGGAATATTCAGGACTGAATTTCCTGGCTACTTATATAGGGCTCCCATCCAATCAAAACACCAGCCTTTATCTTAACCAATAAACACTGATGAAAAGTTCAATATTTGTCCTAGGCTGATTTGGATCGGGCTGTGAAAACCTCTAGTCCTAATCTCCTTGGGGATAGTACCAGCCATGTACATACGCAGGTGGTTAACAATTCCTGTGAAAACCAACTCAGTTCTCATGCCCCCATGTGCAGGAGGCTGCTAGGGAGCAGCCGAAGAATTAAAAGCTGAGAAATTGTAAGGTGATGAGGAACAAAGAGCAACACAAATGCACAAGAGAACAAGCTCTATTCCAGGCATAGGCAAACTTCAGCCCTCCAGATGTTTGGGACTACAATTCCCATCATCCCTAGCAAACAGGACCAGTGGTCAGGGATGATGGGAATTGTAGTCCCAAACATCTGGAGGGCCGAAGTTTGCCTATGCCTGCTCAATTCTAATGTATTGACTCTCTCCATTCATTTTAGAGGGAGAAAGTTTTTCTTGCAAACAAACACTGGATGAAAAGTTCCCAGAACAATAAGTTGCTGACATTTCTGCATGGCACTTTCTCTTTGCCAGCTCTGCCCCCGGGTCCCTTGGAATATCATGCATTGTCCTTACCTCTTAAATCTACCAAATTAGATTAAAGGCTCAACAGCATTGCAATGCAGCGTTTAATCCATTGTGCTCCTTGTGAGCGGCAGGATAGTGACGTCAGATTCCCACGAATACCTCTCTGGGAAGCTCTTTTCCTAGATGAAGAATGTGGTATTCAGTCGGTGCATTCTGATATAATCTTGTTATTGCTACTTATTTCAGATTGTCACCCCCCCCTCCTCTGTGACCCAGCCTTGTGGGAAATTCACAGGCACCTGCAAGATAAGATCCCTTAACTTTCTGCTGTTGGCATGCCCAAATGCTAACTAACTGTATTGTATTAGGAAGAGAGTTCTTTCCTTCAGCAGCAGGAGGTGCTGGGACTCAAACTTGACTTCAGCCCACACCTATTTGGCATGGCAGCCACTTGGCTTTTCATTCCAGACGTGTTAGGGCTGGTGTTGTTCATTGGTGATGAGATGAAATACACTCTGCACATGTACAGAGGGTCTCTGATATAGAAGAGAAGAAGAAGAGTTTGGATTTGATATCCCGCTTTATCACTACCCTAAGGAGTCTCAAAGCGGCTAACATTCTCCTTTCCCTTCCTCCCCCACAACAAACACTCTGTGAGGTGAGTGGGGCTGAGAGACTTCAGAGACTTCACAGAAGTGTGACTAGCCCAAGGTCACCCAGCAGCTGCATGTAGAGGAGCGGAGACACGAACCCAGTTCACCAGATTACGAGACTACCGCTCTTAACCACTACACCACACTGGCTAAAGACTCCACCCAGGCCATTGTGTGGCTATGGTGTGCCCTGATTCAAACTAAACATCCTAGAGATGGGGGCATTGCCAAATGTGCCTTGAAAACTCATTTTCATGGCCACTAGGACACCACAGCTATGAGAGTTCACTCTAGCCATAGTTCAAAAGTTCTCTCCCAACTTGCCAGGTTGTCCTTTCACAAGCAACTGTGTGAGGGATGTTAGGCTGGAACTGGTGACTGAGTCAAGCGCACTCAGTGAGCTTTCAAAATGGGTTGGGATTCAAATCTGGATCTCCCCAGACCTACTCCGCCATTCTAGCCAATGCAGCACACACTAATTCTTGAGTCCCATGGACTCCGGAGAGATGTAAGGCTAAGCTTAACCCTCTCCTTGAAATAAACAAGACAATTTCGCATGAGGCTGAAGGTGGCTCTTGCGTCAGCTGAATTTGTAAGTGCAAATGTAAAACCTGCTTTGCTCAGAATGGCTATTTACAACACAAGTGCCTCTCTCCTGTTTTCTCTCCCACTTCAAGAAGTTGTTGACGTAAATAGCAAGAGAAGTTTAAAGGCCACTTGAAGGTCGTACGAGACATAACCTGTACAACGTCCCATTCGCATAAAGCGAGGTATGAGTATCTTTCTCTAAACCAGTGTTACTCAAGCTTGGCTCCCCAGCTGTTGTTGGACTACAACTCCCATCATCCCTGGCTAGCAGGACCAGTGGTAACAGATGATAGGAGTTGTAGTCTAACAAGAGCTGGCGACCCAAGTTTGAGAAACACTGTAAAACATACATTGAATGGGGGGGGGGACTGAAACCTCTGCCTGCCCTATACTTCAGACCACTGAGCCAAGCTGTTACCCCATGTTACTTTCATCCTGTTAAACTTTTGTTTTGTGGTGGTCTGATGACGAAATGCAAATCAACAAATCTGGCCTGATCTGATGCAAGCACTTTTCTCTGTCTGTCTCCTGTAGGAAAGGGTGAATCTGTCAATCCTGTTTTTCCTCAGGTTCTTGTTTCCCAGTTCTCCGCGTTTCTGCCTCCACTGGCATTTTAAAACAAGAACACAAGTCCCATTGAAAATTCAGCAGCATTATTGTGGGATTTTATCCTAACACACATGTTTTTGTAAAGCAATCTCCCCTTTAATAATGCATTTTGTGTGCTGTTTTCACTAACACACACACATATTTCTGTGCACACGTCACCCTAGTATATGCATGGTTGTGCATATGCATTATTGTATACATTACCAGGCTGGAGAATTGCAGCGCAAAGGGGTTCTGAGGATCATCTAGTCCAACCCTCTGCAATGCAGGAACATGCAGCTGTCCCATATGGGAATCGAACCTGCAACCTTGGCGTTATCAGCACCACGCTCTAACCGAGTGAGCTATGGTGTTTCAGTTCTGTATTGTTTTGGAAAGGGTGAATTCTGTAGCTGTGCATAGCAATGTGAACTGGATCAAATGTATTCCCCATCCCTGATCTCCCATTCTCTTCCACTATTTGTATTGGGGAAAGGGGAAGAGCTTGGACCACAAAACTGATGGAAGGTAAAACACAGGAGAAGGAGAAGTGATGTCTCTCTCCCCCTGCCACCCCACCCCCACTTTACATATGGATGGGGTAGATGTGCGAAAAGACAACACATGGAAAGCATCCAGCTGCCATTGTCACGTCTAGTATGGACCTACATCTCATGTGTTAATTGATAACCAAATGTACCCATATTTCGCCCTGTTGGACACTACCACCTAGTGGTAAGCAGGAAGAACTGTAGTTCCTGTCTACTTCGCTTGCAGTTCCTGTTGGCCTTACCTGTTGGCCCATTACTCATCTGGACTAGATTTTGAGGGCTATTCGTGAATCTTTGGAGTGTCTTGGAAGCAAGCCCCCCAATGATTTTGCTGGGACTTGCCCCCAACAAATTGTGCTTGGGATTGCAGCTTTCAAAGTGCTTAACTTTTCACCTAATTGGTTAAGGAGATCAGGGCTGTGGGCACACTTCCAGTCGGAAAGGATTGCCTTAAATGAGCCTAGTGACTCCTTATCTGATGTACACCCGATATTATTAGACTCAGAAGAAAGTGGACCGCCAGATATTTGCACAAATGAAAAAGCAACCTTGGCTTATCAATATAAAAGTAGAAACACATTTAGGAGAAAACAGACAGCTGAATATTTTCCCCAGGTTTAAGAGAGAATTGCTATCAGTTAATTGCACAATGCCGTTTAACACGCTAGGCCATCAATAAGAATTGTAATGAACTGTGCTTGGAATGTGGCAGGAGAAAGGTGATTCTTTTAGTTACTTGTGGTCTTGTAAGAGTACACAAAGTTTCTGGAATCAGATCCTTTCCATGATTAATAATATTTTGAAGTTCAGAAATAGATCCAGGGTAGCCACTTATGAATCACTGCCCCCAACCTGAAATAAAGAGTAGATAATTACCTATAGAGCAGAGTTGGACCCAATAGCTCATTCCAAAGGAGGAGCAGAGGAATGTACCATGATAGCTCTTCAGGTAAAGGACAGTCAAATAGGACACATGGCCAGACTGTTGAGACCCTAATTATTTTTGTTGACCAATTAGAAAGGATCAGTACCCACAGAGAAAGAAGCCATTTTGTTCTATCTGATTGAATCCAGTATAGCTTATTTGCGTGTCAGGACCTCGAGCCTCCGCCTTATGTTGAATAACTACACCTGGACACAGTATTTTAGGTTAATGGGCAAATAAAGGCCACAACTTTATTGGTTACAGAATGTGAGTGGTATTGGCTTGGGCACTGGAATTGAACCGACTATACCTGACTCCTGCCCGCCATGCAGGTAGTCCAGTAAGGGTCAACCACCAACAGGGGGAGCCCTATTGATGTACATCAACTAAGAGCTCCCCCAGGGTCCCTGATGGGGTCATGGCATGGCCCTAGCCCCTATCCGGGCTTCGGACAAGATCCACACACCCGGATCCCTTTAATGGAATACCCTTAAATTGGAGGGGCAGGTGGTTGTCAGGAGCTCGTCCTACTCTCGAGTAAGACCCTGGCAGAGACACATGCCCGACTGGCATGTTCTCTCCCTACTGGTCTATCATTTGGGAGCTTCAAAAGCTTTCTTCTGCCAGAACATCACAGCGACCGATGCCAACAGACATTGGCACACTTAGGGATCCGCAGAGTCTTTGCAGCTTGCGTAACAGACCTCAGCAACTCAGCATTTTGGCTAATCTACTTTATTTACATATAAACACACACGGAGCACTGCAACATAGCTCCCTCTCTCTCTAGCATCAGACAGCAAAGAGAAAAAGAACAAAGGACAATAGTCCCACTTTATGGAACACAGTAACACAAACATCCTGTCTCCGTCACTTCCCACTCTGTGGAGTCAAAACATACATTCATGTGATAGACAAAAATCCCATGATTGCAGTCATGGAGCAGGAATTCTAACATCAATGGCCACAACCTCCCCTCCTCTCAACCAGGCTTTACCAATGCCTAACTGCCAAACCTTACAAAAGTTATGACGATTGCTACGAGGTAGGCGAAAACCAAATGGCTGGTGCCAATTTGCCAAGCCAAGTGGGAAAATTCCTACCAGACCCCTTCAACTAGGCGACCAATCAAGGTCCATAGCAAGGCCAAGATGATGAACACTTAAAAGAGGGCGGGAGGGCGGGAGAGCCGCGGAAGCAGGAAACAAGAAGGGAATCTTCCTGGCCGCGCAGCTGCTTAGATTCGCTAAGCCACGCCCGCCGGCCAACCAGATTGGTTGGCTGGGGGCTGTGATGCGGCAGGAAGTCCCCCATGATGCAGGGCTTAGCCACACCACTGCTGTGTGTGGGAAACCACGTGGTCTGTCCGCAACACCGCCCCACAAGGAAGTGTAACGGCCTTGGTAGAGCACAAGACTCTTCTTTGTCTTTTAATCCATAGCAGCTACAGGGCCCCCCTATCCAAATGGGGTTCAAGGCATGGAGGGAGGTATTTTTTAACCCTTTGCCTGCTGAAAAATCCCTCCTAGAGATGCTATTTGTAGCACATGGCGGCTTAGCAAGTAAACAGCAGCTTGGGAGATTTTTGTTTTTATTTTGCTGGAAACAGCAGGGAGTAAGGATTAATATCTCCTCCTTTTGCACCATTGCCCTGATCTGGATCAGCTGCAGCTAGGTTTAAAAAAGAAGAAAAGAATCCCAAGTACAGGGTGCCCAGACAACCTCACATCTAATTTGACCCTTTGTAGATAAACTATATAGCACATTACAAACTAGATCATGCGCCTGATGAAGCAGTTCATAAAAGCTTATGCGGCAATAAATCGGACAGTCTTTAAACTGCCTCGGGACTCATTGTTTGTACAACTGTCCATATATGCATAGATACAAGCGTGGCTGCCTCTGGGAAAGAAACTGTAGGGCTGCTCTAACTGGGACCAAGGCCATCCTTTCCGCGGCAGACCTGTGCTCCTGTTCACGGCGATTCCTTAAAAGGCAAGCCCTTCGCAGAGATGCTGTTGGCTCTTATCTCCCAGGACGGCTGCTTCTTTGGAGATATTGTATTTATAGCTCATCTGGCAAACGAACTCTTGACAGTCTAATTGCTAAATACATAGTTTGGGTAATCCAATAAAGGAATAAGCCTCAGTACCGGCCTTTTGTCTCCTCATTCGCTGACTGGGACACGCAGGCACCGTTCAGCAAGGTAAGAGCCACAAGAGCATGTCTACGTATCTTTTCCAGCTACCCTTCAATCTTGCTGCTACAAGGAGAACGGGGCTTAAGGGAATCTTGGTATATTTTTCTTTCGAACCCTAAGGAACACCAGCGTGCACAAGATGTTTTAGTTGCTTCTCGCAGACAGAAGCCAGATAGCCTGTTGGCCTGTTTCCCCCCGATGAACTTTGCTTGCTTTCGTGTTGCTGTGGGATGACAAGAGCTATCTCAGTTGCGGTTCATGCCTCATCATGTTTTTGCTGCATGTGTAAAGGAACTGACAAATTCGACTCAGTTCACATTTAAAGCCAAACCTGCCTAAATTCACATTGCATTAAACAATGTGAGAAATCAAACATCCTTTGAAATTCACACTTACCTGATTGTTTTCAGTGCGGTTCTCCAGCCATGTCATGTGTCCCAAAACTGCGAATAGAAATGTGCGTATTAGGAGAAACCTGTGCTAAAATGCTAGCGACTTTTCATTGTTATTCTTTTTATAGGAAAAAAATGCAGATTGCTGCAAAAAAAGTGGAGGACTGAATTTAGAATTAGCAAAATGAGAAACAGTGAAACTGAAATCTACATATTCACCCATCTCTGCTGTTGTTGTTTAGTCATTTAGTCATGTCCGACTCTTCGTGACCCTATGGACCAGAGCACGCCAGGCACTCCTGTCTTCCACTGCCTCCCGCAGTTTGGTCAAACTCATGCTGGTAGCTTCAAGAACACTGTCCAACCATCTCGTCCTCTGTCGTCCCCTTCTCCTTGTGCCCTCCATCTTTCCCAACATCAGGGTCTTTTCCAGGGAGTCTTCTCTTCTCATGAGGTGGCCAAAGTATTGGAGTCTCAGCTTCACGATCTGTCCTTCCAGTGAGCACTCAGGGCTGATTTCCTTCAGAATGGATAGGTTTGATCTTCTTGCAGTCCATGGGACTCTCAAGAGTCTCCTCCAGCACCATAATTAAAAAGCATCAATTCTTCGGCGATCCACCTTCTTTATGGTCCAGCTCTCACTTCCATACATCCCATCTCTGTTACTTTAATTTAATTTACTTCAGTGTGTTGAAAGGCATCAGCTTCATCACCAAACACAAACTAATTTGCCTGGCAAATGGGGTTACCCAGTATAATTACATACTGTCTGGGTGGGTGTGCTCATTTGATTGTTTCCATCATTTCTATCCCAATTTTCAAAAAGTTTGTTTTTCAAAGCAGCTTATGAAAGGAAGCCAAAGTTCTATTCTGTTTTCTTTGAGCCAGGATGGGTGGTTTTCACAAAATAAAAGACATCTGAAAATAAGGGGTGCCCCACTTTTAGCAAACTGTGTACTTTTGTAGAACATTAGAATCCTCACATGTACCATGTAGTATTTTCAGCTACTATTCTTTGAATACTTTTGGGGGGAGTCTATCCCCTTGAACCTATTTGGACTTTCTGCATACTGAGTAAACTTAGAAAGAATCAAGTTCTTCCTCTAAGTGCATAGGAGACAGAATAGTATTCTAGACGAAATGCCCTTTCATTAGTTTCAGTTTTCCCATTGCAGTGGAATGTTTGGACATTGGAAAATGAAAAGGTAGCATACCCTTATTATATGCATAGCCTTCTGATTTTTTTTTCCTTCCTGTTGCTTCCTAATGGCTTTGGAGAACGAATCTGATAATATATTTAAACAGCTTTGCATTAGAGGTAATAGAAGCTGTGCTAAAGGAGACTTTAAAAAAAACCCCAACTAAACTGTGTGTGACTTGTGACAGGAGAATACTTCATCATAATGATTGTGCAAAATAGCATTAACAGCTGCCGAAACATGCACTGTAAAGTGTTCATCACCCTGAATTGCTTTTAAAGTGATCTCAAGGGAGTGCTACGTTTTGTCTGCAAATGATGTTTGCATGGGGGAAGTTAGAGTGATTGTACTGGTATTTGCAGGCTGTGTAAATTAATACAGTAATTGTTTTTGTTTGCAGTGTGCATTATAGTTCTGGGACCAAGAACTTCTGAGTGAGGAAACCTGTGTTATGTCAGTTCTAGGCATCAAGGTTAAATCAGATCTCCCTCCCACCCACCAAAAAAAATATGTGTGTGCATTATAATGGATCAAAATATAACCAGCCTAACTTCTACATATAATTTCACCCATAGTTGTTGATCCTGTATTGCTTTATTTGATTATGTTGTGTCCTGATCTACTATTGATTTTAATAAAAAGGAAAATATGCTTCCACTAAACAACACGGGCATAGCCAGGATTTATTGGGGGGGCAGGCATTATGTTGGGGGGCAGAACTGAGTTATCAGCAATGCAATTGGTCAGTAAGTTAAGCATATTTATTTATTTACTTGATTTAAGGTGGGCAGCTTCCCTGCCCCTGCACCTCCCTGGTTAAGCCCATGCTAACCAATGGGAATTAACTAAATAAATAAAATACACACCTGTGAAAAATAAGACACCTGCATCTGATCCTGGCCTCATATCTAACCCAAGTTCCATTGTCGTGAATTTGGCTTGTGCATAGAAAAGTAGCTTGCCAGGCAGAATGGCTTTGCCTTAACTCTCCTCCTGAGAGTGCTTGTTTTCTATGTGCAAGGCAATTTTTATTTTATTGATTTCTTCGTAAGAATTACCTTGCTAAGCCTGACCAAAAAGCGCGTTGCCAATATAAAGAGTTGTGGCTGTGTGTGTTTTAAATAACATCCATTCATTTTTTAAATAAGAGGAATGATGATTACACAGACAGTTCTGTCTGCAGACTTCCTCTAAGCTGAGTTATCGTGCAATAAATCTAGCGCCCAGTTTGACCGCATCAGTAAGCCAGGCAGTGCTGATTAGCTGAGTGAAACCTAGCTGAGAAGGTTTCATGGTTTATGGATTTTATAAATTGAGTATGAATGGAGATAGCTGCTTTCCCTCAATAATACTATGATTGTAATAGTGATTTATGTACGTGCTGCTTTTTCTGCTACTAAACTCCAAGTGGCCCTAGGATCAGATAGCTGCATTTCAGGAAAATCTTATGGCAGTGTCGCACGACATGTTACATTTGTTACACCAATATCACACCGGCAAATGCATAACATATGAAAGTCAAATCTGCTTGCTTATGCATGCATTTGGAAAACCTGGTTTGGGAGACATGTACATAATACATAATATATTTTACATTGACATTTGCTGCAGAAAACAGTGCAGCAACCATACTCTGCAGTGTTCTAGAAGGCACAGACAGTGTTCATCTCCCGTGAGGTTTAAATTACTGCTTTTGCACTATTTATGTGAGTGTGTGACTCTTATGGTAGGGAATAGACTGGAAATAAAGGCAATAATAGGAAGGAAATAAAGACACTTGCCATTGAATGTGCACCTTGCCTAATATAAGTTCACTGTAAGCCAGTGTGGTGTAGTGGTTAAGAGCGGTGGACTCGTAATCTGGTGAACCAGGTTCGATTCCCCACTCCTCCACATGCAGCTGCTGGGTGACCTTGGGCTAGTCACGCTTCTCTGAAGTCTCTCAGTCTCACTCACCTCACAGAGTGTTTGTTGTGGGGGAGGAAGGGAAAGGAGATTGTTAGCCGCTTTGAGACTCCTTAAGGGGAGTGAAAGGCGGGATATCAAGTCCAAACTCCTCCTCTTCCTCCTCCTCCTCTTCATAACTGGGAAAATCCCAAACATCTGAGCCCAGCCATCCTGTGTAAAGTCTTGCATCTTGCATTTAGCCTCTCCTAGGGACGGGGCCATAGGACGCGGGTGGTGCTGTGGGTTAAACCACAGAGCCTAGGACTTGCTGATCAGAAGGTTGGTGGTTCGAATCCCCGCGATGGGGTGAGCTCCCATTGCTTGGTCCCTGCTCCTGCCAACCTAGCAGTTCGAAAGCATGTCAAAGTGCAAGTAGATAAATAGGTACCGCTCTGGTGGGAAGGTAAACGGCATTTCCGTGCGCTGCTCTGGTTCACCAGAAGCAGCTTAGTCATGCTGGCCACATGACCCGGAAGCTGTACGCCGGCTCCCTCGGCCAATAAAGCGAGATGAGCGCCGCAACCCCAGAGTCATCCGTGACTAGACCTAATGGTCAGGGGTCCCTTTACCTTTAAGGACAGGGCCAGTGCCAACATCTGGAACTCTTGGGCAGCTGCTGGGATACCCACAGAGAACAACACTGTCAATAACCTTGGTTTCCTCATACCAGGCAGCTCAATCTGCAAATAGCCTGCTGCTGATTACACCACTGCTATTGCTGCCCATCCCTCAGCAGGTAAGCCTGCCCGGGAGACCCAGAGATGTAGGAGAGAGTAAACCAAAGGACACTTTGCTGGGGAGAGCCCTCACACCCTGCCTGAGGACTTCCATGTGTCCAGGATTTCTTTATTTTTTTCCTTTTTCCTTTGAACAGCGGAACGGCCCCTTCCTTGCCTACTCCTATATACCTACCTGGACCTCAAGGCCATCTTCTGTGGACCTTCTCCAGATGCCTCTGCTGAATGAGGCCCAGCAGGTGGCTGTCAGAGGTACTAGGTCTGGATCCAACCCATGGTGCTGCCTGCTTCATTTTGAGGTCATCATTGCTTTTTTCCAGCCTCCTGAATCAAAACATCATAATTATTCCTCCTCCTCCTTCTTGACCCGAAATGCTCTTAAACACATGCCACAGTGGAAAAAATGCTGCACAGTTGCTATTTTTAAAGAAAGTGGAAGATTTTGAGATGTTTTCCCCACACACCTCATAGTTTGATCAGTGTTGGGGTACAGCACTTATTTTATCCGTGTTTTTTGGTGTTTGTTTCAAGGCTAGAATAAACATTTTTCTTCTTCTTCACAGAGCCAGTATCTCAGAGGAACTATCATTTAGTTGAAATTTTGGAGACATTCGAATAAACAAGTCCCGAGCCTGAGTCCTAAAAGAATGTGTTTCTGAGTGGTTCAGTGTAGAAAGCTATCCACAAGCTGAACCTTAAGAATGGGAGTGAGAAAAGTGAACAGATGAAAAGTGTGTTCCTTCCGCAGCATTACAGAGCCAGTCCTTTAAATCTATGGTAAAAAAAACGGGGCGCGGGTGGCGCTGTGGTCTAAACCACAGAGCCTAGGGCTTGCCAATCAGAAGGTCGCGGTTCAAATCCCTGCGACGGGGTGAGCTCCCATTGCTCAGTCCCAGCTCCTGCCAACCTAGCAGTTCAAAAGCACGCCAGTGCAAGTAGATAAATAGGTACCACTCTGGAAGGAAGGTAAATAGTGTTTCCGTGTGCTGCTCTGGTTTTGCTAGAAGCAGCTTAGTCATGCTGGCCACATGACCTGGAAGCTGTATGCTGGCTCCCTTGGCCAGTAAAGCGAGATGAGCGCCGCAACCCCAGAGTCATCCACGACTAGTCCTAAAGGTCAGGGGTCCCTTTACCTTTACCTTTAAAAAGGACTGAGAGACCTGTGGCCCTCCTGATGCCACTGGACCCCAAACACCTAGCATCCCTGAACTTTAACTGGCTGGGCCTGATGTCCACAACCTCTTGAAAGCTACAGGGTCACCAGCCCTGCCTTAAGGTGTCAAGCAATGCAAAATATGCAGCCTTTCCTCAAGATCTTTCTTTCCCTCTCTCAAGTGAGAATCTGGAGATTTGCTGTTTGGGTCTGCCACAGACTGGGAAACTAGATAGATTTTCATGCTGCCCTTGCCACTGATCCAGTTTGTGTCTGACTGCTGTTTGCTCCCGAAGCTCTGCGAATTACACTGTGACATTTAGTGATTATTTCAGACTGAAGTGAGGCCCGTGCTGTGAATTCCTAAGTTTAGGATGTATGCTTTAAATTATTTAGCTATGTTGTGGGTACTTTTCTTTTATTATCTTTTTTTTAAAAAAAATGAAATGAATTTCGTACTTTATAACTAATGCCATTATTAGAATCCTAACAAACAAGTTAAACAGGGGCGGTTGCCTGGGCACAAAATTCTTAGGGGTGCAAAATTTCAAAAGGGGGGGAGAAGGAGTAATAATAAATTTAAAAATAGCACACCCTCTCCCTCACACAGAAAATATTCCAGTGTTTGTGTGGGCAGGCTAAGGAGCAGATTTGGGCAGCAGCTGGGTGCTAGGGCACACTTTGTGCGGGCTTTAGAAAGATAATCACTCCCAACCAATACCCCATCCTGCTCTCCACTGCGCTTGACACTCATGGGGCATGTTGGCTGCCACTTGGGCAGGTGGCCAAGCTGTTGCCCCTTCAATCCAGCCTATCAGCAGACAGTGCCATGGATACTTGCCCCAGCTGCCGGCAACCCACGCTACACCACTATATTCAATTGCATGGTGGCTTGGCTCTCCCGCTGATTGAGATTTGCCAAAGTACCAGTGCAGGAGACACCCAGACAAGTTAATGAAAGTGAAATGCAACCGACATTGAAACTGACCTCGCTTAGTTAATGGCATTGTAAAGTTAGCTGACTTCTTTATATATCTAAAAAAAAAATGGTATTGGTGAAAGCCATCAGAATCTGTCCTCAAACAAGGCAGGTGTGCGAACTGTGGCAAAGCCATGCTTAAGTTTGGCTGTGGCAGATTTCTCCCCTATACCTCCTTACCAGTACATATCCCACCTCTCTGATCAAAGGCTGTTCAAAATGTTTTTGGGATGGGGGTCCAAGCCCCCCACCCCCACATTCTGCTGTGTCATATTCTATTTGGACCGTGTCAGTGGCAGATCTTGAGTTCTCAAATTTCAGTGGTACTTGGTGTGATGCCAAAATTCAGTCCCCCTCTGCCTCCCTCACTCCATTTCGAAGCATAGTTGCAGCGTTGATAGCCCCCCCCCCCGAGACTCCACCCCCAGTGTGACCGATCCGGCCGTGCTCCCCTAAATCTGCCTCTGGTCACGTTATGTTTGAGAACAGGGCCCCATTATGAAACAGACTTCGTCTCATTAGTTTTGCATGGTCGAAGTCAACATCCTGTATCCTCCAACTTTTCTAGCAATCACCGTCTCTTGGGGTGGGAAACATATATAAAATGTAAGGAGAAATCACAGTAGGTTTTCTCACCTGCAGTGCGAGTCTGATTTCCTCCTGGCTTCCAATCTGTGGGGCAGCCACATAGCCTAGCAAGTCAAATAATTGATTAGCTGTCAATCTTCCCCACACACTCTATTTTAGCTGGGCTGCCTGCTTTATTTTTTTGGCACCCTGTGATGTTGCATTTATATGTTTCTCTCTCTTCCCTTTTTTTTTTTAAAGTGGAAACATTTTTGAAATGTTGCAAAACTTCTCGCAGGGGTCAGCAAACTTTTTCAGCAGGGGGCCGGTCCACTGTCCCTCAGACCTTGTGGAGGGCCGGACTATATTTGGGGGGGGGGGGTGAACAAATTCCTATGTCCCACAAATAACCCAGAGATGCATTTTGAATAAAAGCACACATTCTACTCATGTAAAAACACCAGGCAGGCCCCACAAATAACCCAGAGATGCATTTTAAATAAAAGGACACATTCTACTCATGTAAAAACACGCTGATTCCCAGACTGTCTGCAGGCCGGATTTAGAAGGCGGGTCTTAGTTTGCCTATCGATGAGCTGAGCTATGTGCACTGTCCACTTTTTTCCTTTTTTGCAAACTTACAGAACTGTTCACACACACCCCGCCACCCTTCCACTTGGAGATTAAACAAAATTACGTATGTCTGGATGTAATATGGTTTTCTCACTCTTAGATTAGCCCCACAGCTCTACATTTGGCACTAAATTTAAACTGCAAGTAATTTTATCATGAGGATTTTCACCTTTGAGCCTCATTCTCATTATTTATGTTAATGGCTGATTCTTTTTCCTGTGAAAGAGGAAATGAGCATGCTGGCCAAGGAAGGTTTTACATGATTACAAACTCAATGAAGGTATTGTCTCCTGAATTCTGTAACAATCAACGCCTGACACACTCCCCATTTAGCTAGCGCCACTCTCTGCCTACTCAAGGAATGGAGTACAAAAAGAATTCGAACAGGACATTAATGTGCCTGCACACCAGTGTTCAGGTGCGCTAACAGTGCTTCAACCCTGTGTGTTTAAAATCATTCAAAACAGTCAAGAGCTGTTTACTAATTGCCTAATGAAACCCAAGAATGTCCGTTTCTTGACGGTGCTGTAAAGTCTCTGTTGGCAATTCTCAGAACTCAGTGCCCAGAATTCTCTTGTTGTGAGGCTTGGTAGTCAAATCCTCATTTGGGGATTGATGGCTAGCGTAAACTGGCCCTCAGTCCCACCAGACACGTTGCTGAGACTTATGACCTTTGGCCACCCTGACTCTCTTGAACAATACAGCATGGCCAATACAAGGGGGCACAAACAGGTAACATTAGGACATTAACCAGGCGAAGAGGCACACAAGATTAATGGGGAAAAGGTGTTCCTGCTTGTGCAAGATTCAAACGCTTATGCATTTTTCTTCTTGTGGGCGGCAATTGTTTCAGTTGGCTGGCATTGCTTAGAAGCGATGCTGAATTTAAAACAGAGATTATTTTTAACAAAACCTCCCCAAAAAAAGGGGGGTGTATCAGAGCTGAAAACCCACTTATTTTGTTGTTTTTCATATAAAAAGAACACCTAGGTGCAGAGTCAACAAAAGAGGGTGTGGGGATTTAGGGGTGCGAAGGATCTGCTCCCTTGGATAGTGTCGAATGCCAGCTGCACTGAGCCTCAAAGAGTGAGTGTCTCTAGTGCTTTTGTCTCCTTATATGGTAAAATGATACACAGGGGTTTTTCACTAGGCTGTGAAGGCAGACGCCTGTTTCCACACAACACAGACGGCTGAGCAGAAATCAGAAGAGCCGCTTGCTCAGAACTGGAGGAATCCCCGGCTAGCTGTACATCTCTCCTCTCCTCTGCCAGCAGGTCACTGTGTTGCCCATTTATTAATGGATGTGACTCCCCATCCCAACTCCAGAGGGTACCATTAACTGCCTGCCTGTAAGTAGACCTCCCTTTTTGTCCCTCCCTGCAACAGCCAACAATAAACCTTTGGAGCATCTGCTATAAATAACAAAAGGGTGTGATGGGGACAACAGGGTGTGATGTTGAGGCAGAACAATGGTTTGCCCAAGATGCAGCAACAGCCCTAGCTGTCTGTGTTATATACGGTGACAGGGCTGGCCCTTTGTTTTTTAGCAAATATGGGCTACAGAAAGAGGTCGGGTAAGAATAATGGTGTTGTCTTCAGGGGGAATGTTCGGTGTCTGAATGTGACATGTGAGCAGGGAGGTATGGCATTGTGTCAGATCCCATCGTGACAATTTTCACTCCCCAATGACATGCTGGATAAGCCCCGGGGAAGCTCATAAATGAGAGTTCAGATATTGGTTTCTTTTACACCTCTGTGAACACTTCCTGCTTCCCAAAGCAACAAAAGACCTCATTAATTCTTTCCAGTAGCAGAATCAGAGGAAACAAAGGTAGCCTTGCCTCTTTGCTGTCTCTCTCTCTCACGCACGAACACAAAATAACTAAAAGACAGGGAGTCCTCTAAAGTGCATTGCTATTGTTTCAAGATATTTAAAGGGAAGGTACACGGTTCTTTTCTTCCTTTCATTCATTTATTTAATGTTTAATCCCTGCCATGCTTCTTCTATGTTTGTAACTGAAAAAATGCATGTGAGTTGACAGCAACAACTTTTGTATCTTTTCATTTTTATTCAATTATAAATATTCATGTCCCTGCTTTCTGACTTAGCAGGCTTCCAAGGTGGCTTTGTGTATATTTCTGTATTAATGGGTCACTTCCTCCCTTCCTATTTCCCACCGTAATACCTTTACCCTTGATTCAAAACATCTTGGGTTACTGCACATGCCAGATGAAACAATTTCTGGAGGTTGTTAAAACAAACTGATGATTTACTCTAGATTGAACAGTTGCCATATGAATAGTGTATTTTAATTACATGCAAGTCATGCATGAAATGCAATTTTTAAAAGATGAATTCAGGAGAACCAAGAAAAAAGAGAGAGAGAGAGTTAAAGTCCCATTTAACTCAATGAGAATAAATTGCTAGGGCACTTTAGTTCCATTGATATCAGTGATATGGACTCAAAACTAACTGGCTTTGTTGTTGTTGGCATCTGTCAGTCTCAAGAGACAATGACTCCATGGATGAAGTCAAACCGCTGTGTAAGCAGCACCAAAGTGACCTCCGTGGGGTGCAAGCCTGGGCAGTGTGTATAGAGATCCAGGGTTGCACAGTCGACAAGACCTGCCTCTCGGCCTCACTGATGTGGTCCAAAGGAAAGCAGAGCAATACGTTTGGCACCAGCTTGGCTGCAGGAGTTGCCGGAAGGAGGTGTACAAGGCACCATCCAACAATCTTAGGGACTCCACTCTGGATTTGCGCCAGTGTGGTGTAGTGGTTAAGAGCGGTGGACTCGTAATCTGGTGAACTGGGTTTGATTCTCCGCTCCTTCACATGCAGCTAGTCACACCCTTGGGCTAGTCACACTTCTCTGTGAAGTCTCAGCCTCACTCACCTCACAGAGTGTTTGTTGTGGGGGAGGAAGGGAAAGGAGATTGTTAGCTGCTTTGAGACTCCTTAGGGTAGTGGTAAAGCGGGATATCAAATCCAAACTCTTCTTCTTTTTCTTTACTCCTTAGCCTTTTCTTCTCCTGAAGATATCCCACAAGGCAACAGAGGTTTAGGATCAGCTTTCCTTCTCCTAGATGGGCTACCTTCTCAGGTTAATGAGCCCCATCTGCCCCTCACTTCCCTCTACAATATGTGCAGAAACCGCCTTCTTAACTGCTGGACCCACCATTGGTTTCATCCATTCAGTTTGCCAGAGCCTGTTTTTGCATGCAGAGGTAGTCCCTAAATAACTGAGGGTATAAGACCCATCAACTACCCTCACCTGGTTTAGCCAGCCATAGCCGTTCCCAGGTTTTGACCACTGTCACATGCTGACAGCTTCTAGGAGCTACAGGTAATTGCTATATGCAGGGTAGAGACCAAAGGTGGACCACCCTTTCCGTAACACCCCATACACTCTGGAACAAACAACATATGATGATTTCCCCCATATTATTTGTTTATATCTCCTGCCAATTACTTGCTACTTACTACATTAAAAAGGAGGTTTCCCCTTAAGCAAAATGTAATGTAATATAATAAATGAACAGAGGATATGCTTTCAAAAATGGTGTGTACAGAGTGTCTGTTTTGTTGTTTAGGGTGTCTTACTTCAAGACTGGGAAGGTTAGAATCTATACATACTAATAAGGACTTCAAGTTCCTATGCGGAAGCAATCCAATGGTGCATTCAGCCTTGGGACTTTTGGTTCATCTGCACTTTTAAGCCACCTATTGTAGAACCCAGGTAAAAGAAAAGTTAGGGCAAAATGGACAACCGCAGCCTTGAAAAAGCACACAAACTATGCAAACGATTGAACTATTGAAAAGGCTGGAGTATACGCACATTCTGAACATGACCATGATTAAATGGCCCAATGCGGTCTAGCACATACTGAAGGCTAAACAAACTCTGGTTGGCTTACAGAACCACCCACAAGCCTCAAAAGTCCATGGAGACAGCAGAATAGGGTGTAGCAATTTTCAAAATGGGCTGCCTGTGTGTTCCTGCCATGCATAGCTGACAGGTCCTTTCCTCCTGAAAGCGTGTGGATAGGCGTTTCTCAAATGCCTCTTTAAACAGCTATGGCAGCGATGGGGAACCTGAGGCTATTTTGGGGCTACTGCTCTCATCAGCTGCAAAATCAATGGTCAAGGATTTATGGGAGCTAGAATCCCACATCCAGAGGGCCATAGGTTCCTCATCCCTGTTCAATAACCTGGATCCCCACTCCTTTTCTTAGGAAGGTAAGGAAAGAGGAAAGAGGATCCTAGCATTCCTTGATCCTCTCTAAAAGCCTTCCTGACCAACAAGGCTGGGCAGCAGCAACAAAAAGCAAATGCACCAACCTCTTCTCATTGTTTTCCCAAATGCATAGATAAGAAAACACCATGCTTCAACTAGACCCACACGTAAACCTGGGTAGGCATATTGGGTGGATTGTTCTTAAATAAGAAAAACAATTTCAGTAAATTATCCAACTCTATCTAATCTCTCTCTGTGTGTCTTTCTGGTAAACCAATTACTGTTATTTTAGCAATTACTTGCCAAATATCGAGCTGATGTTACACACTGTACTCCTTGACCGACATTTTCTAGTTGATCAGGTAGCAAAAGACACTGAACTGTTAGTATTTACATCTTCCGAGCCACTTCTATACCAGTGTAATAACTGGTTGGTGACTGGCCAAATGCAGCAATAGTGGGAGCATTCCTCTCACATCCTTATAACCAAGGTTTATTTTCCTTTTAATCTGGACACAAAAGAAATTTTCAATACTATTGACCATAGTATCCCTCAGGATTGGTTATTTAGGTTGGGCCTAGGAGGCCCCATGTAACATTACCTCCAATCCTGCCTAGGGAACCAGTCTTGGAGGTTTGTTCTGGGTGCTTTTATTCCACCCCTTGGTTGATGTCCTGTGGGGTTCTATTGTGTTCTCCATGCTTTTTAACATCTACACGAAATTGGTGGGGGGAAAGTCATCTGGAGGTTTATGCTGAAGCGTAACCATTATACAGATCTATTCTTTCCCCATCTACTCATTCCAAGGAGAATGCTGGACCTCTGAATTGGGGCTGAATGATGTGGAAGTGGTTGAAGCAGATAGGACAGAAGCCCTGTAGGTGGGGAAACCAATTCTTATGGAGGCAGCTTTACCTTCGGTCCTTGGTGGTGTCCAGTTTGGGAGTGCTATTTGAGTTTTTCCAGGACAGTTTTTCCAGGTCATGTGGCCAGCATGACTAAGCTGCTTCTGGTGAAACCAGAGCAGTGCATGAAAACGCCGTTTACCTTCCCGCCGGAGCAGTACCTATTTATCTACTTGCACTTTGACGTGCTTTCGAACTGCTAGGTTGGCAGGAGCTAGGACAGAGCAACGGGAGCTCACCCCGTCATGGGGATTCGAACCACCAACCTTTCGATCGGCAAGCCCAAGAGGCTCAGTGGTTTAACCCACAGCGCCACGTCCCCTTAGTCTGGATTAATGCAATATAATTCATGTGGGGTTGCTTTTGAAGGTAGTTCAGAAACTTCAACAAGGACAAAATGAAGACACCCAGCTGTTGTTTGGGGCTAGATGGCATCTGGTTAAATGCTTTTAAATCCCCGAACACTTTGCAAAGTAGCCCCTGAAAGCCACAGAACACACTGTGGATCCCTGTACCTGTCCGTTCCCTCAGTTTCATGAAAGGTCAAGTTCCTACTCATCACAAGGATTCTCTTGTTGGCTCATTAAACAAAAATCAAGTTAATCCCCAGCAACCCACAGCATTTTCTGCCTGGTCCTTCTCCCCTTTGCATAACACAATTCCCTTTTTCTCCATCTGGGTTTTTCTCTTTAAGCCTCACCTGAATGAGATTCCCTCCCACCTGTTTAAAGACTTGTATTCCTTTCATCCATCCTTAGATTCTCAGTCCTGTCTCACTCCTGGCCAACAATCATATCTGTTCCTCCCAATGACTGCCTTTCGTGACGCCACAGTACATGCTAGAACACCTCCTTTGACTCACCTTCCCACTGGCGTTCCTTTTCTGACCCACCCATTTTTTTACAATCAGGTCAACTGCAAGGGGGAACGCCAAAGCAAGCATGAGCAATTGGCCTTGCTTGTCCTTCTCCCTCACACAAGGTTACCTCAAAGAATACCCATACCTGAATCAACCTGTCTGTGTCTTAAGATCCACTCCAGAGGCCCTGTTTAAGTGCCTAGGCAACTAGGATGACAGGTAAATGAAACAGGGCCTTCTTGGTGGCCCCACAGTTATTGAACTCTATTCCACTTGAACTTAGGCAGGCATCATTCCTTGATTCCTTCAAAGGAACATTAAAGACCCATGAATCTACTTCTGCTTGTAGTGCCTAGCCTGTGGCTGTGCCTTGGTTTTTTGCATGGCTGGTTCGTGCTGGTTTCAGCAGTATTTCATACTGCTGAGCATGCTGTGAAATGTATGCTTGCATCTGTTTTTAAAACTGTATTATGGTTTGCTTGCGTGCATTTTTGAACTGGTTTGGGAAGAATTTTCTTTGAAGAGCAGCCTGTATCTTTTTCGTGTGTAAGTAAACAGAACCACACTGTTTTCTTGATGCACTCTAGATCAGCAAGAAGAACCAACAAGTTGGAGAGAGAAAATACCGTATTTTTCCATGTATAAGACGATGCTTTTTGCTAAAAAAAAAATTAGGCAAAAATTGGGTGTCGTCTTATACACGGATAGTGAATGCAGAAGGGGGACGTGCGGTTAATGGCAGCAGCAAGCAGGAGATTGGCAGCAGCGATTGGGCAGGTGCCTGTGGCAAGGCCTGTTGGTGATTGGCTGTGGCTGCAGCAATTGGGCAGGTGACTGGTGGCTGTGGCGAGGTGGGCGGGCGATTGGCGGCTGCAGCAAGGTGTGTGATCGGCAGTGGCTACGGCAAGCGATCAGCAGTGGCGGGCAGGTGGGTGAGCGATTGGCGGAAGTGACCTCCCCCCCCCCGCAATTAAACAACTTAATTTCTTAATTTTGGGTTTAAAGGGGCCGTCTTATACATGAGGGCGTCTTATACACAGAAAAATATGGCAGCTGTTTTAAGACAGGGATGTGGAACGTCAGGCCTGGGTACCAAATGAGACCTTCTTGGTTTCCCCAGTCAGCCTTCAGGATTCTCCCAGGCCAAAATCTCAGCCCAGGTCACAATCTTCACTGGAACAGCTCTGCACCTTCCTCCAGAGCTTTTGCATCCTTGATAAGACCTCTTGCTTGCCTGGGTAGAGGATGAAGAGTTGTGCATGCAGATACCTCTGGCTTTTACATGTTTGGCACGTAGCTCACAATGCAAAGGAAACAGCCACATCCATTGCTTTGTCCACCTTTTAGCTCTGGTGCCACCCATTTCTGACCTCTCGTCCTACACAACCTTGGCATGTGGCCCCCACATGGTTGCACCCAATAAAATGTGGCGCTTGAGCTGAAAAGGGTTTTCCTATCGCTGGTTTAATACAAGCAGCTGTTTCCGGGTCCAGTTGTAAGTGCTTTTTAAATCCCTGGATGCTTTGGAACCATGTGTAAAGTTTCCCCTTATAATGAGAACCACCTGAGCCCCAAAGCACCCTCTAACTTCCCAGGGTGCGTCTAGCGAGAGGGGGGAAGCCAATTCCTTGCATGCAGAAAATTCCAGGTTCAATCCTCAACATCTCTAGCCGAAAGGATGAAAGAGCAAGTGATGGGAAAGGCCTCTCTTGAACCCAGGACCTTTGAGAGTCACGGCTAGCCAGAAATGACACTATGCGGCAAGATAGGCAAACCACCTGAACTTTGGCTGAAGCAACCTAGTTTCATTACTTCTAATTAGAGATGGAAATATGATGGATTATGCAGAGTTGGGGTTCTGGGATACTGACTCTGCTGAGGAGTGAAGAGATATAAAAAGTCTATACTCCCTCCCTCCCCCCCACAAAAGTGTGACATGGAAAATTGTGAATAACATTTGCATGTTTGCATCTGCACCCTGCTAACTACTCTACAGATAGACAGATCGATAGCAATCAGCTATCTATCTATCTATCTATCTGTCTGTCTGTCTATCTATCTATCTATCTATCATCTATCATCTATCATCTATCATCTATTATCTATCTATCTATCTATCTATCTATCTATCTATCATCTATCTATCTATCTATCATCTATCTATCTATCTATCTATCTATCTATCTATCTATCATCTATCTATCATCTATCATCTATCATCTATCATCTAGCTATCTATCATCTATCTATCTATCTATCTATCTATCTATCTATCTATCATCTATCTATCTATCTATCTATCATCTATCTATCTATCATCTATCTATCTATCTAAACACACACATACCATCTTTTCTTATTTTCCAGTCTCTTCATTCCATTCTTGTTTGCAGGGATTTGTAGCTTTGATCGGAAAATGGATTAGAGTTCTTGGAAGGAGGACATAAAGTTCTCGCGAAGCAATGAGAGGCAATGTTTGTGCCAACAAACTGGTAGGGGACTGAAAAATGAGCTACTCCCGGTAGTTCAGTTTTGCTAGGCTGTAACAAAAAGAGGACCTTGTAAATCTTTACAGCTTTTGAAACAATAACAAAAATCCTTTCCAAACACCTCTTCCTGCGTGGATTTATGTCTGCAAAATGTTCCAGATACAAATCTTCCTTTCTTTCAAGAAGGAAAACAAAGAGGAGTGCTGGGGGGGGGGTTGTACATTGGGCACAAATCATGAATGCCTTACAATAGACTCACACCAGTAAAACAAAACAAAACCCCAAAATAACTGTGAAGAAAAACTACATTCCTGCATAGAATTGTATACTAGTCTGTCAGTCTCATGAACTATGAGGCCACAACTGCAACATATCTGATCTTTTTTTTTTAAAAAAAAAACCCAAATCCTAAATAGAGGGACCTGGGAGATCATTACTGGGACTGTGGTTTAACTCCTAGGACTAATGGCAACATGGGGAAAATTTTCCTCAGTAATTCAGTGTCAGTAGTATGAGTTAAGCCCCCTCCCCAGTTTCCAATTCTAATCCTGCTTTCTATTTAAGTTAAAAACACACTGATACAGTGGTACCTCTGGTTACAGACGCTTCAGGTTACAGACTCTGCTAACCCAGAAATAGTAAGAACTTTGCTTCAGGATGAGAACAGAAATTGCGTGGTGGCGGTGCGGCAGCAGCAGCGGGAAGCCCCATTAGCTAAAGTGGTACCTCAGGTTAAGAACAGTTTTAGGTTAAGAACGGACTTCCAGAATGAATTAAGTTCTTAAACAGAGGTACCACTGTACATCTGAAATTCACACATCTCCCTTTTTGACCTGATACTTCCCTGAGAGTATAGCAACAAGAAAGGTGTTTGGACAATGTCTGGCACCAGTGCTATTTTTCTAGAAAAAGAGGTGCCGGAACTCACCATGAACACCTCCCTTGTTCTCTTAGAATGGCAATGGCGCCCACCTGAGATTTGCCAGAACTGAGTTGTGGTGAGTTCCGGCTGGAAAAAAGCCCTGTCTGGCACTGAGGTCCAAAGGCAGGCAACTCCTTAGAGAAGGCAGGTGCAGGCAGAGATGACAAACGTAATGAAGAGCAAACCTGACCAAATTCAGGGAATGCCACAGGGCTGGGAGCTTTCTGGTGGTTTCTTGGGGCAAGAGTCCATCCCATACTGGCAAATTTGAGGGTTTGCCCCTCAAAAATTTCCCCTCAGAATTTGACTTCTTGCAACAAGGGAAGCAGTGAAACGATGCGCTGGAAACTGGGATATAACGCTTGCCTGATGCAATGTCATCAATCAAGCGGTATATAAATTGTATGAATATTTTATTTTTTTATTTAAAAACCTCCCCACAAGCAGGTCAGTATGAGTACTACGTAAATAACCAACATCATCTAACCTCCCTGCAAGCTTTGTGCAAAAAAAAAATCAGGTTGAATGAGCACCTGGAAATTACCTGACATTACCTGATTCCTTGACTCAAATTACATGCAGCAAGTTGTCTTTTCAAATCAATGCCTCGGCAAGGAGGAGGGAATTGGTGACTGACTCCCATAGCTCCTGTCCTGCTTCAAGTTCTGTGGTCGCTTATTGTCGGCATCTAAACTCCATGTCATCATTTTTACTGAAGCTTTTTGCCTCTGCTTTCAACAGCTTTTTCTTTTATTAAATCTGCTTTTCGGTGCAGAAGTTCGCATAAGTGTACCATACTTGCCTCAGGGGAATTATGAAGGGTCAAACTCAAGAGTGCCCTGTTATTACAGTGTAATCCTACACATGTTTACTTGGAGGTAAGTCTAATTATGTTCAGTGGGGGTAGTCTTCAGGAAATGTGCTTGGTTAGGGCCCAGCCTTCTTCTCTGGGGACTGTAAACAATATCTCTCTTACTTAATACAGCAGAAAACAGAGAAAATTGTGTGTGTCTTTGTGTGTGGTGTGCTTAAGATCTGCTTTTTCTCCAAGGCAAATTAAAAGAGTACGGCTGCCATGGAATTTCTATATTTCCCTGGTGTGTTATAATGTTTCTGGGATTGTTATAGGAATACAGAGTGGGCATATTTTCATATTTTACTATAATGCTAACGAGAGCATGATTTACGTTTTCGAAAAAATTTCCCACACAATAGTTAAAATAGTTGGGGTTTAGTTAGGAAAGATTCCAGAATCAAAACCTATCCAACCCTGCAGAAATTATAGTACGGACCTTCCTGTACTGGCTTCTACTACAGCCTGCAGGTGGGAGGGAAGAGTTATATATTTCAATTTTTTTCCACGTGACGAAACCTTCCTGTGTATATAGAGCAAGCATAAGTTTAGCCTAGCTGCCTCCCTTTGCTCTTTGAGTGCAAGGATTTTCTCCAGCACTCTCTCATGTGATCTGCAACTGGTGACACTGTCCAAGGAATGCTATGTGTTATATTTGCATGCAGGAATAAGTCTTCTTGGATGCACTTGAAATGTGTGGGCTGCTGCTATCAGAGAGACAGACAGACCTCACCTGCATTTCCTGTTGCACATTTAAAAACCAGTTCTTTGACCATTCAGCACTGCAAGGAACCTCTCAAAACCAACCACATGGAGGCAGCTCCACTGACATAACGCCTCTACTGGTGTGAACCAGCCTCCCACCAATTTTAACAACATCAGCAATGCAAATACAAACCACAAACGCATACAACTCCTAGGGGCTGAGGTCCTTTCGGCACTCCCCATAAAATATTTGAGGGGACCGAGTGTGCAGTATGTCATGTGTGTGCAGTATGTCATGTGATCATTTGTGCAGGGTGGGGCTTACCTGGGATCCCCCAATATTTTATTCAAGTTGGCACCCTTGCATGGCAGCATGGAAATAACTTATTGTCACATCCACACTATTCGTTTGAAGCTCATTTGAAGCATATTATTTCACTCAAAGAATCCTGGGAACTGTAGTTTGTTTGGGGTTCTGGTACCTGTAGCTCTGTGAGGGTTGTCCTGAGAGGTTCCCTGGAAGAGGAATTGGCTGTTAAACCACACTGAGAATTGTAGCTCTGTGAGGGGATTGGGGGTCTCCTAACAACTGTCAACACCCTGATGTCCCCTAACAACTCTTAGCACCTCTCAAGGCTCCTGACACTTCACAGCATCATGCTTTGAACCCATGGAGCAGATGGGGCCTATGTCTGCCCGCATGATAAATAGTATGAGGGAGACTAAGTTCTGGGAAGAAGATGCATCAGGCATTTTCTTATTTGTTTATGCACCATTACAGTGGATTCAATAATTTGCCTAAAATAAAGGAAACCAACAATTTCACATGAAAGACCAAACTGAGGGCTAGGATAGGGGTACATACAATGTGATCTGTTTGAACCAGAGTTTTTATACTTGCTTAGCTCATGGCATGGCTTTGGGTGATCTGTCACCCTAATATACCTCTTTTGAGGGCTTAGGTAGAATAACCACACACTGCCAACCCCAGAAGTCCTTCGCAGGATGGTGGGGTACAAAAATGATAAGCAAATGACACCTCACAACAAAACAAACAAACAAACAAAACAGACCTTTCTCTCTCTGACACTCAAGGAGACACCATGTTTATCCGTGCTATTTTTCTAGAAAAAGAGGTGCCGGAACTCACCAAGAACGCCTCCCTCGTTCTCTTAGGATGGCAATGGTGCCCACCTGAGAGGTGCTGGGACTGAGTTCCGGTGAGTTCCTGCTGGGAAAAAAAGCCCTGGTTTTTAATCCAAAGCTGCTTGTTTTCTTGTTGACAGGCAGGCAGAATCCTAGATGTCAAAATGACAGAGCGCTTTGACTGCCACTACTGCAAGGAGACACTGTTTGGCAAGAAGTACATTTTGAGGGAGGACAGCCCCTACTGCATCAAGTGCTACGACAGCCTGTACTCCAACACGTGCGAGGAATGCAAAAAGCCGATTGGCTGCGACTGCAAGGTACTTCGGATACGCTTTTCAACCGGCCTTGTTCTTGGATCGCAATTAATGTGCATTTTATTTATTTGTTTGTTTTATACAGCGCTCCCTAGTTCAGCAGAAACATGTAAGCCGTTTGCAGGTCCCAACAAAAAGGAATGTGCAAATAGAAGATAAAGTCCAGATTCAAAAAAACCAAACAATACTACTGCTACCGCCACAACCACAACTGCTGCTGCTACTAAATTTCAAATAGAAGTTTCCTTGTGGCAGCTGGACTTTACATCACATCTCTCCTACTCTAAGGAGATGCACTGGCGGAGGAAGAGAAGTGCCGGGGGAGCGCACCACCCCCGGCAACGTGATCCAGTGGGGTGCCATTGCGGCTGCCCCCCACCCATGCTGGGTGCCACGCCCCTGCGGGCAGTGCACCACGCCCCCAGGACACATGCCACGCCCCTAGGACACACACCATGCCCCCAGGACGTGCGCCACGCCCCTGCAGGTGGCATGCCCCGCCCCCAGGATGAATGCCAGCCCCGCCCCCACCTTCTCTCTGCCCCCCGGTGCCAGAGCATGAAGCTCCGGCACTGATGAGATGGGTCATGTTTATTGTAGGATTTCTCTTGCTCATGTACACAAACTTTTCATAGCATCCCTACAATGCCTTTGGCATCACAGCACCAACCCATGTTTCTTTCCAGTCCAATCTACATATAGATTAGGGAAATCTGATAATTCAAAAATAGCAGTTGCCAGTGACCCATTCACAATATCAAGCCTGTGTCTGGAAGCACCCTAAGATAATATTTTTGGGGAAAGTCGGTAGTGCTGAGTTTTATAATTTTTTCCTCTTCTGCCACTGTCCGTGTTCAAAATCATCCCTAAGGTCAGGCATAGGCAAACTCGGTCCTCCAGATGTTTTGGGACTACAACTCCCATCATCCTTAGCTAACAAGACCAGTGGTCAGGGATGATGGGAATTGTAGTCCCAAAACATCTGGAGGACCGAGTTTGCCTATGCCTGCCTTAGGTGCTGGGGGAGTACAGAGACTCTGTTCCCTACTGCACATCTAAGAGCAGCTTTGGAGTGATGAAATAGATCAGGATAACAGTTTTGGGGGAAAGGTTGAAACCCTCCCACTTCCAGCACTTACTGAGCCAATCAAAACTGGAACACCCATTGACTGCTTTAAGGTAAACATGAACATATCAGATGACTAATCACAGATCTCCCACATCTCCTTTGGTTGGCCTCAAGTCTTCTTATTTTTTCAATAACAGAGTTTTGGTTTTTCTCAATTTCTCATTTTTCCAGGCTTAAATTCAGTTGTCTGTTGCAATAAATGATTAATAATAATAGTCAGCACTTTATTGTGAATTTATACACACATTTTTATACAGCTTTGGCTAATATGCACAATTTTGCAAACAAATTTCCAGAATCCTATGCATTTTTGCACACATTTTCTGGTTGGAGAAATTGTACTTCAAAATTCAAAGAAGTGCAAATTTTGGAGGATAGTTGTGTTTTGATTTGTGTATTGGTTTAAAAATGTGTGAGTTGGGAAGTTTCTCATGGAAATGCCAGCCTAGTCTAATTTCTTCCCATCCCTACTAAACATACATGTGCAAAGATTCTCTGAGTTGCCAAGCAGAAAGAAGGCAGCAGTTTCTTTGGTGAGTCTACTTCTAAGATCTTTTCCTTGGGGACTTTGAATGTGTTGACATTCAAGAATCCCTAAGCTTGACTAAGCTCCAACAAATTTCAGAGCATGGAATTAATCAGCTGAACTTTTCAACCCAGACTGATGGATTTGGGGAGTGTAGGTGTTATCAGATCTCTATGGTGTTTTTTTTAACAAAACAAAAAACAAGACTTTCTGCAAGGACAGATAAAGTCCTTGATAGCCAGAAGATTGGTGGTGGTTGTTTTTCCCCCGGTGAAGGAATATATTGCTATAGATAAGAAAAAAAATATGCACACACATATTCCCACTTGAACACTCACATGCACACACAGAAGCTGACAAGAGTGACTTAACAGGAGAGAATAACAAAGATGTGTTTGTGATTAATATCTCTTTCTGCCAATTAAACTTCAGTGATCCTCACTTAGCAACTGCTGCAATAAACTTTGCCCATCATGTGGCAACAGCATTCCATATCAACTATGGATCAGTTTTGATGTGTATACTCCTCATGGAATATGGCCTGAGTACATGCCACAAACTATTCTGCCGGACAGAAAACTTGCTTTACAAGTTTCTTCATCAGCAGACCCTCCTGCAAACTGTATTTTGAAATCCCTTGAAAGTTCATAGTCCATTATGCAGTTATGCATACCTAAGTCCCAAGGAAGTCTATGCCAGCCCTACCATTAGGCAAAATGAGGCAACCGCCTCAGGTGGCAGAAGCTGAGAGGCAGTAGCCATAGCCCTCCTGTCTGTCCTTCCTAAGCTGCTCTGCCATCCCCCTCCATCGGAGGACATGCCTGTGTGTGCTATGTGCAACATGTCTTGCGCCCCCTTCCAACTAGCCTGCCACCTTGGGTTCAAAGGAGGACATTATCCCATCACCATTACTGAAGTAAGATTCAAGGACCAGTTCAGCCAGCTTCTGTATGTAGAAGTATGGTTTTATTTGCCCACACAGCTCAGCAGGAAATTAGAAGGCTAAAGCCCTAAAAAGAACACATTCCTATCAAGGGAACAGTAATCAGATGGGGCTTTCTTTTCTTGAATTTTGTATTTTAAAAAAAGATGCTACTACTTTGGTAGGCAAACAGAGGGAGGCAAAAATAAAATGAGAAGGAAGAAAAATGCAGAAGAGAGCAAATGCAAAGAAAGGAACTTGATCGTTTTTATACACCTAAGTTTTCACAAACTGCCATTGTTTCATAGCAGGAGAAATATATATATATAAAATGTCCAGTAGCACCTTAGAGACCAATTAAGTTTGTTCTTGGTATGAGCTTTTGTGTGCATGCACACTTCTTCAGATAACTGAAGGGACATTGCACATATTCCATTTGGCTCCAAGTTGTTGTTTTCCATAAAAATTCCTTTCCAGAGATACTATCAGGATTATGTGAGGTAATTTCCTGCAAAGGAAAGTTGTTGAATTTTCAGTGCTAAACGAACAATTAATATTACGCTTTTGCTCGAGAGTCACTGAGCAGTTCTGATAGTGACAGATTCTGTGTTTCAGGGCTGGCATTTGGTTTATTTTTTGTGGGGGGGGGAGTGTGCCATTAAAATACTCTTTAATGAATATCCCCTTTGGTGGGTTTGTTTGTTTGTTTGTTATAATAAATGAACTTTTCTTAAAAACTGGAGGGCAGCTCATTAAGGGCATGCAAGTATGTGTGGTGGGAGCAGTATACAAAATTCTGCAACTAGCTGAACTTAACTGCAATTGTTTTAAGTTGTTTGGAGTTGAAGTTCTGTAAGTGAAGCTTATGAACCCTATATTTGGACTGGATCATATTTATTTCAAAGAAGACTCGGTTTCTATTCACCCAACTGCAATATTAATAACCTCAGTAGCCCTGACCTAGTTCTTCCCTTGCATAGTCTGAGTAAATTCTCCTCCATTTCTCTTAGTAAGCTCTTTACTAAGCCTCCTTTGTGGTTTGGGATTTCTACAGGATCTGTCCTACAAGGACCGGCACTGGCACGAAACCTGCTTCCACTGCTTCCAGTGCAAGAACTCACTGGTGGACAAACCTTTCGCAGCAAAAGAAGAACATCTTCTCTGCACGGAATGCTACTCCAATGAATACTCCTCCAAGTGTAGCGAGTGCAAGAAGACCATCATGCCAGGTTAGGACTTGGTCTGCTTTCAGGACGGGGATGGGAGTGTCTTTCGGGGACCGAATTCAAGGCCAATGGGAGGCTCTTCCACAGTCTTATTTCTGTAAGCCAGGGTGATGGGGCAGGAGGAGATGCTCAATCACTTCTGCTTCTAACATTTTAAAAATGCAGGAGATAGATCCTGATAATGAAATCCCTGAATCTTGGCCGGTTGTGCCTCATTATATCAGTTTGTTGCTATTGCTTAAGTCTGTGAACTACATTGATAGCAGAGGAATACTGGAAGCGACCCAAAGACCTAAAGGTTTCATAAATTTTAATATAAATGAAAAAGCTTACCTGGAGGCAAGACGTATTCTCCATACTTTGAAAATTAAGTACATAATTATTATTTTTAAGCAGCAGGGTTTTTCCCCTGACTTTCTGACTTTTAACTGGGGCTATCAAAAGGCTCGCAGTTTATCTGCTTTTATAAGAAAATCAGAAAAGGCACTCTCTGAAACCCTGGAAGCTGAGCATGCTTCGTGCTCAGGTTTCACTGCCCCCAAACTAGCAGCCTCCCAACATCCTGAATCGTGGATTCAAAGCCCAATTAAACGTGGTTTGATTTTACTTGCTGAATAGAATGCAATAGCTTGGCTGATACGAGTGTTTTTGCTGGCAGAGTCTGATGGCTGTGCTGAAAATAGAAGGCAGGGGAAAACCAGTTTTTTTATGAGTCAGGAAGTCGATGTGTAATCAGCAGATGATCACTAGTAAAAAAAAAAAACTTTTTGAATTGCCTCTTGTGTCGCTTATCCTCAAATTAATTTTTATGCTTGATTAGCCATGACATTAAAATTAGAGAGGTTTGGGTTACAAGCTAGGAAAGCAGAAACCACAACTATGCAGCTACATTCAAAGCAGATGACCAAAATCCATTGCAATTTTGCATTAGCTACAGATCTCTCCTCACCACCACCACCGCCAACCCTGCTATGTATAATGGCAAATGTCCTAGGTGGTGTGTTAAAGCACTTGCAGAGATTACAGAGGCTTGATTCAAGGCTTAAATGAAACCACACATTTGGGAGATGCAAGGGGGGTGGGGACAAGTGTTTGGCCAAAAGCATACCCCAGAGTCCACAAAAGGTGCCCTTTATCATCTGGGAATTATCTGCAAGGACTCTGGTTTTCATGTTTTAAATGGCCGCTAGCGTTCGCTTTTGAAACGGAACCTGCGTGACATGATTTGGGACGAGGAAAAGGAAACACCTTTGGCAGGTGGGTATCAGGCTTCGGGGAATCAGATTCCTCCCCTGGTGGCAGCGAAGAAGCAGATAAAAGAAAACAAAAGAGTTCTTCTTTTAAGAGTTCTTCGCTCCCGGTGGCAGCGAAGAAGCAGATAAAAGAGTTCTTCCCAATTAGTTTATTCAACAATCAAAGGGAGAGACAAAAGAATGCGTCTCTCTCTAGAAATGGTGTTGCTCCAAGAAAAGTCCCACCCCTTCCAGTGTGCCAGTGTGGTGTAGTGGTTAAGAGCTGTGGAATCGTAATCTGGTGAACCGGGTTCGCGTCTCCGCTCCTCCACATGCAGCTGCTGGGTGACCTTGGGCTAGTCACACTTCTCTGAAGTCTCTCAGCCCCACTCACCTCACAGAGTGTTTGTTGTGGGGGAGGAAGGGAAAGGAGAATGCTAGCCGCTTTGAGACTCCTTCGGGTAGTGATAAAGCGGGATATCAAACCCAAACTCTTCTTCTTCTCTCCGTTTCTACTATTCTGCGTCACCGCTACATTGGCTAATCTGAGCTTTCTACCGCTGAGCTTTCTGTTCTACTACCCTCAATGCCTGCCTTGTCTTAGTATGGGGAGGGGGGTCAGGATTGCTTTCAAAGGACCCTGCGTCTGTCAGCTGTCTCTCCCCTGGTGTTTCCTCTTCCTGCTGTTCCTCTTCCAGTATTTCCCAGCTTCTATCCTCTGCAACCTCTGAACTATGACCTTCTGCAAACCACTGTTCTAAATCTATGCTCCTGTCCTCAGAAAGATTTAGGAGAAAGGGTGGCGGCCCCCACCATTCCTCCTCAGTCCAGTCCCTGGCAGCAGGGCTGGCCCTACCATTGGGCAAAGTGAGGTGGCCACATCAGGCAGCAGATGTTGAGGGGTGGGGATTGGCAGGCCCTCTCAAAGGTCTGGAGAGACCCAGGCCACTTCCAGCTTTTGAGACCCCAGCCAAAAATAAAAAAGATGACACACACACACAAAAAGCATTGAAAAATGTGAGGGTTTTTAAAAAAATATATAATCAGCTGAGGACACATGTATCACAGACTAATCTTGTACCATCAGAACTATTCTGCACAGAGTCTGGCAGCTATAAAAGGACCGTGGTGGCCAGTGCTAATTTTATACTTCTCCCTTGTTCTCCTATGATGGTGCCCACCTGAGAGGTACCAGAACTAAGTTCTGGCAAGTTCTGTCTGGGGAAAAAAGCCGTGGTGGTAGCCCTGCTGAACTGATGTCCTCCTCCAATCCTACCATCAGAAATCACTGAAATCAATATTTTTAAGCCCATATATTTAAACAGGTCTACTCTGAGCATGAGTAACTCTAGATATCGCCTCATATAATTAAACAGAACAGAAATTACGAAAATAATTATACACACAAATCCATCCAGATGCAACTTCATAGTGCATGTCTGCACAGTGTGCTTACACCATGCAATGCAATATAATAAATATAATAGTAGAAATGAATGAAACACAACCCCTTTCTGCATAGGAAAGGCAGATGCTACAGGCTCTGGATTTTCCAGTGTGGTGTATTAAATGTGATAGTATAATAGCTCATGCTGGCTTGTGCAATGTGGGCTGACAAGTACATCGTAGGTGGGCAGATGTTGTTGCTATCTCTGATTTAAGCAGGTTGCAGTGGTCCAAACAGAATGCAATAAAATTATACCATCGTATAATGGAATATAATGGAATTATAATCATATAATGGAATAAGAACTGAAAACATCTCAGCAGTACTTCAAAGATGGGAACTTGTGAAGCCACCCAGCTCAGTTATCAGATCTGCTTTGTTTAATAGGGCATCCTTTCATTCCTTCAGGGATCGACACTTTAGCTCTCAACTCTACCTAATTCTTTTTTTTTTTAATAAAAAAAATCACATAAGCACTAAATGTAGCATAATTATAGCTTTATTAATATAGCACATTAATAAACTGATAAGATGTGAAAAGCCATTTAAAATGTCATAGAGCAAGATAATAATCTGTTAACACATTTGCTACATTGCTTTTATGCCAATTAGAGCTCACTTAATAATTTTTTAAGTCTCTTTCAATGTAGCGCTTACTCTAAGAGGGACAAATTCTCTCATCTGATAAATGATGTTAATATCACTGAAAGCTGCTTGCAAATCATACAGAGGTAATAGCACTTTGCCTTTAAACTGCCGCCCAACAATAATGTGGTTGATTTAACTAGGATGCCCTTCAACATTGGCTTTTCAAAGACCCCACAAGGTGTGCTTGAAATATTTAAATGCAAAAATTCCTCTTTCGTTTTGGCTGGGCTTCTTCTGCTCTGGTTTCTTTCCAGAGAGGGAATGAATCGGAGGTGGTTTTAGGGTGGCTCGACCAAGTGCTGTCATGGTGGGCGCCATGATGCAGGGGACACACACAAAAATGCTGTGTTGGATTTTAGCACTGCATAGGACCCCACTGAAGTTTGAGAGCCCAAAGTTGACCACTGAATGAATGAGCATGTGCTCACATTAGGGGAATCCATATGTGAAAATGAGATGTCTCCTGTATTTGTGAGAAAAATTCAGAACATGGTCTCTTTCAGACAGCCCATTCATTGAACATGGTAGTTCCATTGCACTCAGAAACCCGGGGTGTGTGTGGCTTGAGCGAGGACATTCTCTGTGGCAATTTCTAAGCTGTGGATTTCCCACCCAAGGAGCATTCGACACCTTTATTGTGTCTTTCATCATCTGCTGAAGATTCCCCACTGACCTCTTTTTGACACCCAAGATATATTTTAGAACACATTCTGTGCTCTTGGTTGTCATCTGCTTTTACTGTTTTTTAATATTGCATTTTTTTATCGTTGTAACCCTTTCCACAAAGCTTGCGAACAAATATTCCAGGTTACACATGCCCAACTGGTTTGACTTACTCTAGCAAGTCTCTTTTTACAGCCAGGGTCAAAATGGGTGGTGTTTTTGTTGTTTGCTTGGTTGGTTGGTTGGGTTTTTTTGTTTTTGTGTTTTTGGAAGGGCTGGTGTGCTGGTCCCGAGGGTTAACCGTGTGGTGAGGTCCGAGTCCAGTCCGAGGTTGAGGGTATGGTATGGAGGCTGTCCGTCAAAGCTGAAGCGGGGTCCAAGGCAGGGAGTCGGGTGAGGTCAGGAACTCTGGCAGGAGAGCAGGACAGGGTGCAGGCAGGAACAGGCTACCAACAATATTGCTCCCACAACCTGGGACTGGGGCTGGCTTTATCTGCCCCGAGGCATAGGGCGGCCCCGGTCCACAGGTGACTCGCCTCTCCTGGCCTGGAGGTGAGCACTCCTCCTGTGGGAACTTAGTTCCCTCCGCCTCTCTGCCCTGAGCCTCTGCAGGTCAGGAGAGGCTGGAGGGTTACCGGACCCAGAGGCAACCTCAGCTGAGAGTGGAGCACCTGCAGGCAATGGGTCCTCCATCACCTCAGGAGCCAGAGCAGACTCAGCTGGTGCCTGCACCTGAGGATCCAGCACAGGTGAGGACCCTTCAGGCTCATGCCCCAGCCCCGGCTCAGCTGGTTCTGGAGGTGGGGACTCCTGTGCAGGCTGGGATTCCTCAGGTTTAGCCTCCGAGTCCAAATCCCAGGCCATCACAGCTAGGTTAATTCAGTCCTACACCCAAACTCAAAACTGTCTAAGGCAGAAAATGGGCTGGAAAAATGCTGAAGAAAGTAGGAAAACAGAAGTAGAGGAAAAATTGGTTTTAAGCATTTGTAACGGAACCTAGAAAGTCAGAGAGGCAAAAGAGGGTTAGGTAATCATTAGCCAATGATCAGAAAAGAGAAGATACAAATATAAGATGCAATAAGTGCGTGTTGTATTTGGATCAGAATGTAACCAGGAAGGAGCTACAGAGTTCAGACCTTGTTTGGGGGGAATGGTCATCTCCAGTTGCCCTGTGCTAGAGCTGCATGATGAGGTTTTCCACTTAGGTGAGGGCAGCCTCTTCAGTGCTTGGAAATTTTCCCAGCAGCTTTAAGAGATTGACTTCTCCTCAGTTCTCAAGAGAAGCACCAAAGGACCAGTCTCATTGGCGTCTTGGTATTTTGCATCAACATGGTCATGAAGGTGCCAAATTCCACTTTGCACAACCCAAAAAAGCTAGAATCTATCTCCAGTGCTGAGAGGTGGGACTGATGCCAGCCCCCAGAAAGGGAACAACGGGAAAGGATGGAAGGAAATCAAAACTAGGAGAAAGGAGTGTTTCACCCCGAGCAAAGGCCACTAGCAAATGTTGATGAAAGGCCACAAAACCCCACGACCTGAATTGTTTTCATAATCTATTGAGAGAGTCACTCGAAAAGGGGCTCTTCATGCAGCTCACCTGCACATCTTAAACATCAGAATGGATCTCAGGAGTGTAATAGCTGCAGGAATTTATACTTTTGCTGCTCCCACAAAAACCCAAGTTTCTGCTAAAAGTGTGTCCGGCTTCTCCTCGTACGCTAACTGGAAAATGGAACACAGTTTCTACTTACCTTTTCCCTACACAGCAGCTTGAAAGCCAAGGTAGAAATCTCATGCTGTGGTCTCCTCCTAGGTACCCGCAAGATGGAATATAAAGGAAACAGCTGGCATGAGACCTGCTTTATCTGCCATCGGTGCCAACAGCCAATTGGAACAAAGAGTTTCATTCCCAAAGACAGTCAAAATTTCTGCGTGCCCTGCTATGAAAAGCAGTTTGCTATGCAGTGTGTCCAGTGCAAGAAGGTATTGTTTATTGCTTCGTGCAAATGACTATTCAACCGAAAGCGACACACACACACACACACACACACACACACACTTGTCTGCTTTAGTTCGAAGCAAAACTGCAATCCAGTTATGCGTCTACTTTTGCTCCAACACGTTCCAGAGCATTGAACTATATCAGGCTGTGCAATGCTTTGAAGTCATGCGTATTTTGGCTTACCTAAAAGACAGAAAGACACAGGAACAAAGAAGGTTGTCAGGGGCTTCGCAGAAAAGGTGTGAGGGGTTCAGCATGAGACTAGTTCTGCTACCTATTGCTTAAAAGATTTGCAAGGTGAACGGAAATGGGGCACAAAATCAATAGGAATTCCTTTTTTATTTTCTTTTTCATTCCCATTTTTCTTTTCATTTCGCAGCCAATTACTACAGGAGGAATTACTTACCGGGAGCAGCCATGGCACAAGGAGTGTTTTGTGTGCACTGGGTGCAAAAAACAGCTCTCTGGGCAACGCTTTACTTCCCGGGATGAGTTTGCCTATTGTTTGAACTGCTACTGCAGCCTCTATGCCAAGAAGTGTGCAGGATGCACCAATCCAATCAGTGGTAAGTATCGTGTTACCGTTTTCCTTTGCAGACAGAAAAAAAGCACCTCAAAAACAGCATCAATCAGTTCAGAATAAAGTTCATTCGTTCATTTTATTTATTTGCTGCTTTTCCTGGAGGGCCACAGGTTCCTCATCTCTGATCTAGGGACTGACAGGAATCTAGAATTCTGCATGCAGGCTCAGCTGTGACAAAGTTATGTCAATGATGTGTTTAAATGCAACTTTCCCACATGTTTAAGTCCAAGGAAGTTTATTCACAACTGGAAACGATGTGGGAATCTGACCCAAATGACCTTACAGAAGGTGTTCCTGTGTTTTCTTCTTAAATACTTGTTTTGCCTTTTCAGGACTTGGAGGAACCAAGTACATCTCCTTTGAGGAACGCCAGTGGCACAACGATTGCTTCAACTGCAAGAAGTGCTCCCTGTCGTTAGTGGGCCGCGGTTTCCTCACAGAAAGGGATGACATCCTGTGTCCTGAGTGTGGGAAGGACATTTAAAATGTGAAAAGAATAAAACCACCACCATCGGCTCTCACAAGTGCATATATTTTCTCAAATAAGCAATGACAGCTGTGGGTTTTGACCAGAAGTGAAAAAAGTGTTTGGGTTTTCCCCCCTGAAATACAGGGTATATAGTCATCAGGATTTTTTTTTCTTTTTCTTTTTCTAGGTTGTAGAAATGCTTTAGAGAAGGGAAAGACAAAAGGGTGGGGAGGTGGTTTTGACATTGACTGCTAGGCAATACATTTATGAATCGAGTCCAGTTCAAATACGGAGTTGTGAGTTGCTCAGATATTTAGAGGATAAAAGCTACCAGTGAAGATGGCTGATTATTATCTCCAGGTTTAGAGACAGTGTGAACTCTGGCTGCCAGGTGCTGGAGAACACAACAGGAAGTGTGGTATTGAGATAGCGTTGCCATACGCCTGGAATTTTCCAGACATAGCCAGCATTCATCCCCCTTAAGCAGCGTCCAGGCGGAAATTGCTTAAATGTCCAGGAAAATATGGACATATGGCAGCCCATGTTGGTAGTGTAGATTTAGGCAATTTTAATTTAAAAAAATAGCTCAAAAACACATTTTTTGTTGTTGTTGAGATTTCGTGGGGGGAAAGCTCAACAACTCAACAACTTTGCCAAAAAGAGCAGAGCTCAACAGCTTCTGTGTCTGGATTTTCACTTTTTGAAATATGGCAACCCTAATTTAGCTCATACCCTGCTTGTGGACTTCCCATAATAATCTGCTTGGCTACCACACAACACAGGGTGCTGACGTAGCTGGGCCTTTGGTTTGATTCAACAGGGCTGTTACATTCTTAGCAATACAAATTTCAATACAAAGATGTATGTAGTTTAAAACTGATAACATATTTGACTTGGGGATTCTGGAAAGATTACAGGAGCTACTGTTTGGTATTGATAGATCAAGTATCAGTGTTCATCTTGTCCAAGTAGGTGATAATTTGAAAGTAGGGTATGTTGGTTCAATCAGTGATAGAAAGTTAGATAGAAAGTTTTGGGTTATGCCTTAAAATAAGGGTTTTGAGGCTACAATTCTATGCATACTTTCACTGGAATTACTCCCATTAAACTGATTGGGACGTTCTTCGACATAAATGTACACAGGAACAGACTGCATGAGGTTTAAATTGATGTGAATCCGCAACACATTATTGCATGATACTGCAAGGCCATTTTGCAAAGTACATTTTTCGTTTTTAGTACTCGTTTTGAAATTCCATTGCACCTTGTATTTTATGAAGTAATAAACGTATTTCTAATGAAGTCTGCTGTATTTTGGTGAAGTTGACATCTTAAAGACTTAACTTTCAATAAATGTTAGCATTTGAGGTAAGGCGTGGATAAACTCCTTTTATTTAAAAAGGATGGATCCATATGAACAACAAAACAAAACCCCAAATCTCGGTGAGGCCATTAAAAAACAGAAGCATTACATGTTCAGAAAGTAACAGCCCAATCACTGGCTGCTACTGGTACAAACAGAAAATTGCCCTTATTTTCTGAAATATTAGGCAATCATGGAAATTAAGAGCAGCTACATTCCTGTTCCAGGTATTTCCAGTAGTGTAGCTGCAGTGCTTGTACTGCAATATTGCTCCAGCGTCTGCTGTTCATCATACTTTCGCAATCAGTAACTTCAGGCGCTGATCAAAACAGATTCTGAAATCATAAATAAGCAAGAGGCAGATGAGATCGCAGCTTCCTCAGATTTATACTGTTATGCATAACTATTAGTAGGGCTTGAGAAGGCTTTATCTTCCTAGCTTAAGGATAAGGTAGCTAGGAGTCAGCTCCTGCTACTGCAGTACATTCATTTTCACTTTGTGTCCAATTATATTAGGTAGATAGTTTGTCCGCTTTACGAAAACATGGGGTTCGTTTTATCTCAGCTCTGGAAAACAGGTCCGAAGAAAATGTATACAGTGGATGCTCGGGTTGCGAACGTGATCTGTGCGGGAAGCACGTTTGCAACCCGCAGCGCTGCGTCTGCGCATGCGTGGGTCGCAATTCGGCGTTTCTGCGCATGCGCAAAGCGCGATTTAGTATTTATGTGCATGCGCGAGCACCGAAACCCGGAAGTAACCCATTCCGGTACTTCCAGGTTCGGCATGTTGCGCAACCCAAAAATGTGCAACCTGAAGCGTCTGTAACCCGAGGTATGACTGTATATGGACCAGTGACAGAATATTTTCTGCTTTTCACACAGTCAGGATATTAATTCAGATTTAAGATCTCTCAAACAATATAGGGGAAACATCTCAAAAAGTGTGCAGGGCATAATTATTTATAATGTTAGTCTTTTCAGGCAAATTATAATTTTGGGGAAGAATTATGTAAATCCATTTCTGGCATATGCTGTTTCTTTTCTACAATAAAAACATAAGCTCTCCAGCGATTAATGCAGAAGATTTAAAATCCATATATACTCTTAAGAGAAGACCATAAAAGCTTGATCTCTCTCCCCAAGCCAAATATTAAACTTTGACCCAGCAGTTCTGTCTGTATTTCTACCAGTCATGAGAGCTGCTCATCACATATACCGGTAGTTGCTGCTGAGGAATTCAAGGCAGGCTCTAGAACAAAACAAATAATGAAAAGGAAACCCCAAATCAATCTTGATCTTCTTTTTTTTTTTCTATTTCCCAGATGGAAGCATACATAACATTATTTAACAACTTTCTTTTCCCCAGAGGGAATCTTTTTCTACCAGGAATACATACCGTTAATCCCGATCTCTCTTAACCTCACCCACCCAAGAGATTATTCCAATTGTTATCTTTATACGGAGCCTGACAACCGAAGTTCCCTTACTATGACCAATCTATAGCTCTTTTTAAAAATGTCAAGGTAAGAGCACCAAGCAAACGTGTGTAGGATTGCACTGTTACCTTTAAGTAGTTATATAGCCATTTATACATTAATGAGGTTGAGAATTTAGAAGCAAATCTTCAGGCCACTGACAACCTGATAATCTGATATGCTAATGTTTAGATCACTGTCATAATCCACTTACAATCGATTCCCCTATTGGCCAAACTACTTTGTGTCAAAGACCATATTCACATTAGCCTTCGTTGGCATTTGTTGCCCTCTCTCACATGCTCCTGTGCAGAACCCAGGTCAATTCTGGGAAGCAGCACGATCGTTGCCATTCATGAAGTTGCTGGAATGTATATACTTAACCTCTTGCATAGGTTCTAAGACAGAGGTCAGCAAACTTTTTCAGCAGGGGGCTGGTCCACTGTCCCTCAGAACTTGTGGTGGGCCGGACTATATTTTTTGGGGGGAAATGAACAAATTCCTATGCCCCACAAATAACCCAGAGATGCATTTTAAATAATAGCACACATTCTACTCATCTAAAAACACCAGGCAGGCCCCACAAATAACCCAGAGATGCATTTTAAATAAAAGGACACATTCTACTCAAGTAAAAACACGCTGATTCCTGGACTGTCCGCGGGCCGGATTTAGAAGGCAATTGGGCTGGATCTGGCTCCTGCGCCTTAGTTTGTCTACCCATGTTCTAAGATAACATAGTAAAATTCTGTACCAATGGCTCAAAGAGAAGAAGAGTTGATATCCCGCCTTTCACTTCCCTTCAGGAGTCTCAAAGCGGCTAACATTCTCCTTTCCCTTCCTCCCCCACAACAAACACTCTGTGAGGTGAGTGGGGCTGAGAGACTTCAGAGAAGTGTGACTGGCCCAAGGTCACCCAGCAGCTGCATGTGGAGGAGTGGGGAATCGAACCTGGTTCACCAGATTACGAGTCTACAGCTCCTACTGCAGAGGAATGTAATGTGATGCTTGCTATGCAGTGTGCCACAATATATGTCATGGCCTCTGCATGAAAGGTACCATGAGATGAAACCTTTTTATATTTGTCCAAAAATATAAAGTTCACCTTACTGACTCCAAGAGCGCTGCTCCTGCAGCTTTCTTCGATGGTATGAATCGGTAGCAGCTGCTTTTTGCATTTCATCAAACATGGTAATGAATGGATGTTGTTTGTGTCTTGGGTCTTGACAAGGTTTACGATGTGCTGCCCACTAACTCAGTCTCTGTTTAGAATGGTATCAAGCAAATCATCTTAAAATGCTTGAAAATCTCTCATTGCTGTATCAGAAAAGGCAACACAGGGGCAAAGAAATGATCTTCTGAACAAGTACTTGGGGTTGCGAATACTGCTTTCTCCTCACCATCTTCATGACAGGGATATGAAAACCCACATCGTTTGTGCTTCATTTGGCTGGCTGCAGGACAGATACGCTCTGGGATCTGTGGGAATGATCCCATTGACTTAAAAGTGAAAAGCAATTTTTTTTACTACAGTGGTACCTCAGGTTAAGTACTTAATTCGTTCCAGAGGTCCGTTCTTAACCTGAAACTGCTCTTAACCTGAAGCACCACTTTAGCCCGATTTCTGTTCTTATCCTGAAGCAAAGTTCTTAACCTGAAGCACTATTTCTGGGTTAGCAGAGTGCGTAACCTGAAGCATATGTAACCCAAGGTACCACTGTACTTCCATGTTCACTACCCATTTCGTCTTCGGTGCAGCCGACTTTTGAAAAAGATCTCTTCAAACAGGGTGTTGGAGCATGGGGAAGACAGAGAGGACCTGCTTATTTTGAACGCATCCTGCAAGGATTGAGGACGATGCGCCACACCAAAACCAGTTTTGCAGTACTGAGAATGTGAGGCTCTGCAGATCAAATATGCTGTTAAAGAATAACGTAGCCAAGCCAAAAATCAAGTACGGGCACGCACCCACACCCCTGATCGAGTCACCTGTGACCACATATATGTAAGGCACTGAGAAATAATTTAATAATTCAATCAAACCCGGAAATGGCGGGAGAATGCTGGAGAGTCCTCGTGGCTCATGAGGAGACCCTCCCCGGAGCCTGAAGAGGATGTTGCTGAGGGCAGACGAAGCCCCAAAGGGACCTGAGGCACAGTGGGGCTTTGTTTAGGCTGCTCAGCCTCCCTGCCTAACACATCATGTGGAGGGTAGGGCAGAGACAGAAGCCACTTTCCTGTGTATCCTCCAGGCGGCCCAGAGCTTTGATTCTAGTTGTGGTTTATTTTGGGATCCAGTATTTTTAGTATGAATTGAGAGAGCGCGGAAAAGACTGCACTTAAAGAGTGTTTAGAGAGGCCTCCCCACTGTACATGATTTCACTAACACACACGAGGGCCCAGAACGTAAACCCCCGCGCGAGGGGATGCTTGTATATAAAACAAATGGTGAACTCCAAGTTTTAATATTTCTTTCCAACAACAAAATTGGGTTATATTTTTAGGACCCCAGGCTGTTAACTGCCTGATGTCCAAACAAGTGATTTATCGCAGCTCTGTCACTCGTTGGCTGAAACACTGATAGGCGGGAGCAGCCAGTCTGGCTCATTTCACAGAAATTGCTTAGAATGGTTTCTTCTACACATTTCTTTTTTAAAGTGCTAGTGGGTTTTTTTAATGAAAGCTCAGAATCTGGGATCCCTGCCTGAGGGTGCCAATGAAGGCCTCTGCACACACCACGGCACCCACGGGTGCTGGACTGGTGACCCCTGGACCAGTGTATGGTTTCCTCAAACCCTTTTGAAGACTGGGATAACAGGTGTTTGTCTCCAGTCCTGTAGAACAGAGATGGTCCACACAATTTAATACATTGTCAGTTTAAATCAATTTATTTAAATCAGGTGAGGCTACTAAAAAGACAGCTCAGATACAAAACACACAAAATTAAACTGTGCTGTGCTAAAGTACAAAACTTGCACACGTGTTCAGGAAGAGGGAAACTCAAAATACACCTCAAACACACCATTCTTTCCAAATCTTTGATCATGATCTAGTGGAAGTTGTGCACCAACAATGCAGTTATAACCATGTCTACTCAGAAGTAAATACCACTAAGTCCATATTCTGTGGTAGGCATGTACAAGATGGCAGCCTGAATTTGATTGAACACTACTTTGTGTATGGTACGCATTCTAACTATTATACCCAGCTAGGTTGGGTTTTACATCATATGAAAGAGGATCCATGTGGTTTCAAAGAAATCCCCATTTATTCACAGATAGGAAAGAGGCAAGACGACTTCTTTTGCAAACCACAATAGATTACTCTCCGTATAATTTATCCTTCTATTCAAACTGCCCCAATGAGTGGAGTGTTAGCTTTTCTCCAGAATTTTAGCAGGCATTTTGTAGGCAGGCAAGTTAAATCGACCACAAAGGTTCATGTATTTTATGAAAAAATACTTATGCATGTACTGTACAAAAGCATGGCACTAGTTCATGCACTACTTTTCTTTCAAATACTCTCCGTAAACAGTCTATCATGTGCTTCCATCTGCTCAAAAGACAACAGAAATTCATCTTCAATTGTAACAAAAACTTCAATTTGAAGCAAAAAATTACACAGTTCAGTATTTTTCCTATGTCTGTAAGAGGTAACTATCTCATAACAAGGCTGGAAAAGACATCTAGACACTTGGTATCAGCACCTAAGAATTCAAAATATTTTTCTTGCCCTGCCAACAGAACTTTGTGCAAAAGCCACTATTAACATGGGAAGTCCAGTTGAACGGGGAAACATAGTCTTCCACACTGTCTAAATACACTTGTGTAGAGAACTGCATTTGAAAAAAAAGAAAAGAAAAGCAATACTGCTGTACAGTTGAACATGAATAGTTATAAATGCACACTGCTTTTCTCTTGCCAGGCCATGCAAAGGCTGAACTGCAGTACATGTGAGAATTCCAAAGGAGGGCTGGTAGAATAATTTTGTTCCACCAAAACCAACCATTAAAATGGGAAGTAAATGACTCAAAGTGCAATACAGAAAATATCCTTAAGGTGATGGGTGAGAATATGGTGCCTGCTTTGTACTGTAGAATTGTTAACGTTATGAAAAATCCACCGCAATCTTCAACCCTGTTCAATATGACTCATCTGTTCTGAAATGGAGGCTAAATGTTATTTACATTTCCAGCGCCTCATTGGTTCATGGCCATTTCACATGCTGGATCTTCTTTTTTGATTCCGGAGACTTCAGACCGTTCTGAGGGAGAAAGATTTAAACGATGTTAAGATTGCCTGCCCTAGATCATTTAAACAAACCTTGTATATTATACTATAGGGTTTGGCATCTGATGCCATCTTGTGGCTAAAATAAAAATATGGTTGTAGCTAAGCATAGAAGAGAAAAGCAAGAACCAAAAGACCACCCAATTCCATTTCTAAAATGAGCATGAAAATGTTTAGATCAGGCTTGTGTTTAAGCACTTGCCCAATGACCTTTGGGAACAAGAAATGGCATGCAGACGAGTGAGTGAGTTGGCAGAGCATAGAAATCAAGCAGGATCTTAATTTCAAAATCTATTCCTAACAGAACTCATATTCCTGAAAAATAGGCATTGTTGAAAGCCAAAGCCAAATGAAGCTTGCCACATTCCCAAACAATGACCCTCACATTGAGTCAGAGAATTATGTTACTGGTTGGCCATAATTTACACAGTAATAATGATGAAGTGATTTAGAAAGGAACTCTTTTATGTCCATCTTACAGTTCTTTAAAAATAGTAGTGTTAAGGTATAATATATGGCAATATTCAATGAATTAGTGCACAGCATCCTAGTGGCCTGCAGAAACTCAGAGATAACAAAATACTGCGACAGCTTTCACATTTATGCTACGAGACATGGCAACAACTACATCTGGTTAAAGGAAACAGATGTGGAAAGACTTACAGATGCATCAGATTCTTCTTTCGGAGCAGCTCTCTTTAATTTCACCACAGTAGTTCCTGTTAAAGGCACCAATGGGGGTGACCTTTGACCAGGTGCCATATTGTTATCGACGATAATATCATTCTGCTTAGCTTCGTGAATCCTGGATCCCACTTTAATGTCCGGTGAAAAAGTGGAGACAGACACACATGCTGAAGAATTTGAAGGAACCGTCAGTCCCTTACAAGTAGTGCTGGCGCTTCTTGCTGTAAGGAGTTTTAGACTATCAATAGCCCCATTCTCAGTCTTCCTCACTTTTATGCTTGTACTCGTTGAGCTACCATCGAACACAATGAGAGGTCGTTTCCGTAGACTTTCCGCTGGAGCAGTGCTGAACAAAGAAATGGTAACACAGAAACAATATTAATTACTGCAGCACAGATGTAAATGAAACCACAGTCATTACAGATTTACACTATCCCAAACACAACTACTTGGAAGCGGGTCTTATTTATTTCAGTGGAACTTTTATCTAGGTTTGTGGTCAGATCAGCAGGTCAGGCGCTGAAATAGATTGGGAATTCATCTAGTGCAGTATGGCACTGCTGCTTCTTTTTTCTGATATTCACTTATTTCACATTTAATTCACCTGAGCAATCAGGAAAACATTAACACTTAAAAAAAATAAATGAACACTGTCAGAAAAATTAAGTCATACTCAGAGTAAACCTATTTAAATCAGTGGACTTAAATGTTGGGTATCAGATAAATTAACAAAAAACATTTTTATTTCTGCTTCTTTAGCTTCAAACAATTTAGGACTTGTACAGTTCATCCCAAGTTTCTTTGCATCTTACAATTGTCTTCAACAAGGATGAGGAATCTGTGGTCCTCAGGATGTGACTGAACTATTGCTCATATTATCCCTGGCCATTGACCATGTTGGCTGGGACTGATGGGAGTTGGGAGTCCAACGCCATCAGGAGAGCCACAGGTTTCACATCCCTGGTCTACATAAATGCTCCTTAACGGTCCCATCACAAGTATGTCCACCCAGAAGGAAGACCACCGATTTTAGTGGATTTTACTGCCAGTTAAGTGGGCATGTGATTGCAGCCTAAATAAACTGAATCTGCTAATAGGAACCAGTCAATTATGAATAAACCAACCCAAATTTATAGATGTATTATTTCCCATTTTTATTAAGAGTTATGATAGAAGCAATCGTTGAGACACTTCAGAAGAAACACTCTATTTCTAGAAGCAAAAACAGGACATGTTTAAATAGTGGTTATTTATGGATACAGGTTACTGATGATTAGAATTTTTTTTAAAAAAACAGTGAAAATAACAAAAGGCCCCAGCACACAGCTAAGCATAATTAAGTTCGATTGATTTAAACTAGAGTTCAATAGAGAAAGCCTTCAGGTTCTATTTTCCTGCCAGAAGAGCAATTAAGATATGATATACCTTATCTCCAAGGCATGGTTCAGAGTTGGGCAGCATACAATTTTGTGCTCAAGTCCCAGAATCCAGAGAAATTGATCCCTTGCTTTAGCACTAGTGTTGCTATCATTCACTACATTTGAGCACTGGGATAATGTTTTTTACTGCAAAAAAACTGTGCAAGGCTTGGGTTTTTTTGTTTTTTCCAGAGTGGAAAAACAAAGCCCATCCTCAATGGGACCAGACCCATTCCCCCAATCTTCTGATTGGCAGGCAGGGCAAAGTTAACTCATATCAGCTTCTGTCTGAAACAAGAAGCCACAGCTGGGGAGATAGGACAGGTTTGCACAATATAAATAAATGTGGTATCTCACACACATTTAAATTTATTCGGCAGATTTATTTAATAGCTAGATACTCTGTTCTGCATGAACTCCACTGAAAAGTACTTTCCAGTTCTTAATCTAATTTGCTCTCGCTCTGGATTTATCAGACTGCTGACTACGCTACTGCTTTCAATAATAATTCTCTACATCCCGCTGGCAGCCCCAATACCTATAAAAAACAAAAAACCATTGTTGTACTTACTGAGCAAGGAGGAACAGGTCAAAAGAAACACGGAACTCCCTTCTGAATGGAAAATTTGCCAAAACCCAGTGGCAGAGCACATGCGTTGCATGATAAAAGGTTAAATCCCTTGCCAGGTAGGGCTGGCAAAAGCTATTGCCAGAAATCTAGCAGAGCCACTGCCAATACAGTACTGAGCTAGATGGATCAATGGTTTTACTTGGTATAAGGAAACACGGATTTGCGTTTGAATCCACAAACTAAGCAAAACAGAATTACCTTTTGACCTCATGCTTGAATACCTGCTGACCTCTTTTCTTTTCCATCAACTTTCCCCATCTAGTTTTTGGTAACTCACGTTGAGGCAATGGTATGACATGTTGAACATAGAGATCAGTAAGGCCATCTTTACTGATCTTCACTTCATCTTCAACTGGGATGTTCTTCTGTTGCAGAGTAATAAAAAAAATATTCATTATGACTGCAAATGTTCTCTGGATAACAAGTGTACATAATACACTTAAAAATCACATCACTTGTAATAAACTTGGTAATCTTCATTAAAACAGTTAGAAATGCATAGAAATTTGCTGCACCCTGCAAAAGATGCACAGTTCACCTCACTTCAGGAAGCAAAATAGAGTTGGGGGTGGAAACAACAGCTTCCCTCAGCCTGAAGACTCTGAGTGCCCCACAAATTCAAGGTGGGGAGTCTGTGGCCCTCAAAATGTTGCTGGACTCCAGCTTCCATCAAATCCAACTAGCATGGTCAGGGATGAAGCAAGCTGGAGTTCAGTAATAGCTGAAGGGCCAGTTTCCCTAGTACACCCATACACTTTTGCAATATTATAGCTGCCAGATTGAGACTGCTGACCTAAACTACTTATCTGGAAACAGGCTTGTTCCTTCTTTTACTGGCCCTGCTTCTGCGCCTTTAATGAGAGTCCAACATGCAGAAATTTAGCAGATGGGCCTTTTTTCCTCTCAGTCTGACTATAGCGTAAAGAGTTTTACCTGCTTAATGTCCTTATATTATGCTGCTGTTAAAGCCATAAAAAAGGAGCACCCCTATCACTGTGTGGGCATGTAATACCAGTCTTCCAAGTGTCTTCAAGTGTAAAGTGTGAGTACAACAATGGTCGTAAACAGGAATATCTGTCAGGGAGATATTGCAAAGTACTTTTTTTGGAGAGGGGGGTTAATATTCAGCCGTTGCTGCATTGGCTGTGTGTGTGCATGTTTTGCAGTGGTATTTTCGTATGTTTTGGAGAAACTTTGTGACGGCACTGTTCCCTAAAAAGTGAGTTTAAAAATCTTCAAAATGAATCCACAAGCTTCTGTAAAGAGGAGACTAAGAGGAGATATGATGGTTCCCTTCAAATATCGGGAGGATGGGGCAAGCCTGTTTTCCCCTGCTCAACTTACAAGAAAGAAGATTCTGACTAAACACCAGGAAGAACTTTCTGAAGTGATGTTTGACAATGGAACGGACTCTCACAAGAGGTGGTGGACTCTCCTTCCTTGGAGGTTTCAAAGCAGCAGTTAGATGGCCATCCGTCACCTATGATCTAGCTGAGATTCCTGCATTGCAGGGGGTTGGACTAGATGACCCTTGGGTCCCTTCCAACACTATGACCCTGTATAGTCTGAAACACACATAGGAATAATTGCAGGGCAGGTGCTGCTATGAGGGCTTCCGAGGCACCAAACTTTGCTGATTTTTCTCCCCCCTCCATGGGCTCTCCAAGTCAGGAATAAAGCTTCCTTGGAAGATTCCTCCAGATCTAGCAGGTACTAAAAGGCAGGGGGGTTTCCTTGGGTTAAACTGGCAGACCCTCAAAATGTCCCTATTTTCCAGGGACAGTCCTGGATTTACAAAAGCCGTCCTGGTTTCTGATTTGATTCCGGAACGTCCTGCTTTTCCTTAGGACGTCCCTATTTTCGTCGGAGAAACAATGGAGGATATGAAGTTATGCAACCCATGAGCCAAGGAGGTAACTAACTATACAACCTTTAGAAGACATCTGAAGGCAGCCCTGTATGGGGAAGTTATTTAATGTTTAATGTCTTTATATTAGTGTTTTTATATACGTTGGACTCTGCCCAGAGTAGCTGGGGCAACCCAGGATGAAGGAATATGAATAGATTATTATTATTATTATTATTATTTGAATCGTTATTATTATTTGCAATGTTGTTGTTGCTATTGTTACTATTGTTTTTAGTTGAATTATTATATTTGCTATTATTAGAATTACCTTCATTATTATTTTTTGAATCATCATCAATATTACAGTATTATTATTGAACAGGACGTCCCTATTTTCATCGGAAAAAGGTTGGAGTGTATGAACGGGCAACCCGAGATCCGGCCCGGCTTTAAGAGCCTGGCGCTCCGCAGTCTCTTGAGCAGCGGACTCCGCTCGGTCTCAGGTGAGGCGGTTTAACGGTTCCTTCCCTCCCTGCCTCGCCCCGCCCCCTTTCAACCGACGCGCCCCCCGCCCCCGCCCCCTTACCTGCTCCAGCGTCAGCAGGAGGAATTCCTGCGAGAGCAGCTCCGGGTGCAGCAAGAGGTCCGAGTCCGCCCGCGCGCCGCTGCCTCCCTCCCCCGCAGAGCGCTCTCGGGACCCGAGCGCCGCCATCTTTCCGAACGCGAACCTGATTGGCCGCCTGAGCGTTCCTCCTGCTCAGAGGAACGTTCTTTCCGGTTACCCAGAATTCCTGCGCGTGCAACGACGCCGAAGAGATAAGAGAGGGAGGAAAGTGAAGAGAGGGCAATCTACGCTGAGTTTCCGGGCACCGCTTGGGAAAGCGGTTTAAAAGAAGGGCTCCACAAAACTCCCACTGCGGCCACAGCAAGCGCTGCAAACCTTACACCAGTTTGACTTCAGTTTGCAGGCGGACTCCTCCCTTGTCTCCCGAGATAAAGGGATACCAACCCAGGAGGGGAAGGCTGCATCGATCGGAAGTGGAGGATGTCTATCACTCTATATTTCCTTTATCTTATTTTTTTTGGGGGGGGGGGGACAAGGTAGATGACGTAACACCCTGGAGCTGCACGCATAGAAATGACGCAAAGGAGGCGGAGCCAGGGCCACGAAGGCAGCATCCGTGTTTGGAGAACTCTGTTTACGTGTGCCGAGAGAGTGCAGTTGGGGAGGCTTCTGTATTCTTGATCACAATGCTGCATTATGATTATTAAAATTTGTTCCCTATTGAATATTCGCGTGAAGCTCGCCACGCATCTTTTAGAAGGATTGGTTTCTGTGCGTGTTTTTGTTTTATGGCAATTGGGATGTGCTAAAGGGTGGCTAATTCACACTCATAATCTTGATGCAACCAGAATGTATTTATTTTTAACTATTTGATTTGTAAACTGTTCGTAAACGTCCTGACTGCAGTTCTGCTGCGTGGCTGGCAGAAATCAGCTAGAAAAATCTTTTGCCTTTATTATTAACTTGCTTCCCACAGCGGGGAAAAACTCCACATATTTCTTTTATCATGCAAACTTGTGGTACCTCGGGTTACAGACGCTTCAGGTTACAGACTCTGCTAACCCAGAAATAGTACCTTGGGTTAAGAATTTTTTTATTTTAATTGGATTATGATTTGATATGTTAATTGGATGTTTTTTATTGGAAAATTAATAAAAACAATTTAACAAAAAAAACCTTTGCTTCAGGATGAGAACAGAAATCATGCGGTGGCGGCGCAGCAGCCGCAGGAGGCCCCATTAGCTAAAGTGGTACCTCCAGAACAAATTAAGTTCCTAACCCGAGGTACCACTGTACTGTATATACTTAAAATGTAAGGCCTACTGTGTGGGTCTTCTTTCCAGGTAAGTCTGCACCAGATTGCAGAATTGGGCTGGAAATCTACACACCCCTTTGTGCCAGGAAGGTGGGTGGAGGTGTCCCTCTACCCAACCCTGCTGGCATAGAGAGGTGTGTTTCCCACCTGCCAAATGTGTGGGTACAAGTGCTGCCAGGAGCCCTCAGCCCTCGAACAGGCTGTTGTGGAAGGGTTTGGCCAGCCTGGGATGCACTGGATCCTGAGGGGATCCCCCTGCTGTTGCTGAATAGAATCGAACCCAATTTGGGTTTGATTGCTGTGCCAGTGCCAGGCTGGTGCAGTAAATTGCCTTCCCACCTTCTGCTCCAGTGGGAGCAACTGAGCTGTGGGTGTGGCATTGACTGACGCTTTGTCGCACCACTGCTGCCTGGCTGGAGTTTGAATTTTCTTGTTAGTTACTGGTACCTCTGCCTGTTGAAGCCATAGAAACACTACCTGAAGATGTTGCCATCAAAAATAATATATTGTGGATACATTTGGCAGTACATGGATTAGGTTTTTGACTGAATATGATGAGGCTTATTACTTTGGCATTGATGTGTGAAGGATGGAACCAGTGCTTTTTTCTGGGGGTTCGCATACCCCTAAACATTTTGTTAATCTTTGTACATTTACTGTATTTATTTTTCCTGATTTGAAGTATAAAACGGTTGTTTCCTTGAGTCAAAATGAGAGTACCCTTAAACATTTTTTTAAGAAAAAAAAGCACTGGATGGAACTATGAACACACACCATCATGAAGGACCTCTTGGGCTGAATAATGATAGAAATGGCTACGATTTTAATACTTTAGACTAGTTTGTATATGCATGTTAGTACAGTAATTTGAAAACCACTTCAAGGCTGGCATTGTGAAATAACCAGTTCACATTTCATTATCCTTATTTGCCTAACAAATATATTTAACATTGTAATCAAAGTGTATCTGCTCAGAAGTATGTTTCACCTGCAAGTAAGCACCTTGGTACTTAAATTACTTGTATTTGAGTAGTGATATATAGATATATATATATATATATATATACACATGCGCACTGCTAGGCTGTAGTCCTATGCAGCATTATCTGGGAGTTAAGTTCCATTGAATGCAATGGGGTTTATTTCTGAGTATGTATATATGTATACGATTGCACTGTTAATATTTAAATTGTTAGAAGGTCAAGTCTATAGGAGTGGTTGATTGCACAGATTCTGCCCTTGCAATAATCAGTATTTTTATTTGATTAGCTCATGCTGCTTGCAGGTTTCCTGTTCATTCCTGGGTTTTGCTACAAACTCCCAACTAGTCTTTGGGCGATTAAAAGGAAAAAAGAATGTGTACACAGATAATTGTGCTTAAACAACACATGTTGTGTCTATGTGCAACTGCATGGGAGTGGCGTAACTAGACAGCTTATCAATACATTTGTGTATTAAGAAATAAAAAAGCAGTGTCAACTCAGGTGGTTTTGCTCAGCCCTTGGGCAACAATGTTTTCAAGAAGTCCTGTCTCTGAGTAGTCCCACCTTTCCACTTTACTGCTTCCCATATGCTTGCTCTGACCTTCTGGGCACAATCTGCATCACTGCACAGAAGGAAAATAGGCAGCTTTCAAAAGTGTGGACTGGCTCTATATTTCTGCTTATTGTAAGTAGTTTTTAAATCACCTCAGTATCGAAAGACTTGCACGTATCTTAGTTCTGCTGTTAAAAACCACATGGATTCCACTTCTTTCAATGGAGCTCATTTCCAGATAAATGGGTCTAGAACTGCAGCCTTTAAGGTATTAATTGGTGCTATTCTCATATACTATTTGCATAAAGAGCCTATGCTATGTATGAGAGTCTTGGAATAGTTCTATCTAAGATATGGTCTGCTTCACTCTATCCTTCAGAGGACTTGGGAGACTTCATACAACTACCTGGTGCATCACCACAAAGAAAATAATTAACGTAGAAACTTGCTGTACTGGTTGTTAATGTTTGACTCTGCTTTCTGATCCTGCCTAGCCCAGTTAAATGGGAGTAGCTGGAGTAAGCTGAAGGGGAATCATCATAACACATTTGGTATTGCAGTTGTTACCGAATCTCAGTGATTGCTGTGTGGCCAGACAGTTTTAAGTCCACGTTGTTTTCTTGGGGTTTCCCTCCTTCCTTGTAGCTTTTGGGTCCTTGTCTTCATAAATGTATTTTTTATTTTATAAAATTATAAGAAAATACATAATTAAGACCAGAAAAAAATATTACAACTGAAAAAGCATTGTACAGTTTTTAGTGTTTCTTGACATACTCCGTTGTAAGTTTAAATCTGTTTCAACGTAATGGAAATGCTCCGTGACCTTTGTTTGTAACTACTGCTATTTAAGTTTCAACATAATTGTCAGGGGAATGGTGGCACCAAAAGACTGAAAAGGGGTGTCCCACCCACTTTGGGCTATGACACCACTGATGTGCACTCGCCACCATTACACCTAGTGAAAAGGCTCAACTTGTCTAAGGTGCTACGGATACTAAAATCACTTCCTAGTCTGACCGACATCTCAGGGCACACTTACCAGAGAGCAAGCCCCATTGACCACACCTTCAAAAATCACTTTGCCACCAACATGCCTGGGTATCGGGCTCCATCCCCACCTTAGGACTGCAACCAGGGCTGGGCCCACCCATGAGGCCAAGTATGGCAATTAATTACCTTGGCGGACAAGATCCACAGGGGCAGCAGATCCCAACGTAGATTGCAGAATTGTAGAGTTGGAAGGGACTGGGGAGGGGGTCCTCTAGCCAAACCTGCTGCTGTGCACCCAATGCCCTTTTAAAATGTTTTGGGGAGCATTATTGGGTTGCTCTTGCTTTTATTTCTAATATACGCATTTTATGTTTTTATGTTGTGAACCGCCCTGAGACCTGCAGGTATATTTTAAATACAAATTTAAATAATAAGAGTAAATAAACAAGAATGGAGGAATCTCAACTGAAGTACCAAGCACAGGTGGACTTTGGTTTAAACACCTCCCAAGGAAAGTGCAGTCTACCACCTTCCAAGGGCACCCGTCCCCCTGCCATGCAGCTCTTACCTCCAGAAAGTTCCTGGTGAAGAAGAGGACTTTATTATTGGGTTGACAGAAGGAGGAGGAGGAGGAAGAAGACTTTATTATTGGGTTGACAGAAGGAGGAGAAGAAGAGGAGGAAGAAGAAGACTTTATTATTGGGTTGACTACTGAAGAAGAAGACTTTATTATTGCGTTGACTACTGAAGAAGACTTATTGGGTTGACTGAAGAAGAAGAATATTTTATTTTTGGGTTGGCTGGGTTGCCCCAGCTACTTCGATCGGCTCCCAACCCATGAAAACACAACAGGGCACCCAACGTTTAAAACTTCCCCATACAGGGCTGCCTTCAGACGTCTTCTAAAAACCAGAGCGTTGTTTTATTTCCTTGAACATCCGCCTTTCCTCCTAGTCCCTGGCAGCTGGAGGCACCTTTCGGGCAGGACTGCGACCCGAGGGACATCCTTTTGGGAGCATCCCTCTCCTCCCGTCCAGCCTGGAACAGCTCCGTCGGTTGGAACGCGGCGCGGGGGCCGCCGAGCCGGCAGGTTCGATCCCCGTCGGGGGCAGCTGCGTCTCCCTGCCCCGCGGCAGGGGGTTGGACTAGATGTCCTTCCCGCCTCCCTCCCTCTGCTCCCTCCCTTCCAGCGGGAGGAGCCTCCGCCTGTCAGCCTCGCCTTGTGACCGGAAGGGCCGCGGCGCCGCCGCCGCCGCCGCCGCCCCCGGAGGGAGAGACTCAGCTGCCGCTGGCTTCGCCACCGCGGCGGCGGGAGAGCCGCGGAGCAGCGCCGGCGGGGCCTGGAAGGAGGAGCGGGCTTGGCTCGCAGCGGAGGCCTCGGCTCGGACGGTCAACAGGGGCTGGGTAAAAAAAGACGCCACGCCCGCGCCTTCCTCGCCCCCCTCCTCCTTCCCGGCACCTTCCAGGGTCTCCCCGCCTCTGCCTCGGTCCGGCAGCCTTTGCTGGCAGGGGGTCAACCCCGCGCCCGCCCCGGGGTGGGCGTGGTGCCCTTGGGCGCTGGGGGCGTCGCTGCTGCTGCTGCTAGCCCAAGACTGCTCGCCTGGCCTGCTGCGTTGCTTGATACAAAGCGCAGTTTCCCTTTCCGTATCTGGGAGGGTTAGTAAGTACTACTCGTGTGTAGCAAGTGGACGGGTTTTTAAAACTGGGGTGGGGGGTAAAGGAAGGAGGGGGGAGGCTGGTGGTGGTGGGCTGGGCTGGGTTGCAGCAGCCAGAGCTCCTCCCTGCATCTTGGTAAGAATGGTGCAGAGACACCATCTAAGCACCATTAAGCTCATGTATATTATATACAGCGTTTAGAAGGCAGCCCTGTATAGGGAAGTTTGTTAAATGTTTTAAATACGTTTGATGCCCTGTTGTGTTTTCATTGGTTGGAAACCGACCAGTATATATATATTTATATAGGCTTGATAAACTTTACGCAATTTACACAAATTTCTTAGCAATTCAGCTTCCCATTCTTACATTCTTGGCAGCAGAATAAGAACTGTGCATAAGGCAGCAGGTAATTGCAGCTGGTGGAGGAAATCCCCGCCCCCTGCAATTACCTGCTGCCTTATGCACAGTACTTATTCTGTTGCACGTTTCTTTCTTTACTTCGTTCTTACTATCTTCCCATTGCTTATACTTCAAGGTTTAGTCATGCTGGCCACATGACCTGGAATGCTGTCTGTGGACAAATGCCGGCTCCCTCGGCCTGAAAAGTGAGATGAGTGCCGCAACCCCATAGTCACCTTTGACTGGACTTAACCGTCCAGGGGTCCTTTACCTTTACCTTACTTCAAGGCTCTCTCTGTGTGTTTGTTTACCAGCGAGGCTTTCGGCTAACCAGTTCTCACTAGGTATAGGGGCTGGGCTGGGCTGGGCTGGGCTGGGCTGATCGCCTCTGTGCAGTTTCAAAAAGTAATGACGGCCATATTCCGTGCCTAAAGAAAGAAAAGGTCAAGAACTGACCCGGCCTCCACACACAAGCTGCTTCTTCCTGACTCCCTTGGAGCAGGGACAGAATGGCAGTAGAAAAAACGCTGGTTGCAGGCAAGTTTCATGGAAGTCACACTGTCCCCAGAAGTTAGTTGAGCAGTTCCACACTCTTCGTAAGCAGTGGTGTTAGAAAGCCTTACAACATCACCTGCTGGGGTTCTGTGGTGTGTCATGTTGTTGATGTCTTAATAGAGCGGACACAGGTAATCTGTATAAAAGGAAGGTGCCGTAGAGTCATTCTGGTTATCAAAATCCAGGGAGGAAGCACGGGTGTGTTGCATTTCACAATTGCAGGTGGACTACTGTGTCATCCGTGTGTTGCAATATTCAGTTGTGGATTGGCGTGGCTGAGTCTGCTGTTGTTGTATTTATTCTATGAACTCCTCGGCACTCGAGAGCACATTAGTCAGCCCAGAATACTCATCATTGTCATTTATTAGATTTGTGTGTCGCCTACTCAACAGCCTCTATGTGTCTTGAAAATATGCAAAACAAGGAATCCAAAGTTTTAAGGCATAATTTACGTGTAAGAAAATGACAGTCTACAATGAGGCCTCGCATTATAGAAAAATTTTAAGTAAATAAGTCTCCTTATATCAGTAGAATTGAGAAAAAGGTGAGAAATGATATCACATGAAAACTATTATTGTTATACAGTGGTACCTCGGGTTAAGTACTTAATTCGTTCCGGAGGTCCATTCTTAACCTGAAACTGTTCTTAACCTGAAGCACCACTTTAGCTAATGGGGCCTCCTGCTGCCGCCGCGCTGCCGGAGCACAATTTCTGTTCTCATCCTGAAGCAAAGTTCTTAACCCGAGGTACTATTTCTGGGTTAGCAGAGTCTGTAACCTGAAGCGTATGTAACTTGAAGTGTATGTAACCTGAGGTACCGCTGTACCTTGTATACCTCTGTTGTTATCGCCACGCTTAATACACGGTTAAATAGCTACAACGTGCAATGGGATGAAAACTGGCAATTGCTCAGCAAAACATCGGGTGAAAAGAGCAATGTTGGAGGAGAAAAAAGTCCTGCCTAGTGACTAGTCTTTCACCCTTTTCCCCACAGTGGCCTACAAGATGCTCCTAGCAAGCCCAGAGGCAAGATGGCAACCGGTGTCCTCAGCAAATGAAACTGAGGCACGCGCCTCTTAAAGCCACTGCTTGTATCAGAGGTGGGGAACCTTTTTTCAGCCTGAGGGCTGCATTGTTTCTTGGGCAGCCTTGTGGGGGGGGGCGTGTCTCGTGCCAGTGGTAGGCAGGTCCACAGGCAGAAGCAGGTGGAGCAACAGGTTAAATTCCAGCTACACACAAAAGCCAGAGTGTCTACACCAATACATCTCTCCATTTCCCATCGAAGCAACGTGCCTGCACATATCTCCATATAGGAAAGTGAAAGGCAGTTCGAGGGCTTTTTCCAGCCACGCAAAAGCATTCAGTAAGAGGGTCAATGGAGGGGCATGGCTTGGATATAAAGGAGAGTCCCCTGGGCCTGAGGTTCCCCACACTTCTCTTACACCCACCTTTTCCTCCATGGAACTCAAAGTGGCTTCCATGATTCTCCCCCCTCCTCATGTAATCCCCACCACAGCCCTGCAAGGTAGGCTGGGCGGAGAGGCAGTGCCTGGCCTAAGGCCACCCGTTGAGCTTCATGGCTGAGTGGAGAATCGAACCCTAGTCTCCTAGGCCCTAGTCCAACACTCTAACCACTGCAATATGTGTGGCAGAAGGAGAAGATGCTGCAGGTGTTTTGATGTCAGATTACACGCCGCACATTCTCTGCTGAGCCACAGGGAGTGAGCACTTAATTCCAAAAGTATTCCCAACCCTAATGACGGCTTTAGGAAGTCGGAAAATTGGATAGCGGCACTATTTAGGATACAAAAAATTGGGAAGATCTCGAAGCCGTCTTGCTTTCTTGAAAGGTTTTGAGGGTATACTCAGTTTTATGTCAGGATTAAAGTGAAAGTGACTCCCTCGCAGCTGTGTGTACAGGTAATGTGAATACAGTATTTCTGCAGCTGTAAAAGGAGAGGGGGGAAGCCACGGCTGTGCGGGAACACGGTCTCAGGGCACAGGCAGCCATATTGCAGTGTCTGGATGGGGGAATGCCAGGGGACGCCGTGTGTGCTGCTTTGGAAAAAAGAAAGCAACAAAAGTGTGCTAAATCAAAGAGAAGTGCATTACATACATCATCCTAAAGCAGGGGTTCCCAAACTGGTCTGTGGACGACCAGTACCTGTGAGCTACATTCAGGTGGTTATTTCATATATTATATTTTATTGTACAGTAGACCCACAACTTATGCACATTTAACTTGTGTGCATTTAGCTTTACGTGCTAATAATAATAATATTTTTTAAGGGGATGAGTGTGTGTGGAGGGGACTTTGGCAATACCACCCACCATTGCACCCGGTGTGTTTTGACTATATGCAATTGTCAGGGAACTGCCATCGGTAGGAAGGGAGGTGAAAGGACTCAGACAGGTTGGAAGAGACTTAGCAGCTGAAGAGGAAACCAGCAGGGGGAGAGAAGCTGAACTGAGGGAGGTGAAAGGGCTCAGACAGGTTGGAAGAGACTTAGCAGCTGAAGAGGAAACCAGCCGCGGGAGAGAAGCTGAACTGAGGGAAAGGGAGCTGGGGGATGGCTCAGAGATACTTCCAGCGAAAACAGTGGTGAGGTTTCCGGACCTCCTGTAGCGACACCCACTCCTCGCCGGAAACTGTCACGCAGAGAGTCCAGAAGACGTGTTTCCGTTAAGGAGCTTTTATGTTGGAAGCGATTACGAAAGCAACCACTGTCGGAATCTTCTAGTGACTAAGAGGAGCCATGTCAGAGGGGCTCAGTCACAGACAGAGGTTTGTGGACTTGAACAAACTCTGAGGGAATACGATTTTACGCACAAGCAGCTCATAATCCCATCACAGCATTCCGACAGTCTTTGAACGCAGCTTGTGCAGGAGACGGCATAATAATGAGCAACCCAGCAGGAACCGGAGAAGCAGGGGCTGGAGCGGGTCCAAGCCTGGAAGAAAGGTACCGAGTGTTGGAGGTCCAGCTGGCGCTGCAGACGGCGAGGCTGGAGGAGAGGAGGGCTCAAGATGCAGACAAAGGGAGAAAGCCACCCAGCTCGCCAGAAAGGTACCAGGATTGGTGCAAAAATTTGGGGGGGAGCCCAAAGACTATCATAGCTTTCGGACAGAAATGCAATATGCCCTCAATCTGCAGTTTGATGATTTCCCTGATGAGGAATCACGAGTGGCTTTTGTGATTGGGCATCTTGAAAGGGGGCGAGAGACTGGGTTAGACCCCTGATGGCAGCGAATAGTGACGTCTTAAAAGACACGATGAAGTTCTTTCGCGCCATGGATCTGATGTTTTCCAGCGATATTGAAAAGGGAGTGGTGCGCAGACAGTTAATGGCTTGCAAACAGGGGAGCCGATCTGTACGTGAGTACTGGACTGAGTTCACCATGCTGATACACAGATTGGGGTGGGACTTATCGGCGGAACCCATTCAAATGCTCTTTGAAGAAGGGCTTTCTTCGGCTGTGAAAGATGAACTTTCCCGGGCGCCCAGGGCGGAGTCTATGGACCAGCTGACCAAATCAGCGCTGGCCATAGGAGCGCGCCAGGAGGCGAGAGCATTGGAGAGGCGGGAAGGGAAAGGGGAACGTTGGAAGGAGTTCCGCATTCCAGACATTCCAGAGCCAACTGTCCCGCCGGCAGAGCCGATGGAAATCGGAACAGCGCGCGCGCGCAGTTTCAAAGCCCAGTGAGGGGGAAAGAAGGATGGAAAAGGCGCCCGGAAATGCTATCTCTGCCAACAGCCAGGGCACTTTGCCAGAGTCTGCCCCCAGAGGAAGGAATGGCAAGGGATGGTGGGAGCTGTGGAGGGAAGAGAGGAAAAATACCGGAGCAACTAAAAGCCAACGCCTGGCTGCCATTGTCGGGGCACAGCAGCCAGGCCAAAGAGCAGTGAAAGTGCCCACTCCAGAACCTCCTAAACCCGCCCTAGTGATAGAAGTGACACTAGAGCTCCCAAACGGACACCCTCTAAAGATAAAGGCGCTGTTGGACTCAGGCAGCTCCTGCAATTTCATGAGCAAAGAGTTTGCAGCTGAACACCAGATACAGACGCTCCCTTTAAGCAACCCCCTGCAGGTAACCACGATCGATGGCAGGGAGCTGTTGGGAGGAGAAGTCAGCTTGCAGACCGTCCCAATGATAATGAAGGTGGCAAGGCACACTGAACTGATAGCTTTTAATGTGGCCACCTTGGGAGGAGCTCCCATTATATTGGGGATGAGCTGGCTAGCGTTACATGATCCGCTGGTGGGCTGGCATCAGAGAGTGGTTTCTTTTGGGTCAGCACATTGCTTAGAACATTGCAAAGAGGGAAAGGTTTTGGCAGGGGCCCAAGCCACCCTAGCAGGGACTGAAGTGAAGGAGAACGTGAAGGTACCACGACAATACGCAGATCTCCGCGACGTCTTCAGCGAAAGGGAAGCTGACCAACTACCACCGCATAGAGCCTTTGACTGTCAAATCAATTTGCTCCCTGGGGCACAGCTCCCTGTGGGCAAGCTGTACGCCATGTCAGACAGAGAGATGCAGGAGCTAAGAGAGTTCATTGACAAGAACCTGAAGAGAGGGTTCATCAGAGAGTCCAGGGCGGTGGGGGCAGCCCAGTGTTTTTGTGGACAAAAAACACGAACAAGCCGAGACTGGTGTGTGACTTCAGGGCCTTAAATGCAGTGTCAGAACCAGTGGCCTTCCCGATGCCCAGGATTGACGACATTTTGACAAGGGTGCGAAAGGGAAAGATTTTCACCAAGCTGGATCTAAGGGGGCGTACAACCTGATACGAATAAGGAAGGGGGATGAATGGAAAACCACCATGTTCACCCCTTTAGGGGCATTTGAATACTTAGTTATGCCCTTCGGTCTACAAGCAGGCTCCGCAACATTTCAATCGTTTATGAACCACGTCCTGGGGCCGTTGCTTTACAAGAATTGTGTGGCCTTCTTAGACGACGTGTTGGTGTATTCTGAGAATGAGGAGCAGCATGTGAGAGACGTCAGAGAAGTGTTGAGCAGGCTGCAAGCCAACCAGCTGTGGGTGAAACTGGAGAAGTGTCAGTTTCATACCAAGGAGGTGGAATTCCTGGGGTATCGCCTGTCTGACAAGGGGTTGGCCATGGATCCCGGCAAGGTCCAGGCGGTACTGGAATGGAAAACACCCAAAACAAGGAAGGATGTGCAGAGGTTTTTAGGGTTTGGGAACTTCTATCGTAAGTTCATCCCAAACTTTGCCCACCTGACGGCGCCCATTACGGACTGTCTCAGCAGTAAGAAGAAGTTCGTTTGGACGGAGGAGGCGGAGCAAGCATTTGAGGAACTAAAAAGGGCCTTCGCCTCGGAACAACAGCTCCTGCATGTGGATTTACAAAACCGATGAGAGTGGAAACTGACGCATCAGACAGAGCGGTTGGGGCGGTGCTTCTCCAGCCCGGGAAGGAGGAGTCAGAGAGGAGCCCGGGAGCTTGTTATGCGCGAAAGCTGAACAAATCCGAGAGGAACTACACGGTGTATGACCGAGAACTACTAGCCATTCATGAGGCGTTCCGGAGGTGGAGGCACCTGCTAATTGGCGCACAACATAAGGTGCAAGTGTGCACTGACCACAAGAACCTAGAGTATTGGAGGACGGCACGAGTGCTCAACCAACGGCAAGTGAGATGGGCTCAGGAATTCTCCAAATTTAACTTTGAGATTTGTTACGTGCCTGGCCCAGAGAATATTAGGGCGGACGCTCTCTCACGCAAACCTGAATATTTGGAGGGGAGGGAGCACCCGAAGAGAGACATGTCATTCCAGAGGACCGCTGGGTGTGTGGGGCGGCATTGGTGGGACAAAGAGAACTGGTAGAAGAAACAGAGAATGATGAATACGCCCAGAATAAGCTTAGAGGTCTTAGGGATGAGGGAGAGGAATCAAGGGGTTTCGAGGAAAGAAATGGAGCTTTGTGTTACAAAGGGGCACTGTATATCCCTGAAGGAGACTTAAGGGGAGGGTACTCAAGCAGTTGCATGACAGCCCCACGGCGGGCATTTTGGGCAACACAAAACCATGTGGTTGGTCACCAGGGAATTTTGGTGGCCTAAGGTGAGGGAGGATGTACGTGAGTATGTAAGAGGGTGCGAGCAGTGCCAGCGAGCCAAAGGGGAAAGGCGGGCGCCGGCGGGGCTATTAGAACCCTTACCAACACCAGAACGACCTTGGGAGGCAGTGTCGATAGATTTTATGACTGATCTGCCGAAGTCCAAAGGGAAAACAGCCATCATGGTGGTGGTAGACCTACTAACAAAGATGTGCCACTTTGTAGCTTGCTCGCATGCAGTCACGGCGGAAGAGACAGCGAAGTTATTTGTAGAACACATTTTTAGGTTGCACGGGGTGCCATTGAGGGTGGTCTCAGACCGAGGAAAACAATTTACTTCCAGGTTCTGGAGGAAGCTCATGAGCTTACTGCAGGTGGAGGTCAACTTTTCGACTGCCCGGCACCCTGAAACCAACGGGCAGGCGGAAAGAGCAAACGGTGTCCTCCAGCAATACCTGAGGTGTTATGTCAATGACAGAGAGAATGACTGGGTAGAAAAGTTGGCGCTGGCGGAATTTGCCTACAACAATGCCGAGAATGTGTCCACAGGGATGAGCCCCTTCTTGGCTAATTATGGGTGTCATCCCAGGGCTTTCCCAGGGGAGAAGGGGAGAGATGGAGCGTACCGGCAGCCGAGCATTTTGTAGAAGAAATGGAAGCAATCCACCGTCAGCTCCAACTCAACTTAGAAAGGGCGAAGGAAGAATACAAGAGGCAGGCAGACAAGAACCGAAGGGAAGGTGAAACCATAAGGGTTGGAGAGAGGGTGTGGCTGTCAACCCGAGGGTTGCCGTTCAAAGGAGGTTGTAAGAAATTAAGACCCAGGAGGTTGGGTCCCTTTGAGGTCATTCAACAGGTCAACCCAGTGGCTTTCAGGCTCCGGTTACCCAACCACATGAAACTGCACCCAGTATTTCACAGGTCGTTACTGTCACCGTACGAGGGGGGACGAGAAGGGATGGCCACTCGGGGACCGGTCATAGAAGAAAGAGAATGCAGCAGCCATGTGGCAGAAATCCTCGACGCCAGGTGGAAGGGGGATCAGGTGGAGTATTTGGTAGCGTGGGAAGGAGAACCGGAGTCAGAAAACACGTGGGTAATGGCCAAAGATATCAATGACGAGGTATTGATAGAAATGTTCCATCAAAGGTTCCCGCGGAAACCTCAGCCTGTGGAGAGGTTCCGGAGGGAATACTTTGGGACCACTGAGGAGGAGGAGGAGTTGGAAGGATTCCCAGAATCGGAAGGGGAAGGGGAGATGGACTCGGAGGAGGAGGAGTGCTTCGAGACCAGGAACCGCAACAGGTGGAGAGAAGTGTTCGAGACATCGGAAGATGAAGGAAGTTCATTCCGGGGTTTTGCCTCCTCACCGCCCGTAGAGGAGGGGGCGAGAGGGGGTGAAGGGGGCCCTGGAGGGGAGGTGGATGTCAGGGAACTGCCATCGGTAGGAAGGGAGGTGAAAGGACTCAGACAGGTTGGAAGAGACTTAGCAGCTGAAGAGGAAACCAGCAGGGGAGAGAAGCTGAACTGAGGGAGGTGAAAGGGCTCAGACAGGTTGGAAGAGACTTAGCAGCTGAAGAGGAAACCAGCAGGGGAGAGAAGCTGAACTGAGGGAAAGGGAGCTGGGGGATGGCTCAGAGATACTTCCAGCGAAAACAGTGGTGAGGTTTCCGGACCTCCTGTAGCGACACCCACTCCTCGCCGGAAACTGTCACGCAGAGAGTCCAGAAGACGTGTTTCCGTTAAGGAGCTTTTATGTTGGAAGCGATTACGAAAGCAACCACTGTCGGAATCTTCTAGTGACTAAGAGGAGCCATGTCAGAGGGGCTCAGTCACAGACAGAGGTTTGTGGACTTGAACAAACTCTGAGGGAATACGATTTTACGCACAAGCAGCTCATAATCCCATCACAGCAATGATGGCTTTATGCGCTGTTCCTGGAACATAACCCCCAAGTAAGTTGTGAGTCTGCTGTATTACAATTTGAATTCTATGGAATTCCAGATCCAAGAATTAAAAAGCAGTGGAAACAATTAAAAAATCATATAGCATCTAGCATAGCACAGCACATTACAGTTGCTGCAACAGGCAGAAAAATCATTAGGTGCTCTGACAAGACTCTTAACAGTTTTTAAAGTGGTCCGTGGTGAAAAAGGTTTCTTGGACAAACATACATGCAACCTGTATGTCCAGTAAACCAAGGGAGGTGCTTTTCTTCTTCCTGCTTCTGCCTGGAGCTGATAAAGTTATAGACTGCAGATTTTGAGCTGATCTGCGCCAGTCTGCTTGCCTTATATTAGCTTCAGGCTAGCCATGTACAGAGACAAGTTAACAGATGTACCATTTCTAGTGTCGCGTCGGAAAAGGCACCTGTTTACAGACGCTGTTAACAAACTGAAGGTCTGGGTTGATTCCCTTTAAACGTTCTGTTTGTTCTCCCTGCTGCTTGGGTGTGGATAAAAATAAGCCTCTCTTCTCCTTTTCCGCAGCAGGCCATCTGGAAAGCGCGATGAGTGTCAAGGCCTTCAGGCTTGTCCCCGCGGTTGAGCGGGACTTGCTGATGGGCGACAAAGCTCGGATCAACATCGAATGCATCGAGTGCTGCGGGAAGAACCTATATATCGGAACCAATGACTGTTCCATCTACTACTTCCTGCTGGAAGAAAAGAACTCGCCAGCTGAGAAAACGTCCTTTTCCGTCTCCAAACAGCTGCACAAATACCTGAGTTTTCGGAAGCCCGTGGGGGAGCTGAAAGCTGCTTCGGCGCTCAATCGGCTCCTGGTGCTTTGCGACAACACCATAACACTGATGAACATGATGAACTTGGAGCCCATCCCCACGGGGGCCAGGATCAAGGGAGCTACGATGTTCACGTTGAACGAGAACCCCATGAGCGGGGATCCTTTCTGCGTTGAGGTTTGTATCGTTTCGGTCAAGCGCAGGACCATCCAGCTCTTCTTGGTCTATGAGGACCGCGTTCAGATTGTGAAGGAGCTTCTCACCCCGGAGCAGCCTTGTGCCGTGGCTATAGACGGCCACTATTTATGCCTCGCTCTCACCACCCAGTACATTATTCTGAACTACGACACTGGCGTTTCCCAGGACCTCTTTCCTTACTCTAGCGAAGAGAGACGGCCCATTGTGAAAAGAGTAGGCAGGCAAGAATTCCTGTTGGCGGGACCCGGAGGATTAGGTAAGGTCGCAATGTTCTCTGCTTCCTGTTGAAAGGATTTGGGGTCTGCGCTTAGAAAGGGTTTGGTCCTCCCATGATATGTCAAATCTTGATCCAGTTGAATTTGTTCCTTGGTGCTATGCTATCCGATCGTACCAATACCTAATTTCTGTGCAACGAGCTGTGATTTCACAGCAGGAGAGCATGCAGACGACAAAAGAAATAAGGAAATAAAAAGCAAAAGTTGACATACTGTTGTGGACACCGGGCTGGAGTGCTGCATTTAAAGATGCCCATAAAATGCTTATGACAGTTGTGCAGGCACATCCCAGGCAACAGTTGTAATAGGAATGAATGCACTGAACTGGCAGGGTAAAAGGCTGCATCCCACCAGGGCTCTATTTTTTAACTTGAGAAAACGCTATAAAATCACAGTCCGGAGGGAGATGTGCTGCATATTGTACTAAAAGCCAATTGTGTGGAAAGGTCCCAAGACTCTAGCAACTGCTGATAAATCTTGTTTTGTTTTTTAAAAAGTAGCATATTGGAAAACACGAATGAGTAGTCTGATCTTGGAAATTCATTCTTCCTTACTGCCTGATCCTAATCAGTGCTAGGCATGCTTGAGCCCATTGAAATCAATGAGATTGGGTTTGCTTTGCTCACTGTAGGATCAGGCTGTTAGTGGCATTCCACTAAAATTGGATTCTCATGTTTTTTGGCATTTTGGCCATGTCACTTTCTTGACTCGTCCAATGCAGGGCTTGAATCGTAAACAGAATTGTGCCAGGACTTTCCTACTGTAAGAAACAAACGAAGTAAGTGGCGCAGGGTAACTTTGTTAAGCCAACACTGAAGTCAATGGTGCTGCTTCAAGATTCAAACTGCATGCTCTGGGGGGAATCGCAACCTCCTTGCTAATATTTATTTATTGTCCTCTTTTCTAACGCGCTTGGATTCCTTTTGCAGGTTGTAGAATTAAGGTTGTTTTTGTACAGCTGCTATCCGTAAGCATTTATGGCTCAGCCATAGCTCAGTATAAGACCCCCAGCTTTGCCTGAGATAAGGTGAATCCTACATGGCGTAAATAGCTTGTTAAAGATGAGAGTCCGCTCTTGCTTTCCTTAATAAGTGGAGCCTTCTGTTCTTATGGAGAGGGCAGGTGGCTATTCGTTTCTGGAGGAAACATCTGTGTACTATTGTTAGGCTTGATAGCACATGGAGCAATCCCTAAGTCCTAGATCCACAGGCTGCAGGAGGCGAGGAACGGAGCAGAGGGGACTCTCCACCAGTGGGCAAGATCTTTTTCCAGCAGAGGGGCACGTCTACTGCAGAGAACAGCACTATAGCCGTAGATAGTTCAGTGGGCATGTATCTACCACCTCACCAGAGTGGTGCATGCTCTGGTTATCTCCCGCTTGGACTACTGCAATGCTCTCTATGTGGGGCTACTTTTGAAGGTGACCCGGAAACTACAACTAATCCAGAATGCGGCCGCTAGACTGGTGACTGGGAGCAGCCGCCAAGAACACATAAAACCGGTCTTGAAAGACCTACATTGGCTCCCAGTACGTTTCCGAGCACAATTCTAAGTGTTTGTGCTGACCTTTAAAGCCCTAAACGGCCTCGGTCCAGTATGTCTGAAGGAGCGTCTCCACCCCCATTGTTCTACCCGGACACTGAGGTCCAGCACCGAGGGCTTGCTGGCGATTCCCTCATTGCGAGAAGTGAGGTTACAGGGAACCAGGCAGAGGGCCTTCTCGGTAGTGGCACCCACCCTGTGGAACGCCCTCCCACCAGATGTCAAAGTGAACAACAACTACCAGACTTTTAGAAGGCATCTGAAGGCAGCCCTGTTTAGGGAAGCTTTTAATGTTTGATGCATTATTGTATTTTAATATTTTGTTGGAAGCTGCCCAGAGTGGCTGGGGAAGCCCAGCCAGATGGGCAGGGTATAAATAATAAATTATTATTATTAAATTATTATACCACCGAACACTATGGGCCTTACTTTCAAACAAATATACTTGACTGTTATTCCACAAGGTGTACATTCCTTCTACTGTATGGTGAAGGACAGAACATCGCTGATGACCAAACGGAAATGTCATGCAACGTTCTTTCTAACAGTAAATGCAACTGAGGCACCGAACGTCTGGTTGAAATCAGCATCCGCACAACTGATTCTTGCACAATGACCGCTCACTCATCAAAGCAGTGGGCGGGGTTTGCAACCTGGCACGGGCTTCCCCTGCCTGGGTGACACCCCCTTTGCTTGCTGGCCATCGCTCCGCCCCCTCCCCACCTAGCCAATCATCTGCAGGCTGGGGGGGGGGGCGGAGTGAGAGCCAGGTAGAGCAGGCTCCAGCCGACCATCTCTCTCATCGGTCTTCAGAGCGTCACAGCAGTCCGCACAACTGATTCTCGCACAACTTATCCTTTTATCTATTTGTTTCTAAAACCCACTTGTGTGACGGAATGTTCCATACTGGTTAACACAGTTTAAAAAGGTGTAGCTGTATCCAGATAACTGTGTAGAAGCCGGGTGATCAGTTGGTTGTCCGATCAGACTTCTAACTCATTGCTCCCTTTCTAAACCGGCAGGCATGTTTGCAACTGTTGACGGCATCTCCCAGCGTGCTCCTGTTCACTGGTCAGAAAACGTGGTTGGTGCTGCCCTCTGCTTTCCTTACGTAGTTGCACTGGACGAGGAGTTCATTACGGTGCATAGTATGCTAGACCAGCAGCAAAAACAAACACTACCCTTTAAGGATGGCCATATCCTGCAAGACTTTGAAGGTACCTAATTGTGGGTGGGTGGGTGTGGGTGGGTGGGTGGGTGTGGGTGGGTGGTGAAATACTTTGGGGAAGATCTAAGTGTTTTTCTTACAGTCTTTAAAAAAACATAAAAGGCAGGGACTGGCTCAAGAGCAAACCACTGAACTGCTTTTCTTAAGCCAAGGGTGAAGAACCTGTGGTCCTCCAATGTTTTTGAACTCCCAACAGCCCCCAACCAGCATGGCCAGTTGTCAAGGATGATGGGAGCTGTGGTCCAATCCGCAATCTGGTTCCCCATCTTAGTCCTCAGCATTTCTCACTCAAAATATTAAGTATTATATTACTTTCCCAGGTTATCTGTACTGCTCGGCCTACGTGTGGTGTAGTGGTTAAGAGCGGTGGACTCGTAATCTGGTGAACCGGGTTCGCTTCCCCACTCCTCCACATTCAGCTGCTGGGTGACCTTGGGCCTGTCACACTTCTCTGAAGTCTCTCAGCCCCACTCACCTCACAGAGTGTTTGTTGTGGGGGAGGAAGGGAAAGGAGAATGTTAGCCGCTTTGAGACTCCTTCGGGTAGTGATAAAGCGGGATATCAAATCCAAACTCTTCTACTCTTCTTCTACGTGTAGACGCAAAACATGCCCTAAGCAGCTAATGAGTTGAACGGCTTTTATTGTGTATTCTCAGGCCTGATCTCACTCTTAAGGAAAGGGCGTATAATCTGTGACTCTCTAGGTGTTGCTACGCATCAACACCGACATTTAGCCATGCTTTCTGGGGTTGATGGAAGTTGGAGTTCCTCATCCATGTTCTGAGGAACGATCATGCTCTGGAGCTAAGGAAACCCACACTTCGAATGTGCATACAGTGATTGAAAAATGCATATATGGGCAAACCCCCAAAAGGGGTCGCTTTCCAGGTCATTGTGCGTGTCAACCTGTCGTGTCCCCGCCTAGTTCCTCCCCCTTCTGGGGCCAAAATTGGCGCACATGTTGGCACATTCGTGTGTCACTTGGACGCACACAAAATGGCCGCCCGCTGTAAATAGCTGGTTGATTCAAGAGGGTGCACTTCCGATAATAAGGCTCTGTTGTCCAACGTGAAAGATATTTTTTGCCATCAGACACAAAATATCTCTCCTGTGGGGATGACATGGAAGTACTTCCTATGGAAGATCATAGAGACTCAAAAAATAAAGCGGTTGACAGCGTTTGTTTGGTGCTTTTGGAAAGCATGAGCATGATTTGAGATTGTGCAAGTGCAGCACTCTTAATGTTGTTTGTACAAGTGTTGCTTCGAGCTCCTTTTTATGTGGAAATACAACTGGCATATTCTAAAAATAAACTGGCAGGCACTAGCTAAACCGAACTGATGTGGAGTTTCATTTCTTCATTTTAAAATGGAGGAAGAAAACGTGTTTGTAGAACCATCAGCAACCATTTGTGTACAGTGGTGCCCCGCAAGACGAATGCCTCGGAAGACGAAAAACTCGCAAGACGAAAGGGTTTTGCGGTTTTTGAGGTGCTCGTAAGACGAATTTCTCTATGGGCTTGCTTCGCAAGATGGAACGTCTTGCGAGTTTGTTTCCTTTTGAAGCGGGAACTGGGCTGGCAGGGAGCGAGCAGGGGAGCGACCTACCTTTTCCAGAGGGATCCTCTTCTGGAGAGGGCACAGAGGAGGCAGGTGAGCTGGGATCCAGCGGATCTGGCTGGGTCTCTGTGCCGCCTCTGCCTCTGCCTCTCTCTCTCTCTCCCCCTCCCCACGTGGCTGCTCCATTTTGCTCTAACTGCGCGAAGGCAGGAGGAGGCGGGACAAAGGAGGAGGAGGAGGAGGCATCCACTGTGCTTGGGCGGCCGCGAAGGCGCCTTTGCGGGGGTGGGAAGAAGCCGGGAGCAGCTGCCGAGACTGTGGGGAGCCCGGCGGCGTGGCGCAAGGTAACGGGGGGAGCAAGGGAGAGTCCGCGCCGGGCGCTTCGTGGTCCGCCCTCGGTTCCTGGGCTCAAACTTCCTTTGGCACCTCATGGAGAGAGAGGGAGAGGAGCGGGCTGGGGCTTTGATGTGGGACGCGGTTTGGCGGAGCGAAGACGCGGCAAGGCTTGGCGACAGAGGAAGGGGGGCTGTTTTCGTGGGGAGGTGGGAGGGGGTGTCTTTGCCTCTTCCCGGCAACAGATCCTCCAGGCTGGGGAAACTCCTCCTGCTGGGGAGCGACCCGCTTTGTGCTTTGCCCGCTATCCCATTATAATACAGTACCAGGGTGCATCCGTGCTTCGCAAGACGAAAAAATCCGCAAGACGAAGAAACTCGCAGAACGGATTAATTTCGTCTTGCGAGGCACCACTGTACTTGTAACTTAAATCCATGTTCCATCACTAAAATGTCAGCAAAGATACTTGATCCCAATGGTAACTACATTTTTGCAAGGCCAGGGGCTGTCTTCCTAACTTTGACATTATCTGATATAGTGCTGTGTTTGCATTGTGCTGGATTTGCAATAATAATAATAATAATATAATATTTATATCCCACTCTCCCCAGCCAAAGCCGGGCTCAGAGTGGCTAACAACAATAAAAGTAACACAGTTTACATAAAATCACAATCAATTAATTGAATTGCATTCTAAAATCAATTCATTCTAAAATCAGTTCAAAATCAAATTTCCTCAAAATGTATTTCCTCTTTAAATTGCATTTAGTTTATGCATCTCAGTGACTTTTCTATATATATTCTGTTTTTGTTTTTCTAAGTCATTTGCGATCATGTAAAATGGACATCTTGTTTTCATTCTTTTCCCCCCAGGCAGAGTAATTGTGGCTACCACCAAAGGGGTCTATATCTTGGTCCCACTACCTCTGGAAACACAGATTCAGGATCTTTTGGCCAGCCACAGAGTCGAAGAAGCATTAGTCTTAGCAAAGGGAGCCCGAAGAAATATTCCGAAAGAGAAATTTCAGGTCTGTTGGTATTTTTTGAAGGCATCTGGGCATGTGAAGGCAGCAGAATTGCAAGCAAGCTTTGAAAAGCTGGAAGGCTTATTTCGAAGTATCTAGAAACTGGAGCCATTTACATGCTGGTATCGCAAGAGAGAGAGAGCGCCATTCTTAGAGCTGCTTTCAGGATGCCGTCTTTAAGCTATGAGATATTAGGAAGCTGTAGCGCTTAGTTGGATTGGGTGTGTTGAGAGTTAAGATTGTTCCGTTTTCTGAGTGATGAATATCCCTGTAAGCATTTGCAACTGGAATAAAAAGGCCGTGTGCCACCTTTTGAGCTGACTAACTTTAATCTTAAACTATTTCTTGTGAAAAAGCAAGTTTCATTTACTTCAACAGAAGTAAAGAGCCAGTGTGGTGTAGTGGTTAGGAGCAGTGGACTCGTAATCTGGGGAACCGGGTTCGCTTCCCCGCTCCTCCACATGCAGCTGCTGGGTGACCTTGGGCCAGTCACACTTCTTTGAAGTCTCTCAGCCCCACTCACCTCACAGAGTGTTTGTTGTGGGGGAAGAAGGGAAAGGAGAATGTTAGCCACTTTGAGACTCCTTCAGGTAGTGATAAAGCGGGATATCAAATCCAAACTCCTCCTCTTCTTCTTCAACAGATCTTGCTTCCAGGCGGAAGTAGTAGTTTAGCAAGCATAAAAGGTGGTGACAGGCATTTGTGGAATGTAAATATCCGTGTTCGTTGGCATCATTATCTCTTTGTTGCATCTCTGAGGGTGGGAGTGACTCGCATAGGCACTGTGCTCATAAGCATTGGGCTAGGACCTGGGAGATCATGGTTCAAATTCCCACTCAGCCATGAAATCCATGGTTGACTCTGGGGCAGTTGGAATATTTCGGCCTATCCTCCCTCGCAGGGGTGTTGTGATGATAAAACGGGGGAAGGAGAAGACACACAATACCACCTCGAGCTCCTTGGAAGGCAAGGTGGGCTATAAATAAAATTAATTGATTAGATCTTCACTTAGCTATTATGCTGTACCAGCTCTCTGAAACAATTTAGGCTTTCTTGGATATAGAATCACTGTTCGAACTTTCTTGACCCAGCAGCCCTTCATAAAGTCTGCCTAAGGGTGGGGGGCTTCACAGTCTCCCCACCCACTCACCTTCTCGTTTTGCCTTCAAATCACATTAGCTTGAACTCTCTTCAGATGAATAACTTGACTCTACTACCAGAGCTTATTTAAAGTCCATGGATTCCCCCCACCCCGTGTAATTTTGTATTGCTTGAGGCTAGATAAATTTAATTAAATTACAGGAAAGTTTAGAAGACAAATTAAAACATCAGATTCTTTTCACCCTAGAGCGTTATTTCATTAGCCACAGTTGAGTCCTCTTGTTTCATCTCCTTTCGCTTTGTGCCAGCGCTCGTCTTCACATGTTTTTGTATATTTATTGCTGGTGCATTTATATCTCATCCTTCTTCCAAGGAGCTCGAGGCACCGTTATGTGATTCTCCACAGACACACAGACACCCTCTCACTCTGTCTCTCGCACATACACACCCTTCTGTGCTTGCAGTGGTCCTGTGAGGTAGTTTAGTCTGAGAATGATTGCTCCAAGGTCCAGGTGCACCTCAGGAGAGTGCTTGGGAAAGGTTGCAATAGGTCTAGAATACACTATGAGCTTGCCAGGTTTAGCTTCTGCTCAAATCAGTGAAAGGAGGGAGCAGGTGCAAATAGGTGCGCTACTTGTGGATTTTGAAAACATTGCATCTCGATTCAAAGTAGTTGGCTTGTAGACTGTTCTACTGCCACATAACGCTTGCTGCGGGTATGAAAACTGTTTGGAACAGTTTCCACATCTGAGAGAGCATGCAACCCAGTTGCAACTTGCACGTACATGCATTTTGCGGTGTGCACATTACATTGCTACTTTGCATGCACACAATCCACATGTTCTTATGCTGTTTCCTTCATGGGATTGATCAGATCTGTGGGAATCTCATTGACTTTGAAGTGCCTGTAGGCTCTCAGCTCAGACATTGCTGGAGTCATCTGAAGAAGTTTCTCATGTGTGCTTCTTTCTCTGTTGTAACGGCACCCTTTCGCAGTCCCCCGAGGACTTGCCGGGAAGCTGATAGCTAGATAGCTATGCTTCGTAGTCTCAGGATGGACTTGCAGCCTTACCCAACTCTCTGATTCTCCATATTGTGAAAGTCGTACAAATTGCATGCAGTTATGAGCTTTAAATCAAGTCAGATTCTGGCTTATTTCTCATTTCAGCATGGCACAACTAGTGTATGAGCCACGCTATTAATTTTTTTCTTTCATCGGTTTCCTAAACGGGTGGTATTTTCCCCTCTTTGTTTCCCATTTAGGTTATGTACAAACGAATCTTGCAGCAAGCGGGATTTATACAGTTTGCACAGCTTCAGTTCCTAGAAGCAAAAGAACTCTTCAGGTAATCCCTCATGTGGGGTGAAGAACACTTTTTGAGTGTTACTCGGCAACCGATTGAATCCTTGTGCTTGGGTTTAAAGGCTTCTGAGTTCTGAAATATTGTCATGAGGCAGGACTGAAACACTTAGAAGGCAAAAGATGTAGGATCGCGGACCAAAGCAAATTTGGGGTTGCTCTTTTTTCATTCGGTAGTGGCTGATGAGTGACAAAGCTCTCTGACGTTTTCCCAAGTCCTGCTGATTAAAGGGCCATGAGATAGTGCTCGTTTGTTCTGCCCACAGGCCCCTGTCTTGCTTGCATCTAGGCAACAGCTGATGTACCAGGTTTGATTTTGAATCAGCTGAGTGTTTGCAACAATTGCCTTGGCTTTCCCCTTAATGTTGGTATACGCATTCTGACTGGTACTGTGTGTGTATGCGTGCCGGCAAACTGCATAGCTTCTGGGAACTGAGCTTTTTGGTTTGCTGTTGCACATACAACAGAAGCGATGGTAAATGCGGAAATAGAGTTCTGTTTGTAACGTAGCCTAGATCTGAGATTACCAACACAGCACCCACAGGCACCATGACGCCCACTGCCTCTTGGGCACCCTCCAAAACCCCCTGCCGGCTACAAGCTTCTGCGCATGCTCGTGACGTCATTTTGACCGTCTGCGCATGCGCGAGCGGCGAAACCTGGAAGTAACGCGCTCCGTTACTTCCGGGTCACCACGGAGCACAGCCCGAAAATACTTATCCTGAAGCATATTTATCCCGAGGTATGACTGTACCAAGCTAAGTGTCCTCTGTGTGTGTGTGTGTGTGTGTGTGTGTGTGTGTGCATGCGCGCGCATGCTCCTCTGTATACTTTCCCCTTTCTTTTTGCTTCATTTAGTTTGACACTGTAATTGCAGAGGCGGCCAGCTGGACGTCCGGGAGCTGATCTCTCTCTACCCCTTCCTGCTGCCTTCTTCCTCTTCCTTCATGCGGACTCACCCTCCCCTCCACGAATATGCGGACTTGAACCAGCTGACACAGGGGGACCAGGAGAAGATGGCCAAGTGCAAGCAGTTCCTCATGAGCTACCTGAACGAAGTGCGCAGCACCGACGTGGCCAACGGCTACAAGGAGGACGTCGACACGGCCCTGCTCAAGCTCTACGCAGAGTCCGGTCACGAAAGCCTTCTAGATCTGCTGGTCTCCGAGAATTTCTGCCTTCTCGCGGATAGCGCCGCGTGGTTGGAAAAGCACAAAAAGTAAGCCTCTGGGTGACATTTCCTAACCCCCGGTAGAGCTCAAAGTGAAAGGAGAATTGCCCAGTCACTACCCTAATTATTTTCTGGGTTTTTGTTTTTTTTAAACATCTTTTAACTAGATGCCCATATCCCATTTTGAATGATGTGAGGCCTCCGGTGAGCAACTAAATTTTCTCCATAACCTTTTTTGATTTAAAAAATGCAAGCAGCAAAATAGCGTTCTAAGTCCCCTAGTGCCAACTCCCGAGACTACCGTGTGTGTGTAAGATTATTTAATATTGTTTGTTGAAAAAAGGGATTTTAGAGCGGCTTGCAAAAGATGGTACCTGCCCTCAGGGTGTTGGTCCAAAAAGTCATGGCACATGAGGAAAAACGGAATGGGAGGGAGGAGGGAAAAGCAAGCTCAGGCACCATACACATTCCCAGTGCTTTTTTTCTGGAGGTGCTCAAGGGTATGCGGTACTGGCACCTGTTTTTCTCTCGAAGAAAAGCACTGGTTAAAAGTGTGGCAACTTCATGGTGAGTCCTGGCACCATTTTTTTTTCCAAAGAAAAGCACTGCACATTCCTAAAATAAACATTTCTTCCTCATAACCCCTAAGTGACTTCCCCTTTTTGCCTTTTAGCATCAGCATAGCTCGAAAAGAGAGCCTAACTTTCGAGAAATGTTCCTTTTCTTCCGAAGGCTCTTGAGTCACCCACATAAGAACTGTTAGCTGTTGTGTAACTGTGGCATCCAAATACAGTCGTGCTTGTTGCGTAACTGTAGGAGCCTGAAATTCATTGCTGAGCCCCACGGAGAGCCTCAAGGTCCATAAATAGCAACACCCTAGTGGTCCCAGCCCTAAGGAAGTCAGATTAGCCTCAACCAGAGCCAGGGCCTTTTCAGCTCTGGCTCCGGCCTGGTGGAATGCTCTGCCTCATGAGACCAGGGCCCTGCAGGATCTGATTTCTTTCCGCAGGGCCTGTAAGACAGAGTTGTTCTGCCTGGCCTTTGGCTTGGAGCCAATTTGATTCCCTCCCCCTCTTTCTTTTTTCTTTTCCTTTCTCCTCCTGTGATGAGGCTGCATTTTAATATTTTAATGTTTCAATATTTTAATTGTTGTGTTTTAATCTTGTTTTTAAGTTGTATTCATTCAACTTGTTTTTATTATTGCTTGTTAGCCACCCTGAGTCCGGCCTTGGCTGGGGAGGACGGGGTATAAATAAAAATTATTATTATTATTGTTATTATGAGCAAGGGTTTGAAGGACCACCTATGTCGATCCTTCCCCCTGACTTGTTCCTGCTTCAGCTGAGAAGAGGGCAGAAGCCTATTGGACTCTCTTCCAAGTGAACGTGAGAACAGGCTGAGGAATCAGGCCAGTGGCCCACCTGGTCCTGGTGTGCGTGCTCTTCAGATGCTGGCTGTGTTGTGTTCTGGAATCAGGGCTACAACCTCACCCCAAAGTAGCAAATAGGAGGGAGAAATGCGACCTCCTTCACATGTAAAGTGGGAATAAATAGACCCACTTCACAGAAACTTTGCAAGAATTAATCCAATCCAATCGGACTTTATTACATTCGCAAATCAGCCTCAATAATTAAATCATTAAGCCCGTTTATCACACAGAATGCCAAATAATGATTCTACTCATTTGCCTTTTTTTTTAACAATACTGCTTCTTACACAGGTTCTTCGCGCTCGGACTCCTGTATCACGCAAACGGTCAAGATGCATCAGCGCTACAGGTTAGAGCGCAGCCAGGTCTCCAAGGAAATCAAAGCAACACGTAAACCTTTCACGGCGAACCAAACCGTTTCAACTCATGTTTCAGTTCCCGTTCTGGCCATTAGGCAATTGTCATGCATGTTCATTCACTTAGAGCTATTGTTGTTGCTCTCCAGGTAGAGAGCTGAGCTAATGAAAGGGGAACAGAATCCCTGGTGTCTCTGTGTTGCTCCCTTGTTCTGGTTACCTTTCAGCTCTTTTAGCATATCTGGGCAACAGGGTGGCGGCAGCCGGGTGGCAATATCAGTTGAAGGTCAGGCACGCTATTCAGGTGGCTGGTCACCCACCATCCCAGCCAGGTGTATCATCTAGTTGTCCCCTGGCTTCTGTCTCTATTCCTTGTCCAGCTGTTCTGGACATTTCTGTAGACATTTCTGGTTTGCTTATCTTGCAGCAGTAAAAACAAAGTGCTTATTGTATGAGGTTAAAACCACAATAGCTCATCTAAGATCAGCTCAGGACAAGTCCCTCTTGCCTCTCTGCAGGTGGGGGAGGGTTCATAAATCAGTGTGAAATAGTAGCTACCTAATTTTAATCCGCTTTGGAGCGCTTGTGGTCACCCTGATATCTTTGCACTTCCAGGCCAAAACATTAGAAGCTGGGAGCAGGTTCACTTATTAAGAACCGGGTAGAATGCTGCCTGTGTTCTGTGAATAAAAGGGGGTAGAGAGATTTGTACATACAGAAAGGAAGAAGGCAGCCAATGATTTGGAGTATAGACGGGGAAGATCACATCGGGGAGATGGCACAGCATGGGTAAGCATGCCCAGTTGTTGCCAGGATGATGGGCAGGGAAGGATTTTGACATGGGTCCCCTTTTTGGTGGCAGCCCTGTGTCGAATGTTTACTTTTGCTCTAGGAGTCCAGCGCAGAGGCAAGGGGAAAGACCTGCACTTTGCACCCGTGCTCAGCTCCTGTTGGTGCTGTTACACAAGTCTTTGGCATCGGTGTGCTAAGTCTGTTGGTTTGGGTAAATTTATATTAACTAAGAGCCCAGAGAAAAATAGCAGCTGGCTTTATTGCCGTGGGATTGAACCTGAACCTGATTGTTTCATGCTTCTTTTCGGCTTCAGTTATGGGTGAAAATTGTTAACGGTGACATCCAGGACTCAACACGCACAGATCTTTACGAGTATATAGTCGACTTCCTTACATCCTGCGCAGACCATGAATTGGTGTGGAAGTATGCAGAATGGGTCCTGCAGCGAAGCGAAGAGGTTTGTGGCTGGGTATTTGTGGGGTGAGGTTTTTGAAATTGAAATTGCTGTTGCTTGGGATATTTGAGTATCATAGACTCGTAGCATTGGCAGGGACCCCAAGAGTCATCTAGTCCAACCCCTAGGTAGGTGTGCCATCCATATTGGTTGTCGAAACCTTCCAGGTCTAACAAATCTGTATTTCTTAATGTCATCCACTCCTGGATCCAGGTGAGACGGGCCGCCTCATGATATAATTTCAAATTAAAAATATATTTTAAAGAGAGAGGCAGCAGCACAGCTGTGTGTCCCCACCATTAATCCTGTATAAACTGAATGTTGTGCATTCCCTCCCTCAAACATCCATTGCTGCACCCTGCCAACTTGTGTCATGTTTTCATTGATTTTATTAGCACTAGAAAAGGTCAGATATTTTCAGTCCCTTTTAACAAGTATGAGGCAACAGGAATTGATAACCTGGCACCAGAGACTTGTGTGTGGCTTCAGCCATTTATGTAAACTTGGCAAATCTTAATATTTTTTTAATGCATCTTGCTTTAGGTTGGTGTGTACATCTTCACTAGAAGACCCTTGGGAGAAGAACAGAAGAACAGCTTTAATCCAGACGACGTCATCAGCTGCCTTAACAAATATCCCGTATCACTAGTAAAATATCTAGAGTTCTTGGTTCTAGAAAGAAGAGTGAAAGTAAGTGGCGATAGTTGGATCCGGTAGCATAAAAACTGGTGTTCGTCTGTTGCGATGTTCAGTTTATGCCTGAAGCTCAGAAATAAGTCCAGGTTGTTCCTTTAGTTCTCTAGATTGCTGCAGGGCAACCATGGTAACTTGAAGCTTTAAAACACCTCTATTCCATTCTGCTTGCTTATTGAGACTCTAAGCAGGCCCATTACCAAACTGGATAATTTAACACCAGGAGGTAATTATGGCACAAAGTACACCCATAAGGTGACCCTTTTGCTTATCTATGGGAGCAACGGAAAAACAAGACTTAGCCTTTACATTATTTGCTCTTGGAAGCCCAGTTCTATTTACTGTTGCAGCTTAAGCAGAGGAGGAAATGCCTCCTATAGAATCCTGCTCCCTTCTCCGGCTGCTTTTGAGCAGCCCTAAATGCCTGTGTGTCCTGTCCCCCGCCCCCAATTCCGGAAAGGGGCTCTTAGTCAGCTTCTAAGGCAAAGATACAATGTCCCTCTGCACCAGGCATAGGCAAAGTCGGCCCTCCAGATGTTTTGGGACTACAACTCCCATGATCCCTAGCTAACAGGACCAGTGGTCAGGGATGGTGGGAATTGTAGTCCCAGAACAGCTGGAGGACCGAGTTTGCCTATGCCTGTTCTACACTGAGAGGTCCAGTTCTGAGGGCCTTCTGGGGGTTCCCTCACTGCGAGAATTGAAGTTACAGGGAACCAGGCAGAGGGCCTTCTCAGTAGTGGCGCCCGCCCTGTGGAACGCCCTCCCATCAGATGTCAAGGCAATAAGCAACTGTCTTACTTTTAAAAGACATCTGAAGGCAGCCCTGTTTAGGGAAGTTTTTTAATGTTGTTGTTGTTATTACAGTTCCCATCATCCCTGACCACTGGTCCTGCTAGCTAGGGCTGATGGGAGTTGTAGTTCAAGACCCAAGTTTGGGAAACACTGCTTCACATCAAGGATGGGGAACCTCAGGCCCAGGGACCACATGTGCCCCTCCTGACCTCTGTCTGACCTTCAAGACTCTTCCCACCCCCAGGCTGCATCCCTCATTGGTCCTTGCAAGTGCTTTTAATTGGTTTGATTCTTTCCTTAAATTATGGTGATGCCTCTTGCTTGTCTGATGGAGGGTGGGTGGGTGCCTGACTCTTCTCCTCCTGTAAAAAAATAAATAATAGAAATGCTTCATTCATTTTGCCTGCCCCCACCAATCACTGCCATGCGGCCCCTGGAAGGTTCCCCACAAGTAAATGTGGCCTTTGGGCTGCAAAGGATCCCCCACCCCTGCCCAAATCTCCCTTGTCTGGTGAAGTGTTTTCTCTGGGGTTTTGGGTATTCCAGCATGACTGCTGTCTCCCAACTTCTCCTGCAGCAATAGGGCAAAAGCTTCCTTATCTCCTTCCACATTCTAGAGTGTAGGATCTCTAGAATGTGGAATTAGACTGTTAAAAAGATGAGCTCCCCCCCCTCCTTTTTTCTCTTTTTTTAAAAGCCAGTCAGTGGGTGGTTAGGAAGAAGTAATTCCAAGATTAGAAATTTTTGCATAACTTCAAATGCTTTAGAAGCACGATTTTATATAATAATTGTTTTACCGAAAGCGAGAAGGACTCTGGGCTTAGGTGAGCCCGCTGAATTCGAATGGGTGAGATGCAAATGGGAGGAAAGAGTGACAAAATTGTGATAAGGTAAAAGTGGCATGTGAATTAATAGATAATAGGATTCGTGCTCCTTGAGTTATTGCTAATGGTGATCATATTTTGAAAGGCAAATGAATTCTTTCTATTTAAGTGCTGCTCTGGAACTCCTTTGCTCTTGCAACGCACGTGGAATTTCAAACTTCTGAATTTGTCAGAACACAGGTGCCCAGTCCTTTTGAAATGGTTTTGTTTTCTTTTTAACCATTTTGTTGTTTTTGAAAAATTCAAAATACTCTAACATTAATACTCCAACATTAATAAAGCTACTTATGGAGACAGTCTTGGAATTAAAATATTGTCTTTTATGCTGGCAGAAGGAAAAATTCCACACCCATCTGGCAGTCCTTTACCTGGAGGAAGTCCTGTGTCTGAAATCACTGGCTGCAGAGAAGAGTGAGGAATTGAGCAAATCGCAGGCGAAGCTACGCAGTCTTCTGCAGAAATCTGACCTTTATAGAATTCGTTTTATTTTAGGTAAGAGAACTGAAATTGTATTTTATATGCTTCTGATGAAGGGTGTGTTGTTGTTTTTTTAACCAGCTACACAGGCAGAGAAAAGGAAAAGGACATTTGAATTGCACAAGGGTGATTTGAACTCAAGTTGTCTGAGGGATAACGTTAAATGCTTTGTGTTGATGTCGGTTCCTGTTGCATCATTACAGTGTCAGGATAACTCGGGCCTAGTTCAGTTTGCTATGGGATCCAGGAGCAGCTCCCTGCAATTCAGTGCATTCCAGAATTTGATGCAGGCTGATTGCCACAATCCTTCCACTATAACTTTCTGAAGTGAGGGATCCTGGGCAACTGGACATAGCCCATATTAGGTCATTTTGGCATGTGTGTGGGTCTGTGCCCCGCTCCAGTATGGCAACAAATGAACCCAGCCAGCAACGTGTGAATTCTAAGAAGTGGCTTTAGTGGCATAAGAACATAGGTCTTTTAAACTGTGTGTTTAATGCTGCGTTAAATACAACCGCACTGCCAAAAATAAGGTAAATATCAGCAGGGATCCCAGTAGCAGGCTTGCACGAGGGTCTTCCCCGGGGCTCTGCTTTCTGCTGCATTTCCAAAAAGCTGTCTCTGAGAACTGGGGGAATCCTGCAGAGTGATGAGTAAAACAGCTGTGTTAGGTGGGAAGCCAGCCCTGTGTCGGAAAGGGAATGTCTTCTGTTCGCGAATGAGACTTATTTCCATCCTGCTCATTGTATTCAGAAACATAACGATGAGCCTAGAATTCTACACGTAACTGCCCTGTGTTGGGAGGGAATTTTTGTTCTTGGTTTTATCATTCTGCTTGCTCGTTTTCCGTTGTTCTTTTAAGACAGCTAGCTTTTCTGAGGAATATAGCTTTCTCTTGCACTCTAACAAGGCCTCTGCTTAAAACGTTACATTCGGCAGATAAAATCAGCGGCACAGATCTTCACATGGAGTGTGCGATACTCTTTGGGAAACTGGAACAGCATGACAAAGCTTTGCATATCCTGGTCCACGAACTGAAGGACTTTGCTGCCGCGGAGGAGTACTGCGTGTGGAATTCGGAGAGCAAAGACCTTCCTTACAGAAAGAAGCTTTTCCACATGCTCCTTTCGGAGTATCTAAATTCCAGCACATCGGAGCACCAACTGGCCATGGCAGCTGTAGACCTCCTAAACAACCACGCGGCCGAGTTTGACGCAGCCTGTGTTTTGCAGCTCATACCGGACACCTGGTCGGTGCAGCTCCTCTCCTCGTTTCTCTGCGGCTCCATGCGGGAAAGCATCCATGCACAAAGAATGACGCAGATCGCACTGGGCTTAGCAAAAGCGGAGAACCTCACTTACACGCACGAGAAGGTGAGTACAGTGGACCCTCCAGATATGAATTAAATTCATTCTGGGGGTCTTTCCGCAACCCGAAAAGTCCGTAGGCAGAGGCGTCACTTCTGCGCATGCACGAGGTGTGCAGAGCGCTTCAGCACATGCGCACGTGGCGAAACCTGGAAGTATTTGCCACGTTTAAATAATAATAATAATTTTTATTTATACCCCGCCCTCCCTAGCCAAGGCCAGGCTCAGGGCAGCTAACAAGCAATAATAAAAACAAGTTGACTGAACACAACTTAAAAACAAGATTAAAATACAACATTAAAATATTGAAACATTAAAATATTAAAATGCAGCCTCATCACAGGAGGAGAAAGGAAAAAGAAAGAGGAGGAGGGAATCAAATTGGCTCCCTTAGGAAGCTGCCTCCCCGTGCCCTTGCACTAAAATGGTTTTGCCACATTCGTAACCTGAAAGTTACGTATCCAGAGTGGTACGTAACTAGAGGGTCCACTGTATGCCAATTTTGCTGTTATCAACGTGGCAAAACCAGGGCACGGGGAGGCACCTTCCTAAGGCAGGCTTTCAGCTGTTTCAGAAGGTAATAAGCCACGGGAAAGAGGCAAGCCTTCATAGACATGCTGCAAGGAGCCCTCGACATTGGGGTGGGGAACCTGCGGTCCTCCAGGTGTTGTTTAACTGCAGCTCTCATCATCTCTGCCTATTGGCCAGGCTGGTTGTAGCTGATGGGAATTTCAAGTTCAGCAGGATCAAGAAGGTATGAGATTGGCTACCTCTGCTGTACACACACACACAGAACCGGTGCGATGGATGTTCTTCCAAAGCTGCCCTGGGAGAAGGAAGCAGAGTTGGGAACAGGGGAGTATTTGCATCTTTACCAGAATTTAATATATAAAATAGTAAACTATAAGCCCTACCACCACCTTCCATAGACCATTTTTGTCTCATAAAGTTGATACACTGCTTGACTGTAAAAGCAAGCAAATCTCAAAGCAGTTTTAAAAACAAACAGAGCAATAGAATTATCATTAAAACGACTATTTAAATGTTCTTAAAAAATTTAAATTGGTGATCAAAAGCATATTAAAGCACACGTCTACGTGCTATATATGGAATTTTGCATTTATGTACAGATGAACTACATAGCTGCACCCCTAAAGAGCTTTTTAATACCCCTTACTGTCAGGGCTTCCAGAAAGAAACTTTGGAATTGTAGCTTGATTAGTTTACCAAAAAGCATGTCAGGGAATGATCATTGCACCAATTCTAGTAGATGGCATATGCCACCAGTGAAGTACGCAGAGGGTCGCACTCAGCTAAGTCCAACTCACGAGTAGCACCCTTTGAAATTAATGAACCTAAATGACTCCTGTCCATTCACTTCAATGGGTCCACTCTAGCACTGAATACCATTCAGAGTAGCAATAGTCTCTGTGACAAAATGGCAGCCTCTTAAGCACCCTCATCAGTTCATGTTTTCAGCGGCTCTTTGGCTTGTTTCTCCCGCTTTGCAGGTGAAGCTAAAAGGGATCGCAACGGTTCTCTCGGACAGAAAGGTCTGCCAGATGTGTCAAAGCCCTTTCAGCGAGCCTGCGTTCGTCAGGTACCCAAACGGCGGCGTGGTCCACACGCACTGCGCTGCGAACCGACACGTGAATTCCAGCACAAACCACCATCTCTCCAGCCCCAGCGGACGGACATGAAATATGCCCAAGGTAGTGCCAGATGCTGCGTTGGTTAACTCCTTGGAGTAACCGAAGGAGACTCTGCTGGGCAAAAGAACAAAAATATGTCGAGGAGAGAGGAGTTTGCCCTGGGGTTGATGGAGGAGGACTTTTGGTCAAACACGGCCTCTGAAACTGCTGATCTCTTATGAATGTAGGCAGCACAAGAAATTGCAGGTGTTTATATAACGAACAAATACTTTCCTCACGGTAAGGGTGCTGGGGAGGGGGTAGGGAACGGAAAAGCTTTTAAAAATACATATACCTATATTAAAACGTGCACTGAATTCGGTGATCAACTGGTCTTGGAAGGAGAGGGGCTGATGAGCAAAAACATCTCTTCCCCAGAAAACCGATTCTGTCTCTTGAATTCTCTTGAATAAGTGGCATGAAGGAGCACTTTTCTCTTGAGAGTAGAGCATAGCCTGCATTATGTTCTCTGCCGGGTCTAAATTTTGCCTGCCAGGACAGCGTCATGAACTTGTTCTGTGCTCTTGATACTGTTTTTTTGTAAAAAAAACAAAAACGATTTGTTGCACTTTTGAGCCTTTGTCCTTTATTCTCTGCCATGCAAGTCCATTTGTTACAAAACCTATTGGAAGCGCTAGGACCCCATGGGAGCTCCTGCTCAAATGGGGAGGGAATGAGAGGAGGCATGATGACAGGATCACCATGCTGTGAAAAAGCCACTGTTTCTGACACTAATTGCAGCGAAACCACCAGGGTCTGCCACCTGGATTCATAAACCATCGACCGGAGGTGGGTGTGGGTAGGTGGGTGGGAAGGAAGAGTCTTTAATAACTGTAACGACTTATTTATTATCATACAGATGTTCTGTAAATACAGTTGAATGAAATGGTTTTTATATCGGCGTTCCTCTAGAGCAAACACATGTAACTGGTAATTCCAGGTATAGCTTTTGAAGAGTCTACACCTGAGGTTGTGTGAAGAAACAATCTGCGGTTCTGAGCTCCTTTGCAAGAATGGGTTCATTCAAAGGGATTAAGGGATGCAGTCACCCCAACGTCCGTGGTTGCATCGCGATGGTGCGCAGTAAGCCTGATAACACTTAATAAATGCTCTGTGGATACGGAAGTATAGCGTGCCAAACTTTTTTTTTGGAAAAGACACCACTGTGTGTAGGTAATGTGCTGTTTTACTACGTTATTTGTACATACAAACATACACATCCATCTGTGTTGCTCTGTGTCACTCCTAACACAGTGGTACCTCGGGTTAAGTACTTAATTCATTCCGGAGGTCCGTTCTTAACCTGAAACTGTTCTTAACCTGAAGCACCACTTTAGCTAATGGGGGGGCCTCATGCTGCCGCTGCGCTGCTGGAGCACAATTTCTGTTCTCAACCTGAAGCAAAGTTCTTAACCCGAGGTACTATTTCTGGGTTAGCGGAGTCTGTAACCTGAAGCGTATGTAACCCGCGGTACCACTGTATTCAGTTTAAAAGATTGGAAAAGCAGTGCTTCCTCTTTGAGTGAAACCTTTACATTTATTTTGGGGAGGCTGTGTTATTCCTCCAGAAAACCCAAAGCAAGCTTTGGTTGCTTCTCTGCACCTTATAATGCAGGTGTGATGCAGATGAACAACTCCCTTCGTCCCCTGCTCTTTCGGACTGATGGTGGGGGTGGGGAACAGTTCAGCAGTATCAGGAGGGTCAAAGGTCCCTCACACCTGAGGCAAAAGTCCTTGGAACGAAAATGGGCAAAGAGTGGCTGCAGAGTTGCATCGGTGCACCATGAATGTTTCAAGAGGTTTCTCCTCCCAGAAGGCTCGGTCAACTCTTGTGCTTAGTTAGTGACTGAATAGAACCAATTGTTTAAAGCAGGGTTTCCCAAACTTGGGTCTCCAGCTGCTTTTGGACTATAATTCCCACCATCGCTGACCACTGGTCCTGCTAGCTAGGGATGATGGGAGTTGTAGACTTAAGGGTCAGACTAGGTGCGCCATTATTTATCATGGCATTTGTGTGGCTGCCTAATAACCTCCTACGACCAGCAAACAAGCAGGAAACTATAAAAAGACCATTTAAAACATTAATAAATAAATACAGAAACAATCGCAGCCAAAAATTATATATTGGAGAACTAGTTTTCACATCGTGAACAAGATACATGACATAAAACAATGGATTATAGCTGAGAGGTTAAAATCACAAAGGGTGTAAGAGAATTAAACATCCTCCTGGCACCCAAAAGTGCCAGATGAGCCTCTCAGGTAAGGGTATTCCACAACTGCAGTGCCATTCCTGAGAGGTCCTCTCTCCAGTGGCCATTGGAAACTTTGTTCACGAAACTGATGGTGGGTGGTGGTCCTTCATCAGTATAGCAGCCAGGGGGTTGGGCTCATCTCCCGCAGCCTCTGTGGTCCCAAAACTGATCTCTCTCTCTCTCTCTCTCTCTCTCTCTCTCTCTCTCTCTCTCTCTCTCTTTCTCATATACTGTTATTTTCAAGAGAATAAACCTAGAAAGAACAAAATGCGATCTTGCATTTAACAGCACATTCATAACCTGGGCTGTTCCATGAAATTAAGTGTTTTAAATCACAACCCGCTTTTGCTAGATTGTGCAAAATGATAGATAAAACACAAGGAAAGATTTCTGCCTCATTGTGTTTTGTCGGGCTTCACACTGCCGATTTGTTGCCATGTGTTGCTCTTCGCAGGACAAACCTAAATAACATAATGGGGAGTCATGGAGCTAAAATCCGATACCGATTATTTCACTGTGTGCGCTTGGCTGTTGGTGATGCTTTTTCCTAAATAGAAGAAAATACAGGCAGTATATTTTATTTGGCAGTGTATTTGGTTAGACTACAACACTTGTTTAACCTGACAATGAGACTAGTGTGGGAAGTGCTTCAATTTAATGGATAACAAGAACAAAACTCCCTAAGTTTTCTGGGTTACAATCAACACATTAAAGAAAACAGCATGGTGCTGTGAGGGCAGTGACGGAAGATACAAGCTGCTTAGTATTATTTTTTTTGCGGTTCCTAAACTGCGGATTGGTGCTCGCTACAGACATATATTGTGCTTGGCCTTATTCTCCGTTTTGTTCGTCCAGGCACTTTGGGGAAGATCTTGAATGTTTTTGGCATGAACTCCAGACAGGCCTCGCGGAACTTCTTGATCCTCCAACAATAGATGACAGGGTTGAATACGGATTTGAGGTAACTCAGCCACAACACACAGGTACTGGTGATGTAGAAAGACGGGCTGTAGTAGAAACTTCTGCTAAACACAGACATCAGGCTAAACACCGTGTGCGGAAGCCAGCACAGAGAGAAGCCGACGAAAAGGATGAGGATAGTCGTGAAGGCCCTGGTCTTGAAGCTCATGTCGACGTTCACCTGGTGAGGCTTCTGCAGCCCGGTGAGGCCTAGTTTGCTCCCCTGACTCAAGCAGACGCTCTCGGCGTGGTTGTGGATTCTGACGGTGTTGCGACGGACAGTGTTCAGGATGCAGAGGTAAGAGTACAGCATGATGCTGAACGGGACGAAGAATGCAGTCACAAGAAGCATCACGGCGTAGGCTCGGTCTGCAGGGCATTCTGTGTAGCCCAGGACACACTGAGGAGCGCGGCTCGGGACTTCTATGAACATCCACCCAACCACCGAAGGGAAAGAGATGCAGAAGGAAAAGGCCCAAGAAACCGCAATCATGACTTTGGCGCGCTGGGGGTTGAGTTTGTCTTGGCGCTGGACGATGATGAGGAATCGGTCGACGCTAATGATCAAGAGTATCGAGACGCCTTCCAAGACGAAGAACCAGTACAGCATGGCAGATATTCGGCAGAAGCGAGCCCCAAAGTTCCAGCTCACCGTCAGAATAGTGACGGCGGTGAAAGGCATGCAGAACAACGACAGCATGATATCCGAGAAAGCCAAGGTAGCTAAAAGCAGGTTGATCGCCGAACGCATGGCTGGTTTCTGGTAGACGATCAGGCAGACGACAGCATTGCCCAAAAATCCAACAGCAATCATGAATAGCATGATAATGGCCAGCAGTATCCTGAGCGGGGTAGGGAGCACTGTGTAACTGGGGTCTGTGAGCCAGCTGCTTACATTCAGAGCGACAACGAAGTCTGCAGGAGTCTGGTTGCATGCCATCACAGTGCAAAACACCGGCATCCGAGATGCCAAACTCTCTTCCTGCTAACTCAATGGCGGCTGCCATTTTCCCATCTTATCAGCCATACAAACTCAAAGCAGGTGTTAGTCTGTGGCTAAGTCAGTCTGAAAAAATGTTTCTTCAGCAAGCGTTGGCAAAGCAGATTGCAGCAATTTTAAAGAAGCATGGGCTTCTGCAGCTCCCAAATAGAGCCAGTGTGGTGTAGTGGTTAAGAGCGGTAGTCTCGTAATCTGGGGAACCGGGTTCGATTCCCCGCTCCTCCACATGCAGCTGCTGGGTGACCTTGGGCCAGTCACACTTCTTTGAAGTCTCTCAGCCCTACTCACCTCACAGAGTGTTTGTTGTGGGGGAGGAAGGGAAAGGAGAATGTTAGCCACTTTGAGACTCCTGAAGGGGAGTGAAAGGCGGGATATCAAATCCAAACTCTTCTTCTTCTTCTTCTAGAAGCGTGGCCATTATCAAGTGTGTATCTTCAGAGAGACGTGGCTCTGGAAAATCAGAAAAAAGAAATATGGTGGTAACTCATCTATTGGTTTTTTAGTAATATGTCTACATTGATGGTTTCCTTTCCATTGAAAAAGTATGGGCAAGGTACTGAATACTCAGTACAGTGGTACCTCGGGTTAAGTACTTAATTCGTTCCGGAGGTCCGTTCTTAACCCGAAACTGTTCTTAACCTGAAGCACCACTTTAGCTAATGGGGACGCCTGCTGCTGCCACGCCGTCGCTGTGTGATTTCTGTTCTCATCCTGAAGCAAAGTTCTTAACCCGAGGTACTATTTCTGGGTTAGCAGAGTCTGTAACCTGAAGTGTATGTAACCTGAAGCGTATGTAACCCAAGGTACCACTGTATCATACAACAAAGTGCCACTTCTTGGTTTACAACAGCTAACTTCTATATTAAAACTTACATTTAGATCTTTTACTTTGGTAAGCCACTTATTCAGTGACTGGGAAAACCTTGAAAACTGGTTGCCTGGCCATTTAATAGCTTCCTTCCGGCACGAACCTTAAAACCTTTTTGTTTATAGTATTTCTAAACGATCTTATTGAAATATTCAAATCAAAATTGCATGGACAAACATGACGCAAAAGCAAGCTTCCGAGTTGTAATATGGTTCAGCATTATCTGAAAAATATTGGCACCTTGTGATTACCACCACAGTGTGCCAATTATATTAGTTTCATTACTGTGGGATCAGGTTTCATGGCTGCTGACGGCTACAGCGAACACACTCTGTACCAGAGGCCTGAATGCTGCTCTAACTGCTGATCCCACTCTGTATTCAGAAGCCAATCCCCTTGCTGGGACAGGACTTTCTCTGATACAGGAATCAGCCTGCGAAAAATATATATGCTTAAAATAGCAGCATGGAGCAACCTAAGATGAAGAAGGGAGCATGTTTTGCTCTCTTTCATGTAGAGCAGGGTCTGGTGGCCTGTGACCAGCCAGATCTTTGCTGGAGTACAACTTCCTTTATGCCTGACCCTTGGCCATTCTGGCTGGGTCCAATGGGAGTTCAACAACCTAGGGGAGCCACAAGTTCCTCACTCCTGTTGTAGAGAATGTATTTCCCTCTCTGTATGTGAACAAAGCAGGCACGTGAATTAAACACGCACATATGGCTGCCCTAGGTGTAACAAATAAATACAAAATAAAAAAAATCCTTCCAGTAGCACCTTAAGGACCCCTGACCATTAGGTTGCCGTGGCCTACTGTGGGGTTGCGGCGCTCATCTCGCTTTATTGGCCAAGGGAGCCGGCGTACAGCTTCCGGGTCATGTGGCCAGCATGACTAAGCCGCTTCTGGCGAGCCAGAGCAGCGCATGGAAACACCGTTTACCTTCCCACTGGAGCGGTACCTATTTATTTACTTGCACTTTGACGTGCTTTCGAACTGCTAGGTTGGCAGGAGCAGGGACCGAGCAACGGGAGCTCACCCTGTCGCGGGGATTCAAACCGTCGACCTTCTGATCAGCAAGTCCTAGGCTCTGTGGTTTAACCCACAGCACCACCCGCGTCCCATAGTAGCACCTTAGAGACCAACTAAATTTGTTATTGCTATGAGCTTTCGTGTGCATGCATCAGGTATCTGAAGAAGTGTGCATGCACACGAAAGCTCATAGCAATAACAAACTTAGTTGGTCTCTAAGGTGCTACTGGAAGGAATTTTTTCATTTTGTTTCGACTACGGCAGACCAACACGGCGACCTACCTGTCAATAAATACAAACCAGCTGAAACACTTATACACATAACTGTATTGCGGCCGCTCAAGTAATGCAGTCCATTCAGTAATGCAATTCGGAACATCAGAAATTGGAAGTAACAAAAGCAGGAAAAAGTGCCTTGGAACAGCAGTGTCCCCTTCTCCAGAACCATCAGCTCAGCAATAACAAGATGTTCTTTTTCTGCACAATGTTCTCTCCACAAGCAGTAAACAAGCAGTTCCCCTTCTTTCCTAGGCCCGAGCAAGTTTTCTTGTAGGGTCCTAGGCTGCCTTAAAGTACATGTTTGCTCCAAATCCCTTGCCCCTGCCCCTCCAATATTGCTCTGGTACGATTAAGAAGTTAACACACACAAATGCAACTCATATGTAACCCTTCCAACACTGCAAGGGGGTGATGGTCAGTGCATTCTCCTGCAGGTTTGGGTTTGCTCAGGTGGGTTGATTCCACCCAGGAATGAGGGACCTTTGGTCCTCCAGAGGTTGCTGGACCACAACTCCCATCATCCCTAGCCACTGGCCACGCTTTTGAGGGCTGATAGCTGCCGCAGTTCAGCAACCGCTGGAGGGCAAAGGTGCCCAGCTCCTGATTCAGCAAAATAATCAAGGGTCAACTGATTCTTGCCTTCATCCACAGGCAGATTTGAGGAATGTTGAGCTAGCCCTTCAGAACAACTGCTGAGTCTGGGTCCTGCTTCCTGCAGTTCTTGTTCAGTGTTAACTCTCCCCTCCATGTGCTGTCAGCCTCGTAAAACTTGCCTCATGCAGCAACCATGCACAGTGGCTGGGTGCAGCTGTGGAGGTAGAAGCCTGACCCAAAGATGCAATGAGCTACATCCGGCCTGCAGGCTAGCAGTTCACCATCTGCAATATCAAGGTTTTTGGTTTAACTCCCCACCGCCAACCTCCTGAGGTATCAGAACATTAACTCTTGGATCTGGACCCAGGATCTAAAGTAGTTGTGAAATAAATATAAAATATAGTGGTACCTCAGGTTACATACGCTTCAGGTTACATACGCTTCAGGTTACAGACTCCACTAACCCAAAAATAGTACCTCAGGCTAAGAACTTTGCTTCAGGATGAGAACAGAAATCGTGCTCTGGCAGCACGGTGGCAGCGGGAGGCCCCATTAGCTAAAGTGGTGTTTCAGGTTAAGAACAGTTTCAGGTTAAGAACGGACCTCCGGAACGAATTAAGTACTTAACCTGAGGTACCACTGTAAAGCCTGTTCACATCATCATCATCATACCTCACCATCTGATTTGTTCTTCCAGAAGTTTGCTTTAATTTATTCCCAACAAAAGATACATTGGTTCCTCCCCATTAAATATTTCCCTGAGTTTGCTCTGAAATAATAATAATAATAATAATAATAATAATAATAGAGAAAGAAGTTTCAAAAAGGATGTCGTGGAACAACCTACCCCCTGATCTGTTGTCATTGTAACCCGCTGCCTGTCAGGCCTGGTAGTGAAAAATTGCCCCATTTTTTTTTTAAAAAAAGTAATTGACACGACAGAGATGCATGGGCAATATTTAAATGAGCCACTTAACCTGACAGTTCCAAATGCTTCCCGTTGAAACGAAACATTGGTCTTTAAATAAATGTGCTTTGTTAAATATTGGACAAAAGCAAGGCTTCCAAATTGAACCTTGCGATAAGGGCTATCTCTGATCAATGAACTGTCGCAGCAAGGTAGCTCTTTGTGAATGGCACAGAGCTGTGCATGCCATTCTCCCCCACGCAAGGCTTCAGCGGGGCTCCATTAGCTGGTTGACTTGGATCTCTTCAGGCAAGGAAACAGCATTCATATCCGTCTAGGTGTCACCATGGCAATCCCTCACTTGAAAAGGAGACACGACCTCGGTGGTAAATTAGCGAGCGATCCATCGTAACCAAGGGAGAATAGCGCATATTTGAAGCAAACTGGCAACTTGGGGGGAAATTAGAAAACAAAGCCTAGGGGGGAGGGGAAGCACCCTAAAGTAGAAGTGCAACTGGGCTGGATGAGACCAGAACACTTCCAGAAACAAGGACCAGTCAGGCAAGGGTGGGTCTCACAATCTTGGCTTATTTAAGTGGATGGCTTCCCACAATAAGTTTACCTGCAGTGTTCAACGTGCAATCAGTTATAGCTCAGTAGGAATGAATCTGCCCTACGTTCTTGCATAATAATAATACAGTGGTACCTCAGGTTAAGAACTTAATTCGTTCTGGAGGTCCGTTCTTAACCTGAAACTGTTCTTAACCTGAGGTACCACTTTAGCTAATGGGGCCTCCTGCTGCCGCCACACAATTTCTGTTCTCATCCTGAAGCAAAGTTCTTAACCCGAGGTACTATTTCTGGATTAGCGGAGTCTGTAACCTGAAGCGTCTGTAACCCAAGGTACCCCTGTAATAATAATAATAATTTTATTATTTACACCCCACCCATCTGTCCAACGTTCTTGCATTATTCTTATTATCATACCCCACCCATCTGGCTATGCTGCCCCAGCCACTCTGGGCGGCTTTCAACAGAACATTAAAAACAGAATAAAACTTCAAACATTAAAAACGTCACAATACAGAAGTTTATCAGGCCCTGAACAACCTGGGTCCAGGATACCTTAGGAACCACCTGATCCATTATTGTTCTACCAGATCCCTGGGATTTTCAAGGGAGTCACTGGTAGTGCTCCCTCGTGGCTTATAGCCACCAGCTACTGTATGTTCAGTATTGTGGGCCCAATTTTACAAAACTCCCTTCCAGATGAGATCAGACAGGTTCCTTCCTATTGCATGTCAAATGCCCATGGAAGACCTTGGCATCCCAGCAGGCTTTTAAATGGAATACTGATTTCATTGATTTGACACGTTTCAGTTCCATTGTACTGATCCTCCTATACACCCCTTAGAGACAGACGTAATTAAGCGGTATATAAATTGTCTAGATAAATAAAGAATCTGCTTCGCATGCAAAAGGTCCCAGGTTCAATCCTTGGGCGTAGGGCTGAGAAAGAATGATGCCTGAATGCTTGCACAGGAAGTCCCTGGTTCAGTCTCAAGCTTCTCAGAGTATGATGGGGGAAGAATGCCCTTTCAGTGGTCTACTCAGGAGTAGGTAAAAAGGGAGAAATTCAAGTCTCCTCCTTGACAACTACAGTCTGTGTCCTTTTCTGGCCACTTTATCAAGTATTAGTAGTCTAACCCAAACGATGTAAGCAAAACAGGGGAACCACCAAACCTTGAGTGTGTCCAAAAATCAGTATCCAATTAAGCAGGTGATTTTAAAGGTGTCTTGAAAATGTGGTAACGGGGAGAAACACCAAGTCTGCGCAATCAAAATGAAAATAAAGCAGTAAATCAGAACGTGCATCTTGTTAGAATTCTTGCTCCGTGATTGCAGTCATGGGATTGTTGTCTTTCTCATGACAGTGTATGTTTTGACTCCACAAAGTGGGAAGTGACAGAGACAGGATGTTTGTTTTACTGTGTTCTGTGAAGTGGGACTATTGTCCTTTGTTTGCTCTCTTTGCTGTCTGATGCGCCAGAGAGAGGGAGACATGTTGCAGTGCTCCGTGTATGTTTATATGTAAATAAAGTAGATTAGCCAAAATGCTGAGTTGCTGAGGTCCGTTACGCAAGCTGCAACTGCAAAGACTCTGTGGATCCCTAAGTGTGCCGATGTCTGTTGGCATCGGTCGCTGTGATGTTCGGGCTGAAGAAAGCTATCGACGCTCCCGAACAAACGACCAGGAGGGAGAGAACATGCCAGTTGGGCATGTGTCTCTGCCAGGGTCCTACTCAAGTGTAGGATGAGCTCCTGACACATCTGACCCTACACTGGGCAAAAGTTAGCATAGGAAAATTTACTCTTAATGGTCTCGTCTGAAATTGAGAAACCTCTGGTGTCAGTTGCAAGATGAGGGTGTGTGCCCCTTTGTGCCCAGGCAGCTTCCAATGATATAATAATAATAATAATAATAATAATAATAATAATAATAATAATTTATTTCTACTCTGCCCATCTGGCTGGGTTTCCCCAGCCACTCTGGGTGGCTCCCAAAAGATTAAAAACGGAATAAAACACCAAACATTAAAAACTTCCCTAAACAGGGCTGCCTTCAGATGTCTTCTAAAAGTCGGATAGTCGTTTATTTCCTTAAAATCTGACAGGAGGGTGTTCCACAGGGTGGGCACCACTACTGAGAAGGCCGTCTGCCTGGTTCCCTGTAACCTCACTTCTCATAGTGAGGGAACCACCAGAAGGCCCTTTGAGCTGGACCTGTGTCTGGGCTGAATGATGGAGGTGGAGACGCTCCTTCAGGTATACTGGGCTGAGGCTGTTTAGGGCTTTAAAGGTCAGCAGCAACACTTTGAATTGTACTGGGAGCCAATGTAGGTCTTTCAGGACCGTTGTTATATGGTCCCGGCGCCGCTCCCAGTCACCAGTCTAGCTGCCGCATTCTGGATTAGTTGTAGTTTCCGGGTCACTTTCAAAGGTAGCCCCACGTAGAGCGCATTGCAGTAGTCCAAGCGGGAGATAACTAGACCATGCTAGTGATTGAGATCTACTTCAGGAAAGGATAATTTTTGTAAAGTTGTGGAGGAGGTGGGCTGTCATGGTGATAACTAGTGCCAGATTTGCAAGGCTTCCCTGAGAGATGCTAAGATGGTGCATTGGACTACATGGTCTGCCCATCCTTAGGAAACAGAAGCTGACTGAACTGTACGTTTTTGGAGAGAAAGGCTGAGGGCAGGCCAGAACTGCACCACACCCTGCAATGACAGTTCCCAGGAATCCTTAGGAGAAAGAACAGCTCTTAAACTGGCCTATGTCTGAAGCACAGATTTACCCAAATGCTGTGCAGAATCTTGGTGGAATCATTGGTGCAGTGAGTTAAGACGCCAGCCTGCTTGGTTCAGCTAGGTTACTAGGCTAAGGAAGTCAAGGATCTATTTTTTTAACTAAAGGCATTTTAAGAGATGACGCCGAGCTGGAAGAAGTTTTAGAGAGATCCATTTCAAACAGGAGTAGGAAGCAGCTGTTCCATCTGGTATTGCCCCAGAGAGGCTCAGCTGTTTTGTAAAAATATTAAGAACTTGGGGCGGCAGAAAGAGAGAAAGAAGCAAAGTTATGAGCACCAAAAATGGAAAGGTTTCAAAACTCTGGAAATCTGGTCAATAAATAGACAGGACACACTAAAATATGAAATAAACAGAAAGACAAAAACATCAAAATGATGCATTATTATTATCGTTGTTGTTTTTCAGATGAGGCAATTCTCCTGAGATTTAAGAACCTATATATTATATAAACTTGAGGAAAAGTGTGTTCAGTAAAGAGTGTAGCAGTTATTGGAGGCGGGGGGAGAGAGGTAACTGCTTAACCCAGGGGTTCCCAACTTGGTGCCCACACAGAACTCCTGTGGCATTCATGAAAGGTCTCAGTAAATTTCCCCTCAAAAATCCCTCATCCATTTGAGGCTTACCTCTCTCCACAGTCTATTTCCCAGTAATCATTTTCTTCTCGGTTAGGCTCCAACCTTTGAAGTGAACTCCAGTGGGGGAAAAGTGCCTCATCAAACAGAGAGCGAGCCTCTAAGCCGTGGGTAAGTTAGGAAGACTCAGAACTTCTGACCTACACATTCCTTTCACTCTCAGAATTTATTCCTCTTCAGTTTGGCTCAAGAAGCATAACAAACAGCAAGGAAAGCTAATTTGAGAAAGCACAGAAAAATCTTTATCTCTGTGTCCAGAATAATAAATATCAAGGTATTGTGTGGTCACTTATTTTTCTATGTTACAATTTTATTTTATTTTTGTAAAAAACTTTTCCTAATTGCTTATGTATCAGACTCACAGTATCGAAGAACTGGAAGAGATCACTAGGGTCATCAAAGTTTGACAATGTGGGCTTAAATGCATGACCCTGAGATTCAGAGTCTCATGCTCCACTGACTGAGCTACTATGTCTATGTGTTGTGTCCCCCCCGCCATTTTTGCTCTTTGTCGTCTTATACCATGATGCCAGAAGGTTTTGTTTGATCTCCTTAGAAATATTATTTATAATAAAATAAAAGGATCCCTGGCCTCGTTTCATAGGTAATTGGGAGAGACCTACATTTAGGAGAGATGGGCTCTGCTGCCATTATGGATGCTTAAGCTGCGATTCCTGCATTGCGAGGGGGTTGGACTAGATTACCCTTGGGGGTCCCTCCCAACTCTACAGTTCTATGATTCTAGGGCAATTTGGCTGTGAGATACCAGAGGTGAATTATTTGCTCTGCAATGAAGCTGTACATCAGATGCCCAAAGTAAGAGCCACCCAGACACGCCGACAAATAGCTTCCTTTGGGCAAACCGCCATGAAGACAACATGCGGTACAACAATACACAACCATTAGCACCATACAGTGGTACCTTGGGTTATAGACGCTTCAGGTTACAGATGCTTCAGGTTACAGACTCCGCTCACCCAGAAATAGTACCTCGGGTTAAGAACTTTGCTTCAGGATGAGAACAGAAATCGTGCTCTGGCGGCGCAGCAGCAGCGGGAGGCCCCATTAGCTATAGTGGTACCTCAGGTTAAGAACAGTTTCAGGTTAAGAACGGACCTCCAGAACGAATTAAGTTCTTATCCTGAGGTACCACTGTACTGAACAATCCTCTATGCACTTAGTTCAAAGTCAACATCTCAAGTTCACGCCCAGGTGCAAAGGATCTTTTGAAATCGTGGATCAGGTGAGGTATAAACCAGGCACCAGACCAGAAGGCCGATTATCTAGTGCAGGCTTCCTCAACCTCTGCCCTCCAGATGTTTTTGGCCTACAATTCCCATGATCCCTAGCTAGCAGGACCAGTGGTCAGGGATGCTGGGAACTGTAGTCTCAAAACATCTGGAGGGCCAAGGTTGAGGAAGCCTGATCTAGTGCAGGATCCTGTTCTCACAGCAACTACCCAGATGCCTGAGGGAAACCTTCAGTCACGAGGTCACTCTCCCGTTCTGTGGTTTCCAGCAAATGGTATTCAGGAGCAATACTACCTCCGACACTGAAGGCAGAGAGCAACCGTTGGAGCGATAGCCTTCTCTTTAGTAGTGAGGCATGTCTGGAACCCCCAGAAGGGGCAAGATCCTTCTGTGACCCTGATTCACCTCCTCAATTAGGAATTCCTTCAGGAGGCGAACTGGGTCTGTTTTTGAGCCATGCTTCAGGGGGCAGCGGGGTGGGTGTGTCACCCTTCTGCGGACAACCACCTTGCAGCAGAATGGCCTGGGAATGGTCTTGAATGAAGGGGACTCTGCCTATCCAACTCAGAAAAATAGAATTGCAGAGTTGCAAAGGGACCCCGAGGGTCATTCTGGTCCAACCCCCCTGCAATGCAGGAATCTCAACCAAAGCATCCATGACAGAGGGCCATCCAACCTCTGCTTGAAAACTTCCAAGGAAGGAGGGAAAAAACCACTGCAATAAAAAAACAGGGTTTCCCCACAAAGGACTGTTGACTTTCCAACTGAGCCATCATTTTAGCGAAGTTCCCGCTCTCATTAAAATTTTTGACCATATCCCTTCATAAGGACCCTGCATACAAGCCGTGTTTCCTTACCAGCTCTGACCGTTCTTTTCTACGCTGCACATGCTGAAGTGTAATTTTAAAAAGAGAAAAGAAAAGATGATGAGGCAGAAAACTAAGTGCCGGCTAGTTACATAATACGTTTAGCTTCCTTCCCTGCACCTCGCTTACCGTAGCATTTTGCAGAGATCGGTGCAACTCAGAACACCCCCCACCCCCCGATTTAGTGGTGGTGGAGGAGTATTTGGAAAAATGCCTATCAAGAGAGACAGGCTACTGCCAAGAAAACCGGCAGGGTAGAGAAGCGCACCATCAGAGCTCCCAGACAGACCAAAGTGCTGCACCTTGGCGCTAGACAGCTACTGCAGGCAGCGCCATGCAAACAGCCAGCCCGGGCTTCAGTTTCTTGCAGCACCGGGAAATGCACGGCTCCCCCCCCCCCTTTTTTCTGCTATGCATGATGATCCCCGGTTGCTGAGAGTTTAATTCAGGCCAGATGAATATGCATAGTTAAAAGGTAGCAGGAGGTTTCTCCACTCCCCGCAAACCCTTAAAAAAATAAAAATCCGGTAGCTCGCCCCTCCAGACAACGCGTGCGCGCATCCGAGCCACGTACCTCGTTTCCGCTGCAAGGAAGCAGGCAGCCGCGGAGAGGCGAGCGCTGCGCCCCCGAGACGGCGACCCCGGCGCGCTCCATCCAGCGCGCACTCTGCGCTCCCGCCGAGCGCCCATCCGCGCCCAAGCGGCTCCAGGGCTCGGAGGCGGCCGAGGACGGTGAAGGGGAAAGCGCCCCCTCTACAGGCGCTCCCCCGCGGTCCACAACCGACAAGCGAAGGCCCGCTCTTTGTCGGAAACAAAAATAGATACATGTCTTTATACCGCGAACCATTCCCATCCCCAGCGGCTATTTTTATATTATTGTTGTTGTTGTTGTTGTTGTTTAGTCGTTTAGTCGTGTCCGACTCTTCATGACCCCATGGACCAGAGCCCGCCAGACACTCCTGTCTTCCACTGCCTCCCGCAGTTTGGTCAGACTCATGTTGGTAAGCTTCGAGAACACTATCCAACCATCTCATCTTCTGTCATCCCCTTCTCCTTGTGCCCTCCATCTTTCCCAACATCAGGGTCTTTTCCAGGGAGTCTTGTCTTCTCATGAGGTGACCAAAGTACTGGAGCCTAAGCTTCACGATCTGTCCTTCCAGTGAGCACTCCGGGCTGATTTCCTTAAGAATGGAGAGGTTTGATCTTCTTGCAGTCCATGGGACTCTCAATAGTCTCCTCCAGCACCATAATTCAAAAGCATCAATTCTTTGGCGATCAGCCTTCTTTATGGTCCAGCTCTCACTTCCATACATCACTACAAAACCATAGCTTTAACTAGACAGACATTATTATTATTATTATTATTAATTATTATTATTATTTTTATTATTATTATTATTTTATAAAAGAACAAGATGGAGCAAGCTTCTTTTCTCCAGCTCCGGAGGGTCGGACTCGAACCAATGGCTTCAAGTTACCAGAAAAGAGATTCCGACTAAATCTCAGGAAGAACTTTCTTACAGAACTGTTCCACATTCCCTCAAGAAGTGGTGGGCTCTGCTTCATTGGAAGTGCTACGGCTGGATGGCCATCTGTCATGGATGCTTTAGTTGAGATTTCTGCATTGCAGGGGGTTGGACTAGATGACCCTGGGACCCAGTTCTCTCTTGTGGCTCCTAGAAGTTGTCAGCATGCCATAGTGGCCACACCCCGGGAAACAGCTTTGACTGGGTGGCTAAACCTGCATGCGAAGGCAGGCTCCAGTGGATTGAAAAGAGGAGACCAATAGTGGGTCCAACAGTCAAGAAGGTGCTTTTGGGCTTGTTCACCTGGGAAGGTAGCCCATCTAGGAGAAGGAAAACTCTGATCCTAAACCTCCACTGCCTTGTGGGATATCTTTGGGAGAAGAAAAGGCTAAGGAGTGAACCCTACACAAATCCAGAGTGCAGTCCCTAAGGCGGTTGGATGGTGCTTTGTACACCTTCCTTCTGCCAACTCCTGCAACTAAGCTGGTGGCAGACATATTGCTCTGCTTTCCTTTGGACCACTTCAGCGAGGTCTTGTCTGGGCAGCAGCCCAGGACTTCTATACAGTGCCCAAGTTTGTGTCCCAGGGCGGTCACTTCAGTGCTGCTAACACAACAGTTTGACTCCACAGATGGATGCCTTTTCACACCCACCCACAACATAATTGAAGGACTGGCATCCTGCATTCATAGAATCCTAGAATGGTAGGGCTAGAAGGGATCTCAAGGGTTATATAGTCTAACTTCCTGCAATGCATAAATCTTTTGTGTGACATGAGGTTCGAACCCACGACCTGAGATTAAGAGCTTCCTGATCTACCAACTGAGTTATCAGTCAAGAGAAAACTATGTGGCTCGCATGGAACATTTCCCCATTTCCCTCTCCCTCTCCTTATCACCAACCGATAAATAAAACGCAATGAAATGAGCAAATGGAACCAAAGACAACAAAAACTACATCTGCAGAACATTTAGAGCCACTCCCAAAGCACACAGAGTAAGGAGCTTGCATCTGTATGTAAACTGTAATTGTGCCACTTTCTTCTTGACATTACCATCTTCATAAAACATAATAGAGTGCTAATTATCCACTGGAATGAAAGTCAAGCTTCAAGAGCAGCTTAGGTGGGGAAGAATGGTCCACAAGGGAGAGAGGGAAAACATCTCATCACAAGAATCAAAGTCAGGAAGGCAGCGCCATGATTCAAGAGATGCTGGTTTATAAAACATTTTGGAGCATTTATTCATGATGTTTGCATAAAAGGGACCCTGACAACAGAGATCTTTAAGAAGCTTTCTTCAAAATGAAGAAAACAAGATTGATCAGGAACATATATCCTAAGAGTGAACATTCCTTTTTAAAGGGCAACCCAGAGGTGATTTGACAACCACCATACATTAAAGGGCAATGTATCTGCAAATATTTTGGGGTCCTCCAATAGTTAGATCCAAATTATCCATGGAAGGCAATCATACTCAGTTATGAGTGATCACCAAAGAAGGTCAGTAGTCATGGTGACTCTAATTATTATTGCTTAAACATTTTAAAGCAATAATAATTAGAGTCACCATGACTACTCACCTTCTTCTTTGGTGATCACTCATAACCGAGTAAGATTGTCTTCCATGAACACAGTCTTAACAGTGAGTCCGGAAGTAATTGTGGAGGCCACAGTGGGGACATAGGTTTCCGGGCAGGAGTTGATCACATCGAGGATTTGCCAAGCATGCCCTCCTCTAAGCTTATTTCTCCTTTTTGTCCTGAGTTCGTGCGTCTTCAAAGTCCATGATGCGTTTGGTAAAGGCTCCCCAATTAGGAGTGCTCGCAGGCCAGTGCCTCCCAATTTTCTGTGATAACTGCATTTTTAAAGATTTGCCTTGAGAGCGTATTTAAACCACCAGTCCACCAGTACAGTGGTACCTTGGGTTAAGAACTCAATTCGTTCTGGAGGTCCGTTCTTAACCTGAAACTGTTCTTAACCTGAAGCACCACTTTAGCTAATGGGGCCTCCCACTGCTGCCACACCGCCAGAACACGATTTCTGTTCTCATCCTGAAGCAAAGTTCTTAACCCGAGGTATTATTTCTGGGTTAGGGCTGTAACCTGAAGCATATGTAACCCGAGGTGCCACTGTATTTCGCTTTTCATTCTACTGACTCACCTTACAGGGTTCTTGCTCGTGCTATGTTAGCGATAATTTACAAGCAGATTTGTCCACACTATCAGGAATACTGCAGGTTTTTTTTGTGTCCATCCCACTTTAAGACAGGCTGCGGCCGCTCCAGAACCGTGCAGTGATTGTTGAGTGGAATACCTGGACATGCAGCTATTACCTTTATGCTGAGGGAACGGCACTGGCTACTGACTAGTCACAGGGCCATGTAAACGTTTATTAACATTATAAAGCCCACAAAAACTTGGGGGCAGGGTACTCATCCCAATACAGACTTCTAAGATCACCCAGGGAAACTGTGCTCATGGCACCACTCCACAGAACATAGGATGATAGCTCTAAAATGGACAATTTCTGCTGCTGCTACACCACTTCGGAATGCCTTTCACTCTCCCATACGTGAAGCAACAATTATTTGCTTCAGATATCTTCAGATGTATCTGTTTGTGCCAGCTTTCCCTGGTCTCTGAATCAATGGGCTTCTGTTTTGATATTGATTTAAGTGTTTTTATGTTGATTCATACTGTTGCACACCACTTGGAAACGTTTAAAACATGAAGCGGTTTTGAAATTCTTTTAAATTTAATTCAATAAATACAATATTCTAAGGGGGGGAAATACTTTCTTTCAAAAGATGGAAGAGTAAAGCTAAAGGCATCGTACAGGTATCAAGCCTGTGTTAGTCTTTCGTTCTTCTGAAAATTCACTTTTTGGAAGAAGAGCCATTGGCGAAAAACAGGATGACAATGATTGGATGATGGCGTCGTGCAGATACCTCATAAAGAGTAAGTGAAGAATGGCAATTCCACTCTAAGCACGTGGTGTGGAAGCATCTTCCCCAAAACGGTCAGAAAAAAAGTTGTGTTCCATCTGGCTTCTCTGCAAAATCTTCTGGTGCAAATTAAAATTTCAAGGGTTGGGTGTTCTTTGGTTCGGTTCAGACATGCTGGTCTAAATAGCTTGTCAAAATATTGGTGCTGCTGGCTTCTCAGAGAGGAATGTCATGCCATGATTTCCTCTTTTCAGAACCTGCTTTTCTTTTGCATCTTTAAGTACATTATTTACATTGGGAGGGTAGGCAGCTGCTCTCTCTGGGCAATGACAACAAAACATTGTGGTTACCCACAATGCACTATCCAGCTTCTTTTCTTGCAACTACTGCATTGTCACCGGTATAGGCTGTGGTTCACAGGCTAGGCTCTATAGAAAGCCACTGTCCATAGAGAAGCTTGCTACGGAAATTACCAGGGTGGGGGGGGGGCACATCTTTAAAGTTGTTAAATGTTACAAATATTATGCATAAATGTATCCTTTCGACTTGCTGGGAAATCACCTAGCTTTAAAAATCATATAAAATCAACTCCTTTGCTAGTTTCCTTCATTCCATCGCCAATTTGCTTCATCAGCCAAGGACATGGAAACCACTCGGTCCCCGCCATAATCCCTCAAGCGGGAGGTCACTCACAGGAGTACTCACTCATAGGTGTCAATTGCTGGGCAAAGGCACACTTCCGGACTTGCCCAGGTGGCAGACTATGCAAACCAAAGTTCTATTGTCCCTTTGTAGTAGGTGCTTAGAATGTACTTCCCAATACATATCCTGTATCCGCCTGTTGCCCCAACACATTCCTCCTATGTTAATCATGTATAACCCTTCCTTTTTCTGATATAGCAATGATGTAGTGATGATGCTTAATGAACTGTATGCTGGGATAAAACAGAAACTTTTAAAAGTCCTTGTCACCCCATCCTCAGGGTTCAAAATTCCTCTTTGAACCTGCTGCGCAATAAACTCTGGTCTACAGCTATTTGCTCCGACTGAAGTCCATCCTTTATTCCGCAGGGACCCATGGGCTCTGCCCGACGAGCTGCGTGACTGAGCAGCCTCGCACCTAGATTTTTCCGTAACAGCTGGTAATTGAATTTATCAACACTGTTTTAGATTCCTAGAATTGTAGAGTTGGAAGGGACCCTGAGGATCATCCAGTCCAACCCCCTGCAATGCAGGACTGTGCAGCCGACCCATACAGGGATCAAACTTGCAACCTTGGCGTGATCAGCACAACACACTAACCAACTGAGCTATCCAGGCTGTTGTTTACAATGGCAAGAGATAATGATGATGCAATGCACCAATACAGAGACATGTTATTTACCTACTGCCTGAATTCACTGTATCTGTTCCTGTATAGCTCACACAATTATTCCTCTATCCTCAGTGGGTCTTTGACATTAAAGTAAGTCTCCCACAACATTCCTCCCCTCCCAAATAATAATTGTTAGGGCTAGTAATTAAAATAATCATAGTACATTAACTGTATGATAATTGCATAAATCTGCATACGAATAAAATAATTCTGGAGAGCAAAAAAAAGCATTCTTCACTTTTAGATAATGCATACAGGTGTTGAAGCATGAATTATTTTAGAGAAGATGTCTCTTAAGATGCTATCTGCTTCCTGGGGTTTTGGTAATGACTTGTATTAAACACAGGCTGCCTGATTAACAGGGACACCTTTTTAGTTTATCAAAAGGTTTGCAAATTGATTACTCTAACCAATCAACTAATTATTGCAACCCTCATAATGTTCAAGCAATTAAAAACCCTCCAAATTAGTGACCTTACTTACACTAGTTAGGCAGCAATGCAAAAAAGAAGAAAAAAAGAAGTATTGTGTAAAATGGTCTGGGCTCTAACAATATCCGCGCTCATGATTTAAATAATTTCATAAGCATATGTGTGTTAAAAAGTCTGATGCAATTCTACACAATCTCCACATTTCCTTATTTTTGCCCCCTTTGGAAACCTATGTAATTTTGTAAGGTAGACTGTAAACAGCTCCATCTTGTGGTAAGAAGGTTGTATTGACAGCCAGAATTAAATTCAATTTTAAAAACTGATTAAAATAGTTTGTGTGTGCTGCAAAGAAGGTATACATTTTTCATGCAAACAGTGACTTGGGGCATCACAGATTCTAAATACGACTTGCATATGATGACAGAACATAGACCAACCATGCTGTTTTCAGAAAGAGGATTCCTAATAGTTTCACCAAGGAAGAAATAATTCATTGTCTTGCTATTTCATACTGAAGGCTCAATACCTTTGTACCTTCTGCTTTAACAACAAAGGGCAGAGCTCTTGAAGAGCAACTCACATTGCCTCCCTATTCGTCCTACAACTGCAGCCTCGTTCTGTACTTCCTTCCATGTCTAGCTGCCTCTATTCTGTTCCCCTCTATCCTGTCCCCACGTTTATTAAAGTTAGTTCCCGCTGCTCATTCAGTAGGAAAGCAACTTTGACATCAAGCAAGTTTAATACCTCCAACTGATACCTCTTTTTGTTTTGTCCTTTTCGTAAAAGAAGAAAAAACATGAATGGGAATTTGGGGTAGGTGGGAGAGAAACAATTTAATTACAAATATATAGATATATATTTACACACATCCACATGTCTAAAATTTATCCATCGCAACAGCTGCAATGCACTTTGTTTCACTTCTGAATTTAGCGCTTCTGCCAGGTGAACTTTTTGCGGGATCCCGCTTGGCCGGGCTTCTTCCGCTCTCTCACACGTGGATCAACTGCTAGGAGACCAGCTGCAGGGGCGAGAGAAAGGTTAGAAGAAGTTCAGTCACGGTGCTTCTATACTACACTCAGAACAGAAGCTGAACTTGGGAGAAGAAAACAGGAAGGTGCAAGCTGAATCCCAGTGGGATGACATAAGCTAATGATGAGATTGTACACTTAAAAATATGAAGTACGTTTCCATTGTTTCTGGATTGTATTTTTTTGTTTTTGTCTTATCAAAGACAAATGTTTAAATGATTATTTATGTAGACAAGGATTAAGCGTAAGGTACTGGTTGTGTTTAGAACAGATTTATGAAAGATTTAGAAAACTTATTGATTCGAATATTTGTATGAGATTGTATGGGAAAAATACGGAATAACAGATACAAATTTGCTTAAAATGTATATAGGAAGTGCAGTGTAAGCGATGGAAGTCAATCAATGAAGTTTTATTTGTTGAGATATTTGTGGAGTGAATTTGGAGGAAATTCTTCCAATTTTTCTCCTTTTTCTAATTTTTTCTTCTTTTCTTTTCATCCTTTTTTCTCTTTTGTTCTTTTTATATATTTGTGTGCTTATCTGAAAAATATATGTATGTATTTTGCTTGTATTTTGTTAAATAAAATTTAATAAAAAAACCAAAAATAAAAATATGAAGTACGACCACTTTTCATGAGTGGATTCCATAAGAGTTGCAGCCAATGGATTCCATGCCTCAAGGAATAGATTTCTGTTCAGGCAGCAAGAATTCCTCTTTTTCTCCCTCCCCCTCATCTGCTCTGGATGGTTTGGGGACCTTCTGGAGCAATTTTTTTTGGGGGGGGTGTACAAAGGGATTGCTGGGGGTGGAAGAGGAAAGAAGGGTGAAGTCCTGCTATGTGAATGGATGTCCACTTAAGCAATGCTTGGATTCAGCCCAAACATTTCTAATGCAAAACACAAAGATGAGCCAGGGCAACTTTCTTCTTCATGATTATACCTTGCCTCATGGACTCCACCTCGTTTTCGGTGACGAAGCTGCACAACGCTCTTGCGGAAGCTAAGCGGATCGCTCCGGCCTGCGCTGCTCTTCCTCCCCCAGAAACAGAGCAGACCATGTCGTGCTTCTCCAGGCGATCGAGAAACTGGAAGGGGAACATCAGCTGTTCTCTGAAAAACATACAAATGCATCCAGCATTATTGGCTCATGTAGTCCAGTTGTAACACCAGCAATCAGGGAGACAGGTGGAAATGATCTAGATCAGTGGTTCCCGATCTTTCCCCACAAAATTGCTTTTGACTTTGGTGTTTTTCAGTGCAATCCTGCAATCGGGGATCCCAGGTTTTATCCGGTGGCATGGAAGAGTCTCCAGGTGAGATCTCTTTAGTCCATCATCTTCCTGGAAGTCCTCTTGATGGGCGGTGTTCAATTCAGACATTTGTGACTTTGGTTAAACAATGGCAAGAAATAAGATGCTTCCAATTTTTTGTAAGTATTGATGGTAGGGTGGTGTGCACATGTAATACAACCTCAATCTTTAAACAAAAATGAAAACTGAAGAAACTAAGAAACCTATACAACTCATATCCCTACCTTCCTCTCAAAGTCACCCAGGGCAGCAGTCTTTGCTAAGACTAGAATGGCTATAGTCTTTGTTTCAGCAACATATCCCCTTGAATTTTTTTAAATAAAATAACTATCTACAGCAAACTTAGTTCACTCACCTGTCCTGCAAGACTGGAAAGTAAAGTATATAATCATCTCCATTTATAGTAATTTTCCCACTTCCATTGTCATAAACCTTAACAGTTGCTTTTGCTGTCTTTCTCCAGCCTTGAAAAAATAACACACGTTTATATTTAGCATCTCAAAAATCACACGTGGCATGCTCATCATGGGAAAATCCTAGCAAAAGTGAAATTCTCTCATAATAAATATTATTTAATCCAAGTTCATCACACAACATTCTTTCCTAGCCAATTGCAGTACTGCCCATGTTTCTTTTTCCTATGAGGAAAAGTTTCTATTTGTAATGTAACAAAAGCTATTTTATCCATCCTGAAGCCCAATACTGATTCAGTGCCTAAATTTGTTCCGGAATGGGAAAGACTTGAGTTGCCAGCCTTTTGACACTTCCGTATGGGTGAAGCTGCCTCAGTTGTTCAGGTAATGGAAACAACAGAGAGTCCATCTCATAGCCAATAAATAGGGACTGTTATTCTAGGTATTGGCCATTGAGTGGGTTCTGATGCTTCCTGTTTATCTGTGGTTGCTAAAATGATACCAAGGAAATTTGCATTATTATTATTATTTATTATTTAGCTGCTGGGAAACCCAAGTGGTATGGCTAAGCCCTGAGATTAGTATTATTGTCTTATGGCAGAGACACTGGCATCTTTCGACAACAAAGGCTTTACACATAATCTCTCTCCATCCGTGCAAGTAGTTGTTATAAAAATACTGAAAAGATTTGAATAAATTGAAAAAAGGGATAAACAGCAAGAACAAAAATGTCTCATCCCATTAAAGAAAAATGGGACATGGTGGATAAAATATTCATATTGCCGCCATTGCTATGAATATTTCTTTTCTTCCTCCAGCAGAGGGAAGCATACTCTGAGAATTCAAAATGGCAGCCAGCATCTTCAACAGAGAAACTGGATTTTGATAAGATAAATAGTTAGTTAGATTCAGACCTATACAACATACATGGAGAATTATTCATTAATAGTGACCAAAAACTCTGTTTAAGCATAAATACTTAGCAGCTCATCTCATTTACTTCAAATGAAATTAGATATGCCTAAAGCCACAGGACTTCAGATAAAGTGATTTTTAAGGTTAGCTCAATGTGCCAATTGCAAGATTTTAGGGCAGTGAGATTTCCCCAGCTGTTGATTATTGTTGATTAATTTCTGTTTGATTTTACAATTTTTAAAACTGTCGTAAGCAGCATTGAGAACAGCAAATGCAATGGAATGGTAGGCTATAAGTATTTTAAATAGTAAGTATGAAGAAATGATGGACCTGGACCTTAAGGCAACTTGTTGCGAACTGGGAAGAACGTTTATCAACGAAGAAACGGCACATTAGTCCAATCAATGGCTGTGTTCATACATCGTAGTAATTTATAGCTAATGGTTTACTGTGAATGTGCAGATGCACACACAACACCCTTTCGCTAGGGTGAAAAGGAGCACCAAACCACAATCCCCGACTTAGCATTATTTCCAAACCAGGGATCATGGTTTGTTCAACTCCAAACCAACCCTGATTTGAAGCCAAGCTTTTTCTTAGCTTCAGATCATAGTTTGGAGTCAAACAAACACAGCTTGTTACAATCCCCAGTTCAGATGTACTGTTAAGTTAGAGATCGTGGCATGTTGCTCTTGGTATGGGATGAGCAATGTGGGAGTAATCTCTGTGTTCACAGTAAAACAGTAACTGCGGCTTACCATGGCATGTGAACAGGTCATACATGGGACTATGTCTATGTTTTTAAGACTGCAATCCCATATTCACTTTCCTGGGAGTAAGTCCCACTGAACTCAGTTACAAATTGTTTTGATCAAGCCCATTATGCATTTAGGGATGTAAGAAAATAAAATGATGCAATCTACTACTGATACAAAGAATGCTTTCAAAAACAAATTCCTTAGGTTTCAGATAATCTTTACACTGAAAATCTTTAAACAAAAGATTATGCTTTTCAACAAATACCGTATTTTGTTTGATTAAGTCTCGTTGATATGAAAATATCACCAGCATGTTTAGAAGATTCAGCCATAGTCTATAATCTTTCTCAGCACAGACAGTAATATTAAATGGAAGAATTAACACACATACAAGCCCAGAATCTTATCAAGCCGAGTCACTGTGGTGTTGTGAAAACTGAGTTAACAACAGGTAAAATTTGAACAGCTTTGCTTGTTAAGAAAATAAGGTACTGAACTAGCCCAAATGAACTGTCAGGTTAAAAAAACCCCACATAAATGAGAAATAAATGCTTAATAGATACAGTCATAATGCATTGCATCCTTTTATCATGAAACCAGGTGTGAATACAGCCTGATCGTAAGCCTGTGTGTTTACTCAGAAGTAAAGCCCAGTGACTTCAATGGGACTACTATGTGCGATTTTTCCGCATACGTCTGCCAAATTGTTATCTGCCCACCCAAGGAAAGCTGCTAATGGGTCCTTATGCCCTAGCAAAACAATTTCATGAAACAAGTACGACAACATTTCACATTTCACCACAAATCTTGGGGCAGCATTTCTTGGTTCAACATCATAGGAGAATAGGAAGCTGCCTTATGATCCATCTTGCACAGACCTCTGATCCATCTTACACAGTACTGTCTACACATTGACTGACAGCTGCCCTTCAAAGTTTAAGACAAGAGGTGCTCACAGCACTATCTGGAAATGCTGGGGAATTTGAACCTGTGTCCTTCTGTAAAGGTAAAGGGAGCCCTGACCATTAGGTCCAGTCGTGACCGACTCTGGGGTTGCGCGCTCATCTATAGGCCGAGGGAACCGGAGTTTGTCCGCAGACAGCTTCCGGGTCATGTGGCCAGCATGACTAAGCCACTTCTGGCGAACCAGAGCAGCGCACGGAAACGCCGTTTACCTTCCCACCAGATTGGTACCTATTTATCTACTTGCACATTGACGTGCTTTCGAACAGCTAGGTTGGCAGGAGCTGGGACCGAGCAACGGGAGCTCACCCCATCACGGGGATTCGAACCGCCGATCTTCTGATCAGCAAGTCCTAGGCTTTGTGGTTTAACCCACAGCGCCACCCTGTGTCCTTCTGTATACAACGCAAATGCTCTAGCCCTGAGCTATGGCCCTTCCCATGCTTGTGAATGGACAACCAGGAAAACATATTTTATTTCTCAGGTCTACCAAGAACTAGCCCTCTCTCTACAAAGGAAAAACAAGAACAAAAAGTTACCTTCTGCAGTACTGAAGGCCAGGCCCTGCTCATCATACTGTAGGGGTTCTATGTTCTGCTTTTTGGATTGCACAGGTAATTGCTTACGGAATTTTTGCACATAATCATCTTCAATCTCATGGCACGGCATTGCAACCAGTTTTTCTAGCAGCTGAATACACCGTGAATACTGTAGACAATAAAAAATATCATTAAGGGGTTGGGGGTGCAAGTGTAATTGCATTTGCCAACAACTTCTATTTTTACATGCATGATCTTTCCAGTTCTGCTCTTATTGACAACTTTTGACAGGATGACACTTCTGCATTTGCATGCTGCTTTCAAAACAACATGCAGATGTATCATTTTCTATGTGAATAAAGATACCTAATCCTTTTTTTTTTAACCCTAGCAACAAATGAATCCAGAATTCAAAAAAATGCAACCAACCTCTTTGTAAGACGGGATTACCACATTAAAATGAAGTTCATCTTAATTTTCAAAGAAATATTTTGCAGGCCTCAAAACAGAATCCAATTCTTTGATGAAGAGTGGCAAGAGGTAAGCTTCCCAACTCATTTCAAACAAGTTGATATGTACATTTAAATGGAAATAATTTTATTTTCCTAAACGCCACTTCTTAGGTGATTATATTTCGTAATACATACGGAAAATGTGTATCTATGCCACTGGCTGTTCAGTCGGGAGTTACTTTAAATGTTTATAATTTTCTTTTTAAACCAAACAATCAAGCTTCTTAAAAATTCAAGCGATACTTGACTTAAAGGGCAACCTCTTGAAATAAATTATCCTTTGCTACTGTGTGCTTCGCTCCCTACATCGTGAACATGTGATTAGAAAGTAAAACGCTGCACTGCTAGTACATGGTCTTGTTAATAAGGCTTATCTGAAGGCCTTGTGGCATCAAGAAATTTAAGAAGCGGCTGTAAGTATAAAGTCTTTCACACACTGGCACACATGTTTGTGTTGATGACGAATGTTGTATTGATGACCACAGATCTTAAATACCTGTTTAGTGCACACACAAAACACAGAAATAAAGAACAGAATTAATGGGGGGGGAGAGAGCAACAGAGGTGACATAATGAAGATGCAGGTAATTCTTTGTACAGAGTACCTGATCTCTCGTCATCGCCTTTTTATTACAAGTAATCCAATTGGCAGACGTAGCAGTATTTGTTTGGCACAAGCCCTCTTTACTTGTTCCTCTCCACACAATTATAATCACATGGAGATGCACCCACTGCCTTTGGGGCCACACCATCCTTGCCCCTTCCTGCTCTCTACATATTTTGGAGAATGTTGTTAAAGAGAAGCCTGCTGAATGCCCATAAACACTTCCCACAAAGGGGAGAGAGCCTGAGTGCGCAATAGGCTTTCCCTTTACAAACATTCCCCCTAAAGCAGCGGTTCTCAACCTGTGGGTCCCCAGATGTTGTTGGACTACAACTCCCATCACCCCTAGTTAGCAAGGCCAGAGCTCAGGGATGATGGGAGTTGTAGTCCAACAACATCTGGGGACCCACAGGTTGAGAACCGCTGCCCTAAAGTGTGAGCAGTGGGGAAAGGCAGGACCAGCAGGGGACCCAATAGTGGAGTCAGGGGTGCAGCCCTGCATGCTTTCTTCACACAACTACCATCACATGGAGACTAGGTTATCCTAGGTTCCCCAAAATATTCTGCATATTACACACTTACACACACACACACACACACACACACACACTGTTGTACATTTGTTTAACACCACCACAACATGCAAGGGATTATATAGGGCTAGCACATTACGAGCCATTATTATTTTGTTTCTGCAGTGTTCTTGTTGATTTTATGTTTCTCTTAATAAATAAACTCTTTGTTATGGGGTTCCCTGCTGCACCAACGCTGTGAGAAGTAAAGTGCCTTCCAGGTCTCCAACCTTTAGGCAGTACTGCCCCCACCTTGCTTTTAAGTTTCCAAGTCAACAGGCAGCAGGGAAGCTCACAGCTTTAAAGCGCTTATCTTGGGATTTAGGAAACCACCCACATCCTCTCTTCATATTCCCTGCTTCCACAAGCCTGTTGCCAGAGTGGCCAGGCTCATGGGAAATAAAGCAGTGAAGTAAAGCGACAAGCTAATCCTCCCGTTTTCCAAATAAGAGTTCATTTAAGGGAAAAAATAGTGATTAAGAATGCATATTAAAATTAAAACAAACTTAGGATCTAGCTAGCCTTACACTTTCAGCAAGCTATGAAGTTCAGCTTGCATGCCTGGAAAATGCATGACTCTTTGAGATGTTTCAATGAAACCAAAGAAAATTTTAAAAAAACCACTTTGGGTGGCAGAAGGTTGGATAGGGAAAGGCCAACCAATGAGGAAGAGAACCGGGACACCAGGAAGTAGGTCAAATATACAGGAAACTTTTGCAGATGGATGCTTGGGACAATTATCATTTTGTTCAAACAGGGGAAGAAGTTAAACTGGAAGGATCTCCTCCTGGGTTCCTGTCAGACAGATTTAACTAAAGAGAAGTGCTGCTTTGAGAGAATCCATTCAGTCTCTCACAATTTTAGTGGACAAGTTGTCCAAATGTGGCTTACGTAATTGGTATAGGAATCAATACAGATTCTTCAATATGTGTGTTTATGTGCACGAAAGAGACCAAGAACATGAATAATTCCTGTCTCCAAGGAAAAGATTTTTTCAGAATCCTTAAAGAAAAACCCATGTAGCTGTTCCGTTAAAATACAAGGTTCATTAAATAAAGGAGATTAATTACTCACATCTTGATCTGACAGTTTTTCCACTATCATTTCTTCCAATTCCTCTTTAATCAGCCATCTGCTGCCAATCAGGTTTCTGTTTAAAATATCACATATATTCTCTTTTTAACTAATCATGCAATTAGACTAAGATTGCAAAGGGCCACACATACAGTCACACTTCATTTGGAAATATACTTGTCTTTTACTTTGAAAAAGTGCAAGTTACATTTACAAACTTTCTATTCCCAAAAGCAAAGAGCAGTAGCTCCGGTGTCATAATTTTGCTTTATTAACAAGTAATATTTCTAAAGTGGTTGGGAGTTAAAAGTCCTGGCATCAGTTTAGTTTAAAGGCAACTTTCAGCAGCATTCTAATGTGTATGTAAACCAGCTGTACCAGAATGAAATTTAACACACAAGATTTCAAAAAACACAACACAAAAGATCGCAAACATAGCAAGAAATAGTATTTCGTCTTCCCCATAACTCTTCCCTTCTATCTAGAGGTAATTTCAGGGTGTGAAGCACTGAAGTAGAAAGGGAATACAAAGTCTTCTGGGATTTCAACACCTTATCTAGATCAGCTCTGGTGCAAGACAGACTGACCAGTTGCTGGCCAATTGCAGAACACTCAGTTCCTGGAGGGATGACGTGCATCAAAAAGAGATGTGGTAAAACACAGTAGGGGCAGCATCAGTAGGGGCAGCATAGGATTGGATTAGCCACAATTTGAAAACAAAAATAACTATCTTACTGTCTTGCCATGTGCTGCAGGCAAAAGAGAAACCAGGCATTCTCTGGTGTTGTTTGTTTCATACATCTTGTATATCACCACACGGTGGACAGCGGAAAAATGAGCGCCCCCTGGGCTTGGTGCCGTTCATTTATCAGCTTGTTCCTCTGCCCTTTAGGCTGTTTACTTTCCTTCTGTTCTTCTCATGCTTACTTTTCCTGAACGGCTTTATCTTTTATCCCTCATTCTACCTCTTTGCTTCATTTTTCAAGAAAGGAATTCTGTCTCTTCATGCTAACCTTTCCCTCCAGTTGAAACCTATTGAAACCTTACCTTTCACCAAGGCTATGTACACACCATACATTTAAAACACCCACTCAAAGGGAAATAATCAAAAAATGGTTGGGAGCTGCAGTTTACCTTGCAAAGAGCTATAGTTTCTGGCACCCTTAACAAGCTACAGCTTTGAGAATTCTTGGGGTGGGTTTGCTTTAAATGCATGGTGTGTATGTAGCCCAGGCCTAGTCCCAACAAGGGGTGTTGCTGTTGTTTTTTGGAAGTCTTTTAACCTTCTTGTCAGGGATTTCCACAGTCACTGTTTTTCCAGTGCTCAACTTCCTCCTCCAATTTCATTTTCTTTTGGCCTTCCTAATCCACACCTTGGATAAGTCTTCCTTACACCACCACTCCAAGTAATGGCTCATCCTTTGGTACCAGCTGGTTCTCCTCAGCAAACGATTAGTTTCCTGAAGGTGTCCCAGTGCCAATTCATTCTGACATATCTTGGCTCTGCACACAATCATTTGGATGATGATCAATCCAAGGCAAAGAGGGAAGGCATACAGAGGAGGCTGTCCTCCATGAGGAAATCATTTCTAAATGTGAAAGCAAAGCAAAGACTGTGGAGAATCTCTTTTGGGGCTGTTACATTCACTACAGGGATACTAGCAAAAGTGACATGTGCAGTTTCAACTCTTAATCAAGGAGGTGAAAGGCAAGTCTCACTGTCAAAACTGTGTTTGCTCTTCTTTCCTGCTCTAAGTTCTGCTCTTCTTCCAAGCTAGGCAATTATTATACTCTTTTCCCACAGACTCTTATCACTCACTGTCTGAGCTATCTCTGCTTTAACTTTGACTCATTCCTAAAATCTTTCACTTCATCCGTCTCCCTCATATACCACTGAAAAGCTTACATTAGAAACACAATAAAGCCAGAGTATGACAAACCTAGACAGCATCTTAAAAAACAGAGACATCACCTTGCCAACAAAGGTCTGTATAGTTAAAGCTATGGTTTTCCTAGTAGTGATGTATGGAAGTGAGAGCTGGACCATAAAGAAGGCTGATCGCCAAAGAATTGATGCTTTTGAATTATGGTGCTGGAGGAGACTCTTGAGAGTCCCATGGACTGCAAGAAGATCAAACCTATCCATTCTTAAGGAAATCAGCCCAGAGTGCTCACTGGAAGGACAGATCCTGAAGCTGAGACTCCAATACGTTGGCCACCTCATGAGAAGACAAGACTCCCTGGAAAAGACCCTGATGTTGGGAAAGATGGAGGGCACAAGGAGAAGGGGACAACAGAGGACAAGATGGTTGGATAGTGTTCTCGAAGCTACCAGAATGAGTTTGACTAAACTGCAGGAGGCAGTGGAAGACAGGAGTGCCTGGCATGCTCTGGTCCATGGGGTCACGAAGAGTCGGACACGACTAAACGACTAAACAACAAGAACCTATCACCTCTCCACTCCTCAATAGTCTCCTTTGCTTACCTCCCAATTCTCACCTATTTCAGACCATTTTGCATTGACACCATCTCCTCCCACCACTGGTCCTGCTAGCTAGGAATGATGGGAGTTGTAGTCCAACAACATCTGGGGACCCAAGTTGAGAAAGTCTGGCCTAGGCTAATAATACCACATAGCATGATATATCTTGAAAATATTGTATGAGAACTGCATCTGCATCTCTCATCCCCAACATACTTTCATTATGATCACACAGAGACAACTTACAACTGGGATTTCTTCTCAGGTGGTAATAATCCTTCAGCACGCATTCGTTCTTGGTGTTCCTCAATATGAAGTAGCTTACCATACAATTCCTAGAATAGATACAAGGGTGAGCTCCACTTAAAACCTTCTGCTGAAAATTTTGGCATCAAATATCACTTAGAAGTTCAACATTAATGTCTCACAACTAATGTAACTAATCTGTAGAAAGGACTCTATTACCTGAAAATGGAGACAATGTAGGTGCTTTTGTAACCCAAGAAAATCCTTAAGAAAAACAATTATTTTGTGTGTGTGTGTGTGTGTGTGTGTGTTAGAAGTTCAACTGCAAGAATACAGTACCACAACTCCCATATTTGCCCCCGAACTGTGGTACAAAGGGGCATAGCATATATCTTAACTAATTTCAGTTATAACAAACCATTGTGACCAGTGGTTTCTCTGTAGTAATAACCAAAATAAAAACAATGTAATTCTTCAAACAATCCAGGCTCTTTAGCTATAGAATCACCCCATTTAAGCCAGAACACAAAAGAATAAGGACATTTATCCGATTACAACTTCCTAAAAAGAGGTTCTGATTGAGCACTCAGCAATGGTGTATTTATCTCTAAACAAACCATAAGTGATACGCCGAGAACAAACCTTGCCTTCCAACTGTGGTTTGTTTGGAGAGAAACAAACCACAAGTCCAAGTTGCACATAATGGTAAATCAGCTGTTGGTTTGTTTCCTCCCAGGACAGCAATAGCAAGAGCCAGGGAGTAGCACACTATAAAGCAGCACGCTGCTCGATCATATAAAACTGTAGTTTATTGATTTATATTTAATTATGGTTTAAATTTTAATGTTATATGTAAAGCAGGCCTGAGTTTGTGAAAACCCAATCAAGAAAGATTCTGTCAACAGGGGCAGGGCTGGTTCACTACATTTCTTGGTTCATAAGAAAATTATTCAGCATTTGGACTCAGCTATACAGCTGCCAATAAAATGTTTTAAGTGTGTTTTAAGTGCAATATACAATGTGACACTAGATGGTGATGGAAAGCCTTATTAAAAATTCATTGTATTTTTAAAAACACTTAAAAAAAAAAGCATTTCAGAATTTTTTTTTTTTTAATGTGTGTAGATTCCACCTTTGAATCAAGTTCCAGAAACTGTTATAATTTCTATTACATTCTTCTCTACATACCAGCAACCCAGGCAATTCAGGACCTTTGGAAGAGGGTGGGATAAGAGATGGTCTTGCCCATGTAAGAAATACAGCACTGCTGACTACCCTTTTAAAATGGAAGCTTGTCACACGAAGCTAGCCAAACCATAAAAATTACAGTGCACACTGGCACATTCATCTCTATTCTTCTCTATAACAATCTGATAGCAGGCTCTGAAAACTTCCTTCAAGCCTATGGGGGAAGATTACAGGTTGCTATGTCCCATTATCCTTGCGAGGTCCTTCATTCTTGAGATTGGTAATGATGCTCTACATGGATGGAAGAAGAGGAAGATGTTGCTTCACTTATTGTGTTAGCTGGAATTATAGTTCGTTCCTAAAGCTACATGGCCACTTTTACTCCATTATGATTCTAACCACATGGTGAATTGTTCATTTCCCATTTGTAGCCATGCAGTGAACAAATGGTTACCTACACTTGGGATCTGTCTTGTAGTTTCGCAGACTGAAACCTTTAGACATTTGCACACCAATATGTTTTTGGAGCCCTTACCAAATAACCTCTCTAGTTTCAGAGTCTTCAGAGCTTACTATGCCTGGACATTTTCAAGTTTCTCTGTGAATTCAAGGACTGCAAACTTTTAAAAAGAGTCAAGCTGTGCACCAGACTCACAGCCAATGGTGCATGCAATGCAAACACAACCTTGATAACCATGCTGTCTTCCTGAACACTGGCAAAAAAATCCCTTCTCCGGGCCCTGTTATAATGCTGTGTGAATGTGGCTAGGTCATAATAGCCCACAAGATACTGTATAGCTCCTCAAAGGATGGGCATTTTCAGTTCATCTTTGGCTAAATGTATTTCACCACTTATTTTTCTCAAATACAGTCTACGTGAAAAAAAAAGATAACCTAAAGAGTTTTTATCTACTGACAAGGGTACATTGTGACATGGGAATTTTTACTTGCTCATTTCAGATCCCATTTCCTTCATTCCTCAAAACACTCTGGCTGTTCTTAAATTTTATTGATGTGCATAGCTATAAAGGAAGGCATGTGCAAAATTATTTGCAGGATAACAAATCAATGGGCAGGATAATGATGCATGCTATCTTGCAATGGTATAAGAATCTGAGAAGCATGTCACTCGGCAAATGTTCACATCTGAAGCATTTCAAAAAGGAATTCCTGCTTCTTCAGAACAGATAGGTGAAGATTTAACTAACAGTTTCCAGAGGCAACAGCAAAGTCATAAATATACATGCCTATATCCCTTACAAATGTGGCCATTATGCAGTAGATTTTATAAGATACTTGTGAGCCATATATATATTGTCATAAAACAGGAGGACTGCGTCCTCGATCTTGTCAATTAACAAGACAGACAGTTTTAAACAAAGCTGTTGCTGAATAGTAAGTTAAGAGCAAGCACCAGGCTACTGGATCTTTGAAATATATCTTGAACAAACATAGTAGGTTATCAACATCATCAATATATTTAGACTTAGTTCTCTTGCCCCCAGGCTCAGAAGCACTGGAGAGAGGAAATAGGTGGAGTTCATATGCAACCAATATCTTAAAATGCCGACACAGATTCTATAAGTTGCTGTTAGTTGGAAAACATCCTTCTGGTCTGTTTTTGTATTCTGTTTCTTAATTTGTTACATATAGCTGTACATATACGACATAACATGTTTGGGTTTCCAATGCCATTTTAAACAAGCCAGTGATGCAACCTTGTAAAAGATGAATGATATTCTGAAGACTTCTAGTACAGCGGTTCCCAACTGGTGGTTCGCACAAATTTAAGAATTTAAGGGGTTAAGACATTTCAGGATGCAGCTGAATTTGCAACTAAAGAAACCATTTACATCCTAAACTCTTTTCAACAAACAGAGAAACAAAGATGAAACTGGGAATAGAAATGCTAAAGTAGTAATAAGCTTTAACATGTAAGCAGCATATGAAATGGAATATACAAGATGGATGGTGGTCAATGTAGATGCTACAAGGAAGCCTATTCATACTGCATCAAGTAAGCTATATAAATGGCAGGGTGGTTGGCTCAACTGAAATAAATAACTGAAATATGACAGTAAAGCAAATGGTAATTGACACATGTAGGCAAAATGTATTTTATAAAATTTTTAAATACTGCAAATTATAAAAGGCTATGAGCACAAGATGCAGTAAAAAAGTGAAATTATTTTACATTTTCTTTTTAAAGTGACAGTTTGGCACTTAACAAGTATCTCTCTAATTTCCATTAGCCTATGATTCTCATCTTTAACACCCTTACACATATTTCACATTTCCTGAGCAGAAGATGGGATGAATCCTGTTTAATGAAATGATTTATATCACTCTTTTTAATGAAGACATCTCTAAACGCCCTGACACGACTTAAGTAAATTTACAAATATTCTACAATGATTGCATTTCTGTTTGTCAAAAGGATTTCGTGTGCAGGAAGATTTTAATCAAGTGGTGAGCACAGCTATTCTTTGAAAAGGCCGTGTGTCTCAGGAAAACCTCACATGCCGTTTTCAAAAGGCAAGCAATGGGTAAAAAAAAAAAAAAAAGTTGGGCGCCTTGTAATATATTTTTTTAATTTCTTCATTATGATGGAATGCAACAAAACATCTTGCCCTTGGCTTGCTCTGTTTCAGCCAAAACAAATGCAAATGGCCTGTCAGATGACAGCTGCTTGATAAGGCTCCTCGACAAGACCTGCATGCTTTACTTTTTTCCGTGAAACTTGGGATGAAAGGCAGAAGGCAGGAAGAGAATTAATGTAGCATACAGTCTAAAGGCAATGCTACAACCGTGATTAAGTAGAAAAGCTAAAAGGCACAGATTTTCCACAGCCTCTCTGCGTGCAACCCATCCGTGTAACAAGTTGACAGGCCTAGCGCGTCAGCTCCATCATCCTCTCCGACAGCTAAAACGCAGCGCTGCATCCCTTTTCAGAGAAAATTTGCGTCTGCACCATGAAGCGTTGTACATTATTTCTTAGCACTGCAGGGGGCTCAAGTCCATATGGAACCTTCACAAATATTACCACAGATCAAACCAGCAGCGTTTCGAGGCAGATTTGACATACCTATTTAAATGAACAGTAGGGGTCCTCAGGCTGCCTCAGGCTGTGCAGGAGAAAACCTCTCTGGGAAGCCTACGCTGCAGCTCCATTACTCAGCAAAGACACACTCTACATTTATCATTCATTTCATTTCTGCCAGGGCAAGAAGCTCATTTGCCCAAGGTCAACCAAAAGAAAAAATAATTCCTCTCTTCTCCCTCTACAGAAATAAATGTACCTGACAAGTGGGGATTTTGTCCTTTGGGTGTGTGGAGTACAAACACACACCAGATAATTCTAAAATGCACAGTAAAGCCATGGTGTTTTTTGTTTTTGTTTTTACAGAGGAAGTCCTCTAAATGGTACTGCAACCAGAAGCAGATACCAAGGGAAACAAGAGTTCAACGGCATCACCAGGCTGAAAAGTTATCAATCAGATTACAAAAAAATAATAATACATTTCTATAACTGAACTTCAGTACACAATTAATTCTACAGTGGATGCATGGGTTGTGAATCTGATCCGTGTGGGAGGCACGTTTGCAACCTGCAGTGTTCACAACCTGCAGCGCCGTGTTTGCGCATGCGTGGGTTGTGATTTGGCGCTTCTGCACATGTGCATAGTGCGATTTGGCGCTTCTGCGTATGCGCGATCGCCGAAACCCCGAAGTAACCCATTCCAGCACTTCTGGGTTTGGCGCGGTGCACAACCTGAAAAAGCACAACCTGAAGAGTCTGTAACCCAAGGTATGACTGTACTAGATTCTTCCACAAAGTCAGCGAATCAAGTTATACAAATAGACAACATGCATCAAATACTATCAATATGTTCCTTCTGTAGGAAATAGGTTCAGAGATTCTTTAGTGATGCCCTTCGGATATTCTTGGACTCCAACTCCCATCAGCTACAACTTGCATGGTCAATGGTCAGGAATGATAGGAAATGTAGTCCTGCTATATCTGAAGGGCACTATATTGCTACACACGCTTTAGTGGATTGTTATGTAGGAGTCACTAGAAATCACAGTATGGGCTCAACTAAGAATTGCCATGCTGGACTGACCAAAATTCCATCTAATCCAGAAATTCAGCTGTGGCAAGCTAGGCAGACATAGTGTTTCTTAACACGGATGTCTGATGCCTAGCGATTACAGTTAATAGGCATGGAGAGATGTTTCCTCCTGTACCTTACTTGGTAGTGTTGGACAATACTTGAACAGACTTTTAATCTACCTACTAATTTTTACAACTGCTGGTAAATTTCGCAAAAAAACCTTAATCCCATGCCCACACTTCAGAGGTGTCATTCTCTTTTGGACCTGGGGAAGGAACTTGTCTGTAAGTTCATAAGTGCCTGTTCTTAAAAGAAAAAGAAAAAATAGGCAACTGCAGACTTTCTTCACCATACTGATGCAGGACAATTGAATAAAATTAAAGCTAGATTTCTTACAGCTTAGCAAACAAAACAAGTCAGATGGGAAATCAGCTCACTTGTTTAGTGACCACCTAATGTGTGAAGTGAGATGTGCAAAGGCAGCAGAAAAAAGGAAAGAAAGGACAAGCTAAGGACTAACACAACAACCACAATGATCAGGCATGAGACTTAGGATTTCTACCACTACCAATGTTCATATCCTAACACAATGCAGTAGTGGGCAACAGCATGTGGGTAGCTCCCACATTCTCTACCCAGATGTGTACCAGCACCGAGTCAGTGTCAAAGTGGATTTAGATAACTGAGAGCCACGAAGTACCCATGCTCTATGGAGAGGCTGTTCTTTGTAGCCTCCGAGTAAAAAAACATAAAAGTGGTTGAGGCTAGTGCTTTACTCAGGGCCCCAATTTTAAACAAAGCAATGTGAACTCCAGTGGAACGCACGCCAATTCTCATGTTTGAAAGGGTAGGATAGCTGCCAGTCAAAACACAGCACTGGCCTCTTGCAAATTTCCTGTGTGCTCAAATGTCAAGCTATTACAAGGAAATGTAAGTTAAAGCTTTAAACCTGGTTCACACATTATCTTATATGGCCGTCAATAAGAAACATATAGCTGCCTTCTGCAACTTTCCTTTCCTTCAAGAATACTGTACATTTTAAAAAGGATTACCATACGAATTTGCCTCTGGTCATCTTTGGTTAGTATTTTACTTATCACAGTCTGAAATTCTTTCGTAGCAAGACCTGTTTAGTAACTATGGGGGAAACCAAAGCTAATAGTCATTCCTTCCTTTGGTAACGAGTTTGCCCTAAGAAAATTACGACAAACATACACATTATGTAATAAGTGACCATTATTTTGGTCCACTAGGAAAAAGCCATTAGATAACTTACATGCATTACAGAATAATAGGACTGCTTGCCAGTGTAAAAGAGAAAGTGAAATGGGCGGCCATTTTTGTCCCACTGGATTGCTGAAGGAAAAGAAACAAGGAGGCAAATGTAATGGTAATTACAGAAGTCTAAAAAACAAACTATAGTTTAAACAGGAATAATAAAACCCCATGCAGCACCCAGAACCCCCTCCCACACTGTTCAGAGAATGCCAGGATATCCTCTGCTGTTAATTTTTTATAAAAAGACAACGTTGGCACCACAATCTCAGCTAATAATTTATCCCACTGCTTAACCACACTAAGGTTATGATCCTGTCTAATATGTGACAGTTCTTCACTCTAAGCTTATTACCTCTCAGCCTGGTCTTACTGGTCACAGAAACTAAGCATTTATAGAAATATTTAGCATATTAAAAATGCACATACTACCTCAGCCTTATCTATTTGCAGTTAAATATGCTTATTTCTATAATATAGCCCAATACTAGCTCCCAGTGATCTAAATTGAACTTGCTTCCAAGTGTTCATGCTCTGTATTGCAATCTCAAGTTGGCATCAGGCACATTCACACAGGGAATTATAGCAAAGCACACACAGAAGAGAAACCAACAAGAATGAACTGGTATGAAAAGTGCAGCTCCAGATTAGATAAATATATACCAGCAATATAGAGCTGCAACTACGGCAACAGGCTATGGTCAGCTCTTTTAAAAACATAAACCGTTCCCCTCTAGCTAAAAAGTCAAGATATTTAAGGACCAAGATCTGTGAACCTTAAGGATAAGATATAAACACTGTGATTAGTGACTGCAGAAAGCTTTAACCACCACCTGCAAGGTAAAAAGTTGTGGAATTCCACTGTCCCAATATTACATTTTCATTGCGATCACCAATAAATTTCACTATCTCTTTGGTCAACTGAGAAATGACCATAGGAAGATTAAAAGAAGAGCAAAATAACAAATAAAGAAATCACACAAATATGGTGTGTGATGCAAAGGGCCTGGCAAATTATTCTGCATACCCAAAGAGGATTGAACTTGTTTGATTATTTTTACTATATCCTCAACCCCCAATGACACACAGCAAGCCACTTCTGAAACAGGTATTCTGAAGCAGTCTGTGATGTGTCAAGGGTATCTTTGCTTCCTAGTGAGGAAGGGACCCCTGACCATTACGTCCAGTTGTGGCCGACTCTGGGGTTGCAGCGCTCATCTCGCTTTATTGGCCGAGGGAGCCGGCGTACAGCTTCCGGGTCATGTGGCCAGCATGACTAAGCCACTTCTGGCGAACCAGAGCAGCACATGGAAACGCCGTTTACCTTCCCGCCAGAGCGGTACCTATTTATCTACTTGCACTTCTGACGCGCTTTCGAACTGCTAGGTTGGCAGGAGCAGGGACCGACCAACAAGAGCTCACCCCGTCGCGGTGATTCAAACCTGCCGACCTTCTGATCGGCAAGTCCTAGGCTCTGTGGTTTAACCCACAGTGCCACCCGCAACATATAAAAACACAGTGGGCATGGGAAAATTCCAGATGCACATTTAGTAGCTTTTTGTATCCCAGCTTTCGTGTACATGTGAACATAACAGAAAACAACTTAAGTGGTTTCACATACACAGTCTACCTGCACATACCTCTTTGCTTTGGAAACATTTCTTCGGGATGCTGTTTAAAAATATAATAAAATAGAAAAATGTTAGGACAACTGATACAAAATCTCTCTTTATATCTACAGCACTGAATTGTGTTCTTACCTTCATTACAGGTCTGGCCCTTTTGTCAAACAGACCAGAAGGAAAGAGATAGGCAATAGCTTTCTGAAAGAGAAAAATAAGACTCTGTTAAAAAAACAACAAACAACCTTTATTGATGATCATAAGATTCATAAATTAGAGCTCCCGTCTCAGGAAATCTAGCACAGAGATGGGTAGACTTCATGCCTGTGGGATCTCTACCCTTTGACTTTCTTTTTACTAGATCTCCAAGGATCACCAAGTTGAGGTAGGTAAAAAATACCAGTGGAGAGCCAGATGGACTGACATACAGTATCTATTAAGAAGCAAGGCCTCTGAGCACATGCTAAGCCCCAGAACAAAACTCACAGTCCTTTCACACACAAATTCACTCCTGATTTCCTCCTAAGCCTTCTTTGTTTCAGCAGTCTTATTTTGGATGGAAAGTACCATTTGTGTTCTTGCCATTGTTCAATGATTGGGAGACAGAAGCCCTTGTCAATCTGCTGCAAATCACTCTGAGGTCTACTGGCAGATCATGGTCTCCTTTCAGCCAGCCACATAAATTTGCCTACAATTCATCAACTCAGATAATATTAACTGTCAAGGTTAAACTCATACACTACCTTTCTAATTTGGGAACATGTATAATCCAATACCCTCTGTTTGCTTTAGGATGCTGGAGAAGGGAACAGAGTGCCATTTACCAACAGCCAGCGGGAGTTTGCCAGACAAGCTTATTTTGCTTTGGCCTATGCTTCCAGAGAGAGGAGGAGCCCTATCGTGATCCTTGACATCAGCGGCAACTTTCTCTAAAGCATCAGTACATCATCATCATGTGACTTCTAGCAGGTCAAAATAACTGGCCCTGATATACTCTTACTGGCTGCTGCCATTTTTATCATCACCAATTTTATGATTTGCATTGTTGTGAGTTGCAGGGCGAGAGGGAGGCTATATCCTGAGTCTCTTCTAATTCCTGGACCCAGCAAGGGTTAAAATCTAAGTAAGGATGGGCCATTAAGGTAACAAAGGAAGTGGCTCTGTGCCAGACAGCTCCCTCCCTCAACTCACTGGTAGTTAGAAAGGCAAAGGCCAGGGTTGGGATTTGTGTGTGTGAGCTGGAAGCAATAAGCTTCTAACTTCTGCAGGCCAGACAGCTGGGAGAGACAGAACCATGCCTGATTCCGGTTTGAATCCAAGCCTGCGGCTATGAGAGAAGCAAGGCCCTCTTGGTGTGTTAATGCTGTGAGTTCCTCCATCATAAGCTCAGGTTGTTTATATGTGTAAATAAACCTTATATCTTAAAGACACCACAGTATCAGCTATCCCTCATTCCAAGGAAACCAAAACCTGGGTAAGCGCCTGGAACCCCTGGAATCTCACACCGCTCAGAGATTGGCGTGTATGCTTCTGGAAAGAAGTACCTGATTTCACTGTGTTGTGCCCAGACACCCATCCTTAAATAGGAAAGACATTGTCTTTTCATGGAGGACACACAGAACCAGTGGAGGCTCCAGATGAAGAGTGGGAGGTGGGTTTTGCCAGCGAGTTCTATCCACCAACAGTTTAGATCCAACCCACTGAGATCAACTTGTAAGAAAATAGCTCCAACTCTGTGACACCTCAAGTCTGCATAAGGTCTGATGCACACGCATGCATTTTCCCCACTTGGTTCAGGCTGCAGGTGAAAGCGCTTGCAAGTGCTAGCTATTTCCAACTTTTCAGCAAACAAGGAAGTCCGTAATAGCTCTGAGCTCCATGTCAGCAGAGTGCAAGAAGCTCTGAGTTGGGCTAATGTGTTTACATTGGTGTGTCAGGAAGATATCTAGTATGACATCTTAATAATTTTAAAGCTATCTAATATAGCATACCTGCGATACAACGTAGCACAGAGGTTACATAAAATTATGTAAAATTCATTATGATTCTGAACCTTGAACTGTTGCATAAAGAAATACTAGGGCAAGCAAAATTTGTCTACAATGAGAAGAAAAAGTCTCAAGTCTGCAGTTAATATTTCTCTCTCTGAAGAATTGTGTTGTATTGCTGGTTACATTAACTCAAGGCTATTACACACTGATAATATTTTCTGTGGACACAGATTGGTTTGTCAACGCTATCAAACCACTTAATATGCGTGGAGTGTATAAAGACCTCACCTATTACTTTATTAATACCCTATTGGCATTCCAAACAGAAATTCTGAGAATTCAGCAGCAAACAGAAAGGATTAACTTGATTTTCTGGAATGGTATTTTGATTCTCTTAGTGACTTGATGAATTCCCATTTGTTAGTCAATGGGGATATTGTACATATACAGAGTAGGTGAACATTCATTTTTGAACAAATGGGGATTAATTATAATGACAATAGAAAAACCCACTGCAAGCCAACGGATATTAAACACCATATAAAATAACATATCAAAAGAATATATTATGGAATACTGGGACTGACTATGTATACTTATTAAGTAGTCTCTTCAGTGCCAGCTTCTGCTTGATGATTCAAACAATAATTTCAGCTACAAGAGCATAAACACTGACTGTTACATATCTGTAATTAAAGTAGAACAGAGTATTGCCTGTGTACATGCTAAAGAGGTAGAAAACGAGGCAAAGGCAATGATGAGCACAAACTATGAGTGCTCTGCCCAAGACTTTTCAAGGATCTGCTTCTTTCTTGGTGGCATTCCCACATCACTGAACGGTCAGAGATCCACTTGGCCCCTCATTGAAAATCTGAACTGAAACCAAAAGGCTAAAATGGATTCACATGCGCATGCAATCCCAAGGAAGGAATTTCCAATAAATTTTCTATCAAAAAGATTCACCAACAGCAAAACTTTCTGCTGGTTTATCATAGAATGATAGAGTTGGAAGGGACCAGGAGGATCATCTAGTCCAAGCCCCTGCACGGCAGGAATCTTTTGCCCAACATGGGGCTCAAACTCACAACCCTGAGAATAAAATTATCATGCTCAACCTGAGCTAACCTGCAATCTTAAAAATCATACTTTTGGGGTGATCCGAGATAGCAAGAAGGACATGTTCATCTAGACTGCAGGTACAGGAAGATCCAGCTGCTAGTGCTGCTCATATCTATCATGCAAACATATGGCACTCTAAAGGACAACGACCTAAAGGTAACTTACTGTGCAATGCTAGCATAAGAAAACTAGCTCTAGCATGTGCCAACATCAGGACTCCTTCAATTAGTGCTATTAGGATGCTGAAATCTTAAGTCACAACCCCGTTACTGTTCTACAGATCCACGCCTCTTTTCACCTTATTATGTGGCTTCCAATGAAAATTCTAATGTTTTCATTCATATCGTGTCATCAATGACACGATATGTGGTATGTACATAGGGCTCTTTAGCAGTCCCGTCACTGGTGATGCTTAGCTTCAGCAAGGCTACTGCAATTGGTGCCCAGACCACAACACTTTTTTGTTTTTTAAAGAAAACTTTAAAATGGTTAAAATCACAGCAGAAAGCCTCAGATGTGATCTTTGGTACAATGCAAGATCCTGATGCTGAATGAAATAAGAGAGAAACTGTGGCACGCAAGCGCAAGTAAGAAGGTGCTTTGTTTTACAAAATGTGGTTCAGTATTAATATGATGAAAATCTTTGGAGGCCCCTGTATTTCTCCAGGTGTCTTAGGGTCCTAAAAGAGACAAAACATGCTGTGCCTGTGCCAAGATTAGAGGCCGGCACTTCAGTAGCAAGCAGTTACGTTTTCCAAAAAGTAACCTGCAACTACTAGAGCAGTGCTGGTGACTAATGCATACAATCACTCTACAAATAACACTTTAAAGTCTCTTCCTTCTATGAAAAAGAAACAAACTCCTGATGGCTCACCTCTCATTTCTTCTCTACCAAAAAGTTCTAATTCATTTTTTAATTGAGACTTTAAAGAAAAGGTGTGGCATTCAACTCAGTTTTACTTAAAGTAATCCCACTGCCATTAATGTGGCCGGGGTGGAGTATAAATAATAAAATTATTATTATTGTTAATGGACCTAACTTAGTCATGTTCAGTAATTTCTCTTATTTTATTACTTTATTTATTTATATCCCCCCCCTTTCCTCACATTGGAACTCAAGGCAGCTTACACGAATTGAAACAGCCTACACTGAGTACGGCTTAGTTGACTACCACTCAAATAATTCTGTTCAAGCAACTAAAGAAGCTGAAAGAAACCATCCAGTCCAAATTACAGGTGTCTTGAAAATATTAATTACCAAATGTTTAACGCATATGTATTCAATACTAGTCACAATTAAAAAAAAAATAGTTTGATTCATATGCAACTATGGCAACACAGTTTTTCAGTTTTGATTAATCTGATTGTCTGTCTCTTCTTTGGATAAATGTGCAAGCAGCAGCAGAGCTTATCTTAAGTCTGAAGGTGGGCTATAGAATTCTAAATGACCCGATATTATTTTATTGTAAAGTTAGTAATATGTACTCGTCTAATTTGTGTTTGATTTGTTTCATAAAAATGTGTTCCTTTATAATTATTATTTATATTCCAATTTGATATTGGGGTGGGGAGACAGCAGCTTATGCTATGCTGAACATTCAGCTGAAACGGATCTCGAGAAATGGACCTATACATGCCAAATCATATATGAGCAGAAAAGAAAGATGAATAGATAGGCTAAAACTGCTGCGGGTGTTATATACTCCCATACATTCAGGACCCAAATTACACAAAAACGTTACTCTGGATAAACGTTAAGGATAAAATTAATGTAGACTTTGGCACCCTTTTTTAAGTAAGCTGCAATCACATGTTCTGATGGACCCTGAAGGAAGCAGGAATTACTATAGCCTCACATGGAAAGAAAATAGATACTTTGGCTTCAAGAAAATGTTATCAAGAGGAAGACACATAATTCATTTTCAAATACAAACTAGGTCTGATGTTCTGTTTCCAGGTGATATCATCACATAACTGCACGAACCCCAGTTTTTTTTATTTAGAACTGGGTATAAAAAATGATATTATGTTACCAGCCAAATGTATAGGCAATATATAAAAATTTGAAGTATTTTCATGCTTTCTTATAGGAGTCTCTCAACTGATGTTTTATTCTCTTCTAAAATGTAAGTTTTAGCCGGCAGGTGTTATAAACATCTCCTCCAACTTTCTTCCAACTCCCTTCAAAAGCAACCTACAGCTACTTTATATTTTGTAATAAAAATCAAGGTATCATAAACCTCCCCCTTGGTAGATTTGCAGCAAAAAAGGAAAAAAGGGGGGGGGAGAGACATGTTCTTTTGGAGCAAAGGAAGCTTTCCCTACACCTTTTATTCCTTTTAATAAATATGCTTTACGCAATAAAATTATTCGTCAGAGAGAACTATGCTGCTCTGCCTCTTGGAAAAAGGCATTTGTCAATGAAGTTAGTTTCTTAAAACATTTGTTTTACATTTATGTATTAGACATTAGGTCACTGTGCATTAGGTTGTGGGTTCTAGCCCCACAATGGGCAAAAAGGGGATTGGACTAGATGAACCTCGTGGTCCCTTCCAACTCCACAATTCTATGATTCCATGAAATGCTACAGGCAGTCTGCAAATCAGTACAATCCAGAAGTTTGGCTTACCCTATCCACAAACTTATTTAGCGCTCACATATACCAACAACTCTCACCTTTCTTTATCAAGCTTTGAACAAGGAAGCGGTCTTCAACAGAGGTCCAAAATAAATAACAGGATGATGTGACTGCATTTAATGGATTATAAAATATCATTCCAAGTTGGCTTGGGTACTGGTTGGGCTACCTTTTTTTGAATGGTTATATGTTAATATCGTCCAACTGTTCAAAGCTAAGGTGTGTTTGCACCATACATTAAAAATGAAATCACAAAATAAAAGGATTACATTCTCAACCCAGGGAAAAGCACTAGGTCAGGACTGCAATCTCTATTAATTAGGTATCCCAGCTGGGCAGCGGGTATGCAGCTGTTAACTTGATCAATGACTTACCTAAATGTCATCTCTACTGATTCGCTTATAAATTACCAGCAAGTGAGACTAATGTACAGGTGCTAATTTATTTAAACTGTTCTCTACAGTTCTACATAGCTTTATAAACTGCATCTGGCACCTAATGTTAGCTGTCAGTTGTACTTAGACATGCCTGTCCTAACGACTCTGTTCATTAGAAATGAGCACAAATTATGAAATATTGTGAAAAATGATACATCAAATGGAATGGGCAAAGCGAATCAATTAGAGAAACTTCATACTGCATATTCACACATAGGAGAATAAAACATCCGGATTTCAGAGCACGGTCTATAATACCAATTAAAAAGCAATTGGTAGACTTCTGCAGAGTTATATATCAATTTACTGGAGTCCCCCCGCCTCTCCCCAAGACACACAGTTGTAATTTATAGCTTAACTTTTTATTTCTAAAAAATAAAACCACCAGGAAAGCACTACTCTGCGCAAAAAAAAATCTTGTGAAAGCAATGACAACCCCGTTAACATATTTCTCTGTATGACTTGTTTCAAAACACACACATCCAAAATGCCAGTAAGAAAAAGAACCCTAGGATGTCTACTTTGGAAATGCACAACACACACTGATTAACAGTAGACGACAGGAGATGCATAAGTACTCATCAGAAGGAATTATTACCATTCCAAGTGTAAAGCCTGATAATTCTGCTGCCAGTGCTAAGCGGCTTTTATATTTTTATAACAGAAATTTAATTATGCATAGCAGACACTGTTATACAGCCTAAGTATTTACAACACCTGGTGTTATTTGAACAAGCATTACAAGTACTATGCTTTGCTAAGTAAAATGTTGTTCTTTGTTGTCTTCCCTTTTTTAAAAAAAGATAACGTGTTGAACTGGTCTTATACCTGACATCTGCAAGAAGGAGAAAATGAGATTTTTCAGGATATACCTCATTTTTCTCAAGGAAAAGTTTTCTTGAGGAGGGAGTTTGCAATAAACTAGACTTGGGCCTAACTCCTAATTCACAAAGTTGTATCTAAAACCTCCTGTGTTTCTTGGCCACAAAGTTGGGGTTTGGTACAGGATCTTAAGATTACGTCATATTAGGGCTCAATATAGTTTCAGGTGACTTCCCCCCCCCCTAAAAGCATCTAATATTATTGGAAGGAACTGCTGGGGAAGAACTGGCATGTGTGAGTTTAAGAGTCTATCTAACTAGACTGTTTGGAGGCAAGCTGTGTTCTAAAACACAAGGCACTAGTAAATACATATAAAAGCAGCAGTGTGGTGGGGAGATCATTTTTTGCAGAGAAAAGAGCAAAGAGTGTCACACTCTACCCATGCCTCCTCCCTGCAAAATGAATGAATGAATGATCTCTTCCCCAAATCCTTTTTCCTTGGCCTGATTTCAAGATCAGAACTTATCCCTTACAAAGGTGGGAGGGAGAGGCAGGCAGGCAACCAAGTTAGGGGACTGAGGGAAGAAAGCAGGCAAGGAATGAGTTCAACTGCCCCATTCTTGCCCACTGCTTCGTCCCCTGTTTTTGCAAATACACAAGGGAAAGTAACACTTTCCGTTTTGATTTTTACCAGTCCCAGCATTCAGATAGGGATGCTGGCAATCACTTTGTCTGGGCTGCTGAAATTTCCCACTGCAGGATGAATTGGAGTAACTGCCCCTGGCTAGTATAAATCAAAACTTCTCCATCATACGTATTAGTTGTTATACCCTCATTTCCAGGCCAGTCTTCCTTTCTGCAGAAAGAATGTTGGAGTCATCACTGACTTGTTTGGGCTACATCACTAACACCTCCTGGCTGCTGTGGCACATGCTACCTAGGATCAGAGAGAAAAGCGCCCTGGTATGTGTTTTGAACCAGCGGCATTGTTAGGAGTAGCACAGGAGTCTTGAGTCCCAGATTTTTTGGGCTTACAGAATCACCCACCATTTTAAACTGACCAGAGCCAAATCTGTGCCATGAGCTTGTGCCCCAAATCTTAACAATCTCCCTTCAATCTCAGGGGAGGTCAACAAGCATTGAATTGGTCTGTTAGCCTTAACGAAGTTAATAAACATGAGGAAATGCAAGTAATTCAAGCTTAAAGAACTGACTTGCTTATCATAAGGCTTTTAATGCTGACACAGACTCTCTAGTTTGTGCCTTTACATCAAAGCTGCTCAGAGATCAATGCAACTCCATATAAACATGGCTTCATGCTGAGGCATGCAATGTGGAGGTCAAAACTTGAACCAGTCTAATAAATAAATTTGTACTGGGGGGTGGCATATTATAAATCTCTCCCTTTGTCCCAGTAGCACAAGAGCTTTTGGCTGTACACTGTAGAACCAACCAGCAAGGTGCATGTGCTATTCTAGAAAGAATCAGGAAAAAGGATAGGACCAAGGGGGAAGATAAGACTATTTTAAAAAACTGAAACAACAAGGAGAATTAAAATTGCCCTGCTAGATCAGAACAGTTGTGCAATATTTTGTTTTCAACCATGGCCATCTACACAGCTTGCTTTTCAACATTTGTAGGTAAGTTAGTGTGCTTCCATCTTGCTTGTCACAGCACCCAGTATTCAGACACATTCTGCTTCTTTATGTGGAAATTACATTAAACTGCAGCGGCTCACAACTACTGACATTTTGTGCCATACCATCAAAAAAATAACACAGGGTAGAATGTGGTAGGGTGGGAGAGATTAGATTGGAGGGAAGAAGGAGATATTAGTTCCAATGATTTTTTTAAATTTTATTTGATCAGCAAAGCACCTAACACAGGGGCAACCAGAAAGAATTAAAGCTCAATGTCAAATATGTACTTGAAGTCACAAATCAAAAGCGGAACAGGCATGTTTACTCTGAATAACCTCCTGTAGGTCTTGCTCCAAAATAAGCATGCAGAGTTGCAACCCAAGTGTTGGCCCTAAGTGTTGAAAAAGGTCACTTGCCAATGCTAGCTGTTATAGTATCATACATGAAACCCCAGCATAAGTCTACCCAGCAGGTCAAATTACGGGTAAATGCTTCCAAATGCTATATAAACCTTGATAGTGGTTCTTACGACCTCAGATCAAGGGGATTATCCATTAGTAGTTTTAAAAAGAACCTGCTGTGCTTTAGCAAGGTATAGTATAGAGTTCTGCAGTGTGATGTCTGACCTCGCACAGTAGTAGGGGTAGAATCTCTATTCAGAGCCACAGTTGCAATGTTTTCTATGTATAGCAGCATTCGCTTGTACGCTGACAGTTCGATTAAAATTCACGGAGAGCTGAGGGGCTCATGCTGAAGCAAAGAGCTTTCAATTCTGAAACCCTGCAGTAAATTACTTCTCCAACTGAGCAACCATACTTACATCAATATCCTCTTGGGTAAAAGTTTCTGGATCTTCTCCCATCATGTTGGCTAAATGTCTCTTTCCTATGTTGAAATCTTCAGTCTCTTTTTTGATAAAAGCTTCTGTGTACCTTTCAGGTCCTGAAGTGGCAACATTTTTCCTCTGCGCTGTTGTGGTAGTGCAGATCAGTCTTAATGTCTAGGGAAGGGAAACACAGATCACAAACCTCAAAATAAAATGGACAGCATGGATCAAGGCACAGAATATGGCCACCGTGCTGAAGCTAAGACAGTCTGGACTCCTCAGTGCCTGGTTGAGACACTACCAGGGAACTCTTTTTATGCTGCCTTTATTTCACTGACAGAAGATAGATAGGCAGGATATAACTGTAGAAAAACACATATATAGATGTGAGCTCACTTGAATTCTTGGGTAAATTATACTGTCCCAACTGCATAACCCATCTCACAGGGCTATTGCTGTGGTGCTAAAATGCATCTTAAACTCCAATACATTTTAAAATTTAATACATGTTAACATAAGACAATCCACTTAATTTTCCAGTTAAATACTACTGGAACACTTCCAGGGATCTGGCGCTTGTGATTTATATGAGTGAAATTTATTTGTTCCTTTCAAACATAAAGCTCTAAAGTAGTGGTAGGAAACTTGTGATCCTCCAGATGTTGGATTCCAATTCTCACCAGCATCAGCCAGCAGGAGAGATGATGGGACTTATAGCCCAGTAGCATCTGCAGGGCCACATCCCTATTCTAGAAGAAGAAGAAGAAGAAGAAGAAGAAGAAGAAGAAGAGCACTATTCTAGAAAAGAAGTAATGTGGCAAGATTAATTATTGCTCTGTAAATATCTGGCATCTGCTCTGTAAATAAATTCTCATTAGGGACTATTGTTTTCCAAGAAACTTGGTTTTCTGAGACAGATGTCACAATGAAGCAAGTATGGTGGTACCTTGGATTACAGACGCTTCAGGTTACAGACTCCGCTAACCCAGAAATAGTACCTCGGGTTAAGAACTTTGCTTCAGGATGAGAACAGAAATCGTGCAGCAGCAGCGCAGAGGCAGCAGGAGGCCCCATTAGCTAAAGTGGTGCTTCAGGTTAAGAACAGTTTTGGGTTAAGAATGGACCTCCAGAACGAATTAAGTACTTAACCCGAAGTACCACTGTAATAGTTTGTTTTTCAAAATGCCTGCCTTTAAACATACAAGACGTATTTTATTTACATATCCCCATCTAATATAACTAATAATCGGGTAAAGTGTTCCTATGATATTTTGGCAAGCACACAGACGAAGAAGGTGGAAGATAGGTCTAGGTCACTTATGGTAAGTGTTGGCAAAGAAAACAGGGGTGGAATGGGAAGAAGGACGAGAAAAGGAGCTGTAAAGAGAGTCTACTCCTCTAGAATTCTATGTGCCTAAACCTTCAGTAAAACAGGTTACTTAATTTTCAATATTTTCATGCACCTGATTTTTCAGAAGCGAATGAAACTCAGGACATCCAAGAGGCCAAATTTCACACACTCAAATCCAATCTGGCTCACATCCTTTTTCATGTGTTAGCTAACAGATGTAAAAAAAATAATGATAGAAATATATATTTCTTGAGTGCACTGAGAATATATTAAGGTTGCATTTCATAAGCACCTTTACTTGGAATAAGTCTCACTGAACTCAGTATAACTAATTTACAAGACTACAGTCTTAGTACCATATACTGTATTGAAAGCATGCGTGCAAACACTTATTTTTAAAGAAATTCTACACCGTTCTTGGTAAATGTTGACCAATTCTTAAAACTTCAGATTATGAGGACTCAAAGCTTTTTAGCATATTTGCCTACCATATTGACTAAGACAGCCCATTTAAAAAGCCTGGCTGACAGTTTTGGCTGAGCAATTTACTTCCTCCCTCTTAAAACCCTAGTGCGATTGCCATCAATGCCTACTAGCGAATACAATTTCTGCTCAAAACAATGGTCCAAAAGACAGTTATCTTCTGGCTTTTATGGAATCCTGTAAGATATGGCTAGACAGATTTGTTTTTCTTTTACCAAGATAATCAGTGGGTAAGACAACTGTAATTTCAATCAAGCACTCTGCCAAAGGAACAGAAGAATCACTGGCAAAGCAGTAATGGCTCAAGCTTGGCAAAGAGCCATCCTTATGCACTACTTTATTTGTCCTGTGTTCATATTAACAAAGCTTCTCAGCAGTCTAATTATTCCATAAACAGATTACTGGAGTTGTCTCCCTGGAAAGAAACAAGAAAAAGAAATGGGAGGGTGGAAAAGAAGTTGGAAGGTGAAATCTTGTAGATCTACTCAACAGTTTTGCTAGAGAGCAATTTAAGGAGTTAGCCATCTAGTAGTCAAATCTTTCAGGCTACAATGTGACACATATTCTTACTTCAGTTTGCGTTCTGTGCCTTGCATGTCTAGCTATACAGATCTACCCAAAAGAAAGTCCCAAAGATTTCAAAAGAGGGCCTATTCCCAACAAGTCACAAGCTAAAGTTTCTGACAAAGAGATGCCTTTTTTGCTGTCCAATATCTGAAGTGCTGAATTCAGATATGAAATATTTTCCATAGCCTTTCATAGAATCATAAAATTTTAAGAGTTGGGAGTGACCCTAAGGATCATCTAGTCCAATGCCCCACAACACAGGAATATGCAGCTGTCCCATACGGGCACTGAACCTGCAACCTTGGTGTTATCAGCAACACGCTCTAACCAACTGAACTATCCAGGCCTTTCAACAGCAACAAACGAAGGTCTCATGCCAAAAGAAATAAAGGGTCCTTCCTATAATTCCTTGTATTACCCCTTACCAGTAGCACTCTGTCATAAAAAGCAAGCCCCAGTTATAGAACCAATGGCATCTTGTCCTGATGCAACACAAGGGCATTTCTTTGGTGATATCCCAACCATCTTTTATGTAGTTAAATATGAGCTTTCAAGGCCTGAAAACCACTGCAGAAACAAGGACAATGATGAGTCCTAGGGAGGCAGAGCTCAGTGGCTCTTCCCACTTTCCAGGAATAGAAAATGGTACTGGGAAAAGTGATTTCTTGGCTTTTCTCTTTTAACCTGGATAGTATTTTTCATCCATGACAGATAAATACATTAGCCTGCCCAGCTACTTTTAAGTATTGTCACGTGCTCCCTAGTTCCAAGATATGAGGTGTTCAAGAGGCAGAACACCAGGGATTTGGATGAGAAGGGCACTGGAGGTTTATGGCGTATTTGTAATATTTGCATTACTTAGAAATATATAAGCAGAGCATTAGCAGGATGATCAATCTGCCTTCACAAGGCAGATTTTGCATAAACTGGGGCTCCCCCCTCCAGGTTCCACCAGCTAGAGTGAAACTGTTAGAAGCTGGTGACTAGGCAAGAGAGAGTGCTCTCTCTGTCTCTGTCACACTTGCTTTTAGACCCGACCCCTGTAGGTGAATTGTCCACACAGGGAACCACCTACACACATTATTTTTTAGTCAAACAGAAGCAAACTCAAAGAGGCTTATTTCTGAGCAGACAAGTATAGGATTTTACAGTAAGAGATGTTTACTTAATTATTTGCAGGTAATTCTGTATTAAAGCTGCAAGACACTGCAAGCATTATTTTGATCCCTAATTTACTACAATTACCGTATTTTTCGCTCCATAGGACGCACCTGACCAAAAGACGCACCAAGTTTTTAGAGCAGGAAAATAAGAAGAAAAAATCTGACTCAAATGTTGTACTAAACTATTTAAAACAGCAAAGTGGGTGGCTCCTGTCCACTTTGCTGCTTTAAAGCGAGCCACGATATATAATGAAGAGAATGGAAAAAGGACAGACATTCCATTATAATGTAGCTGTTTTCATTATCGCTGGGAAGTCAGTATTGGCAGCAGTCACAAAAATTAAAATTTGAGCATTTTACTGTTATTAATCAAGAATATTAATAGGGAGAGAAACCAGGGCTGTGCAAATGAGAAGTGCTTGGAGTATGGAGGAACAGCAAAGAGATCAAATGATTGTGCTCCAGTTCCTAAATCTCTGAAGTTTTCTCAAAACAGGCATGGTTGTTTTGAAAGGAAGATTCAAAATGGTGTGACTGAGCAAAGAACAGAGGAGGAAAAGAGGGCAGATAAATAGCTTCCATTCAATAACAAGAGAACACAATGTTTTTGGTTTGGTATAGGTGGACTGTACTTGTAAGAATTTGTATAATGAATTATAGATTTGGAGTGGAATATCAGTGCCTCTTTTCAGCAATAAAGATTAGCTGCTAGGAACATGGTCCACACACAAACACACAGGATGTCTGGTTATAGTTGTGTAGTTTAAACTGTTACTGAGCCAGATGCCTGCTCAGTTTTAGCTGAGCTCACTAATACTGGATTGTGGAAATGCTTTGCATGTATTTATGACTATTTCTGCAAAACTGCTACTTGAAGAAATCCCCAAACTTAATATTTTTAAAGTTCAAATGGAGCTCAGAATCCGGTTAGGCAATCCTTTGCAGTGGAATTAGGAGGCACTGAGAGACAGCAATTTGCTGCTCCCCACCCCCACCGAGCACCCCAGGAACACACAGCCTTCCCTCTGCTTGCAAACCTTGTCCGGGCTTCAGGGGAAAGCAGAAGCTGCCGGCAGAGCCGCTTGGCTCCTCCCCCCCACCCCCAAAGAGCACCCCAGGAGCTCACAGCCTTCCCTCTGCTTGCAAACGTTGCAGGGGCTTCAAGGGAATGCAAAGCTATAGGCAGAGCAATGTGGCTTCCCCACCCCCAAAGAGCAGCCCAGGAACGCAGGGCAAGGCGCACAGCCTTCCCTCTGCTTGCAAACCTTGTCCGGGCTTCAGGGAAAGCAAAGGCTGGAGGCAGAGCAGTCTGGCTCCTCCCCCACCCCCAACGAGCACCCCAGGAACACACAGCCTTCCCTCTGCTTGCAAACCTTGTCGGAGCTTCAGGGGAATGCAAAAGCTGCCGGCAGAGCCGCTTGGCTCCTCCCCCCCCCACCCCCAAAGAGCAGCCCAGGAGCTCACAGCCTTCCCGCTGCTTGCAAACGTTGCCGGGGCTTCAGGGGAAAGCGGAGGCTGCCGGCAGAGCACCGTGGCTCCTCCCACCACCACCAAAGAGCACCCCAGCAGCGCAGGGCAACAGCGATTTGGCTCCAGGGACCACACATTCGCTCCATAAGACGCACAGACATTTCCCCTTCCTTTATAGGAGGAAAAAAGTGCGTCCAATGGTGCGAAAAATACGGTATGTTGAAAATCAGCAGCGTAGCTGCACTTTTTTTAGACAAACCCCAAAGTTGTTGAGTTTTTTTGAGCCAAAAAACAAGATTTTTCAATTGACTCCTAAGATCCAGGACAAAGCGCTGCCTTTTGGAAATCACACCCCCCCCCCCTGGACTTTGAAATCCCGGTAATGTCCAGGAAAATCCGGACATATGGCAATCCTAGAATATATCCTATACTGGTATGATGGTAGTATTGCTGTTGCAACCTACTTTAGGTCAAGTCACAACCCGGTAGTAAGTCCTAGTCCACCAACTGAAGACCAGTGTCCCGTCTGTTCATCCTGGTAGTACAGTTTTGTATATTGCATTGTCTTGAACGTTATTATGGCCCCTAGACTTGTAAGCATCCATTCATTAATATAAGGCATAAGTTGTATTAATCAAAATTTAAGTGGGGAAGAGTCAGAGCTGAGTGGGAGAGCATCTGCTTTGCATGCATCAGTCCCTGGCATCTCCAGGTAAGGCTGGTGAAGATACCTGGAGACCCACTGCTAGAAAGCGCAGACAGACATCTTTCCGCAGGGCCTGCAAGACAGAGCTGTTCCACCAGGCCTTTGGCCAAGGCACAGTCTGACCTCCTCCTTTGGTAATCCTCACAGAACTCTAGCCCAATGGTTGCCATTAATTTGATTTTGAACTGATTTTAAAATGAATTGATTTTAGAATGCTGTGTTACTTTTATTGTTGTTAGCCGCTCTGAGCCCAGCTTTAGCTGGGGAGGATGGGATATAAATAAAATTTTATTATTTTTATTTTTATTAAATACTGAGTTAGATGGACCAATGGACTGATTCAATATAAGACAGATCCTACCAATATAAGCCTATACATATTACAAAAAACAAAAACAAAAAACAAGCGGGGGCCTTTCTGTGGTGGCACTTGAGTTTTGGAATTCCCTCTCACCCACCTGAAATGTGACAGACACCAATTTTATGTGGTTTTAGCTACCAGTTAAAATCTCATTTCTTTTGGTAGGGAGGGCTTGTGAGGAGGTGCAGACAGTATTGACTGTGGTGTTTGCAGGAACAGTTAGGTACTACAATGCTGAGAACTTTAGTGTTGGTCACGTGATACGATAGCAGCATGCAACAAGTTTCTATTTCATTAGGTGACCCTGCTCTGGGACAGAAATTAATTAAATAAAGCAAGCAAGGGGAAATACGTACTGAGTTACATTCCATTTGCCAGCTTAAGGAGTTCTTAAATGTTTAAATTCAAACCAGAACACGGCTGCAACATTTCATGTAGCAAATTGGGAGAGCCCATCCTTGCGAACTGTTACATTTCATCAATTATACTCACATTGCCCATGGCTGCTCTCCACTAGCACCTCAGCGCCCACTTGTAAGGGTGGGGGAATTTGCTGTGCAATGGCTGAACAGTAACATTTCATTTTTGCGCCATAGAACGCAACAAGAAAAATACACTGATAACAATAATGCTATTAATAATATTATCAATCCTTCTGAACATGCATTTCAAATAATATAGCTTCTTAAATCATTTTTAAGCAGAACAATTAAATTATCATTAATACGTAACTTAAAACATATAAAACTATACTGAAATGTTGGGGGACAAGAATTTCTTTGACAATACAGTAAGAACGGGGACCAAACTTAAAGAAAATTGTTTTGTCCATATCCTGTTTATTTCAATATTAAGTAATATTTTAATTTTGACATCACAGCCAATTTCCAAAGCTTATTTATTCTGTCACTAATATGAGGAGGCAATAGGTGAGTTTTCAGTTTCTGGGAAAACAACATCCTCGCTGCAATGATCATCTCTAGATTAGTTGTAGTCTAAATATTCTCTTTGGATTAAAGTGTAATTTAGTAACAATAGCAGAAGAACTCATAACATAGAAATTTACAAAATTAACATCTAACTGTTATTGTTATTGTAACTTCCTTATCCTTATTCATCACACTTAGTACAACTGAAGTTAAATACCACCTTGACATTACTTTCAAGCAGTTTTCTCTTATAGTTTGATTTAACAAAAAGAATGAGCTCTAGCAATTTCCTGATTTCCATGGGGATCCTATTTCCAGTATCCCGCACCCATTTAATCATGTAATGAGGATTCTCATTCACAATCATACCTCTGTTTCACAAAATAAATTCAAAACAATTTTTATCTTTTTTAGGACAGTATCCTCAAACTGTTAAATCTCTTAAGAACCTATTAAATATAAAATTCTTTTAAATCTCTTAAGAATCTCTTAAACGTAATGTAACAACACAGTGTATATGAAGTATTTAAACCATAATAAATTCTCAGGATGCAAATAGTTTCTAATTGTTGAGTAATTGATCATATTTCTGGTTTTTATTAATCTTTCTATCTAATTAGGTTGTTTTTCCAGCACCAAATGTCAAAGTCTGATTTAAAATCAGGTGAAATAGTGGGCTTCATTACATTCCCATATCTTTAACACAGTAGATACGGTTTTTGACGGCTGTTGTTCTACGAGTTCTATCTCCCTACTGTATTTTGTGCAACGTGATTTTAGTAAATAATGATACATGTTGTTCACTTGTGGCCTATACAAGTACAGACCCTCCTGGCTCACACCTTGGATTATCCCAAGTCCTTTTTGCATAATGATAACCAGGTTTCTTCTGTGCTGTATAGATGCCATATATTGCAGCAAAGGAAAGTTGGCTTCTAAACTTGGTCTTGGTACTTTGCGGTATGATTCTGGCTTGTCCTCTGCCTAGTGGAGCAGGTGTGCAGGTGAGCAATGGCATGACCTCCACTTGCACCTTCTGCAACCTGAAAAGCCCCCCCCCTCGATTTTTCAGTTACAAGAGACAGAAGCCTGTGTTTAGGATAGCCCCAACCAAAGAAAAATATGCCTCAATAGCTCCAATTAAATGCTTCCTCTGTCTTAGGAGCTGCCTGTCACGAAGGAAGTTCCCTCTACAACAGAGAATGGAAGCAGGAGAAGAACAGAGCTCTCAAGTGCAGTTAGCTTGTTTTGGAAATTTGCAAGGATAGGTGGTGGAGGTGGCTTTCAAAGGAGCCGGCAGATCCAGCACAAGCCCTATTATACTGGAAGGGCAGCACTCAGTCTTTTTTCAAGAGACTACTCTGTATGGTTATACTTTCTATCCTTACCTTTACACTTTGCGTATAACTACCGGAAACCCTTTTGGTTGTTTAGTTACAGCTCTTGTGTGAACCTTATTGGGGATTCCTCTCCTACAACTCTTCCCTACTTTCTTCTCAAATCAGCTTGTTGATTTAAGGATCCTATGCCCTTTTAAAATGGGGTTGGGGGGGTTGGGAGGGAGGGGTTATTGGGTTGTTGTTTTTATTTGGTTATGTTCTCGAAGCTACCACCATGTGTTTGACCAAACTGTGGCAGTGGAAGACAGAAGTGCCTGGCGTGCTCTGGTCCATGGGGTCACGAAGAGTTGGACATGACTAAACAACAACAACAACAACAACAACAACAACAACATGTATTTGGTGGTTTTATACAGTGGAACCTCGGGTTAAGTACTTAATTCGTTCTGGAGGTCCCTACTTAACCTGAAACTGTTCTTAACCTGAAGCACCACTTTAGCTAATGGGGCCTCCTGCTGCCGCCCCATGATTTCCTGAAGCACTATTTCTGGGTTAGCAGAGTCTGTAACCTGAAGCGTATGTAACCTGAGGTACCACTGTATTTTGATTTTATTCTGTGAACCGCCCTGAGACCTGCGGGTAGAGGGTGGTATAATGCATTAATTAGTTAAGTTTTTTTGAGATCTAGGGGGTGCCTGACCCTGCCAGGGAACGGTGTGGTGGCAGTTGAACTATGCAAAACTGAAACTGGCTGATGGGACAGCCCAGCTGGGAATTTATCTGTAGTTGGAAGCAAAGTATACTCAAACAGATGAGACATATTCACAAGTAGAACCACCACATTTATTATTCATTATGATTCATGATGGTTCCCCCCCCCCTTATTCTTCTTCCAATGAAATCAGAGCTAAACATGCACACACTTTTGCCCTTATACCTTAAAAACATTTGGTTTGCAGATTAGGACAGTGAAACAGTGAGCTCATTGCTAGGAAGGGATTTGAACCTGGGTCTCTCTGGTCAGAATCCAACACTCTACCCATTATACCACACTGACCCTCCTGATTTAGGACTGAGAATAGTTTTCCTGAATCCAAGTGTCACAGATAAAGCAATTTATTACTTCAGGCTACAATTCCAATTTCTTCCATTAGAGTCCAAGGCAGTCGTTGGATTATTATTATTTATTAAATACATTGTCAAAAAGAGAATGAACTTCACCCGTGTCATTTCTGCCTGTGACCCTCTAGGTAGTGTTGGGCTTCTCTCATTAGTGTGAGCTATATGGTTTAATTGCATTTCATTATTTTACATTGTTGCAATGCACAATTACAGGAATCACATCCGATAATCCTTATTGTAAAAACAGTGAAATGTATGTATCTGAAAAGTATAAATAAAATAAAATGAAGAAGTTGCTCCACAGCACAAAAAATAATAATACAGGGATCCCTTGTGATGAGGAGCAGAACACAACATTTGTAAATAAAAATACGATGGGCGTGGGAGGCGTATGGTCTTCCAGATGTGACTGCAGACCCAACTCCTATCCTAACAGCACAGGGGCCGTGTGTGTGTGTGTGTGTGTGTGAAGAATAATTTATTTGTACCCCGCCCATCTGACTGGGTGTACAGTGGTACCTCTAGTTGTGGACACGATCCGTTCCGGGGTGCCATTCGCACCCCGAAAAGTCCGCAACTAGAGTGGCGCTTCTGCGCAAGCGCGGAGCGCGATAGAGTGCTTCTGCGCATGTGCAAAGCGCGCAGAACGCTTCTGCGCATGCGACGAAATCCGACAAACACTTGCTGCGTTCGTAAGCCGAAAAGACGGAACATGAACCTAACAAAACACGAGGTATGACTGTTTTATATATGTGTGTGTGTGTGTCTGTGTATGTACACATACACAGTGTGTGTGTATAGATATATACATATTATATATACACACACACACATATAGTGTATGTATCTATATGTGTGTCTGTGTAGAGAGCGCCGTGACTTTAATGCCAAAGTACGACCGCAGGCATTTCACAGCCCTGCCACATAAACCTATTGAAAGGCATGCGAGGTGGGAAGGCAGAGAAGCGAATTGCCTCGAGTCAACTTCGGGCTACGGAGCAACGTTTTCTGAACCTTGAGGAAGGAAAGAATTTGGGGACTGAAATTACCTCACATGGGAGGTGGGATGGGAGAGAAAACACAGCGCATGCGCCGCCGAGCGCTCAGAAACCGGCAACTCTTTACGTGAGCGGCTACTCCCCTCTCTCCCCCCCCCCCGCGCTCTCTCTCTCTCTCTCTCTTCCTCCCTCCCTTCTCTCTTACCTTCGGCCCCGCCAACAGCTTCCCCGTCCTCACCGCCCCGCTCCACGCACGGCTCCCGAGCAGCACGCGCCCAACCGCCGCCACTACCATATTTGCTAAGGGAGAGGAGGGCGGGGCAGACAGAGAGAGACCCCTCCCCTATCTGCCGTATTCCGTTCAGCGGCCCTCCCACTGTCGCACACGCAGAAGCACGACGGCGGAGACGTCGCGCCTGATTGGCCGCAAAACGCGGCGAGCGGGCGGGCGGGGGGAACGTTGGAGGGAAGGAGAGAGGACGCTCCGCCCTCAGGAGGAGTCATGTGACTCTCGAGCTGTGAAGCGACAAAGCCATTCATAGTTACGTAGGATATTCAGTATTATTAAGGGACATCTATGGATAACCGACTGGATCTTCAGTAGTTCTGCAATAAAAAAAGTAGAGATGGTTGCAGGTGGCTGGTGTGTTTACCTACACACTGTGTCTTTAAAACGCATCCAAAGCACATTTTCTGCCCCCCCTTCTCAAAGATTTCTAGGTACAGTAGTTTGTTAAGTGGTGCTGCGAATTGTAATTCTATGCAGGGTGAACTTCAGCTCCCAGAATTCTTTGAGGGGGTGGGGAACGTGCTTCCAATGCTGCTTCGTGTCTTGTTATTGTTCATTTTATAAGGATACATACTCTGTAGTTTCGGGGCTGGGAAAAGTTAAATTAAGGTTGCCATCTTATTCGCACTTGCCTAGGAGTATAGGACTGAGTTAAACCTGGAAATGTGCAAGAAGGAATGCAAATTTGCGTGAACCATAAAATTTGTGCTTCTTGGGGACAGTTGGCATTCTGGGAAAACGCCCAAATGTAATGAAGTCAGCATCTTTCCCCGCTTAGTTGAAATTCTTTTTTTTTCGTGATGCAACATTGAAAAGGAAAAACAGCCACTAATAGTCACTCAACATTAATTACCAACACTGTTTCCTAACAGTCAATCCTTCGGCCCAGGGAACTCTGGGAATTGAGGCTCTGAAGTGACGAGGGAGACCATAGCAACTTTCTGCACTCTTAAAAAACTACAGGATTGTGGGGGGACACCCATGACCGTATAAAGTGGTATAATACTGCTTGTATAGTACTGCTTGTATAGTGTGTATAGTACAGTGTATAGTGTGTAAATGAATAGTGCAGATGATGTCTGTATTAAAATTCCAAAAAACAAAATCTTCAAACAATTTGCCACTGACGGTATGCTAAGCAGACCTGTATTTATCCATGTTTGCAAGACGGAACTGCAGCAAGGTGAAGAACAAATGCTTCTGGAATCCATAGTTCTGCAATGAGTGACATCCAGTATTGATTTCAGTAGATCTACTCTATATATGAATAATGTCAGATACTGCCCAAAATGTTGTGGCGACTGTTAATCAAATGCCTGATTTGACCTCCAGAAAATGGTGCAACCTGCTGGGACGTTATATGTATTTAAGTTGTTTGATTTTTAAAATAATAATTTTATTGGGCTTTAGCTGCTTTGGGAACCTGTAGGTCGAAAAGCAGCATATATTGAATAAATACAGTGGTACCTCGGGTTAAGAACTTAATTCATTCTGGAGGTCCGATCTTAACCTGAAACTGTTCTTAACCTGAGGTACCAGTTTAGCTAATGGGGCCTCCTGCTGCCGCTGCGCCGCCACCACACAATTTTTGTTCTCATCCTGAAGCAAAGTTCTTAACCCAAGGTACTATTTCTGGGTTAGCGGAGTCTGAAACCTGAAGGGTCTGTAACCTGAAGCGTCTGTAACCCGAGGTACCACTGTTAAATAATAAATCAAAGGCTCTGGCTCAGAGAGCGCATGCCTTCTAACCTACAGACAGATGGGGAAGCAGTAACATGAAATCTAAAAACCTCGCAATCAGTTGCTATCCAATCTGCAGCCAAATACCACGTCACTATTTCCAATATATTCACTCTCCCTTTTCCAGAAGATGTTGGCATCTTAACTGCATAATTGCAGCTAAATGTAGTGTACAATCTCTGTCTGGGGATATTGAGTGCAAACCTCTTTCCCGTTAGAAAGAATGGCCAGTGCATATTACATCCAGCAACGCCTCCGTCATTCCAATTGCTGTATAGGCTGCCCCTCTTGCCAGGGAAGCCAGCTGCAAATTCAAATGTGCCTGCGTTAATGGGAAAGATTTCAAACGCAGGTAGTTAGTTTAAAAACTGCCATTTCTTTTGCATGCACTGATAAAAATCAACATTTATTCAATGTGCAATTTCCTTGATTACTTTGAATATTTTTGACTTTTCAGAAATGACACCACACCTATCTGTGAGCTCTGTACACTGGTTTTGGTTTACTCAAATGCCCTTTCTACAGACCTCAATTTCAGGTTCTTCCCTACTAGGATTGCAAGCCTAGAGAGAATTAATGATCAAGAATGCAATATCTGGATCAGAGGATTTCTTTCTGTTTCAAGTGTACAGCAATTACGATTAAAAAATATGCTTGGCACAGAAAAAGAACAATGTTTTATCATTTTTGCATAAATGTAACATTACAAGAGGGATGCGGGTGGCGCTGTGGGTTAAACCACAGAGCCTAGGACTTGCCAATCAGAAGGTCAGCGGTTCGAATCCCCACAACAAAGTGAGCTCCCGTTGCTCGGTCCCTGCTCCTGCCAACCTAGCAGTTCGAAAGCACGTCAAAGTGCAAGTAGATAAATAGGTACCACTCTGGCGGGAAGGTAAACGCCGTTTCCGTGTGCCCCTCTGGTTCGCCAGAAGCGGCTTAGTCATGCTGGCCACATTACCCGGAAGCTGTCCGCTGTCTCCCTCGGCCAATAAAGCGAGATGAGCGCCGCAACCCCAGAGTCGGCCACGACTGGACCTAATGGTCAGGGGTCCCTTTACCTTTACCTAACATTACAAGCCTGTAACACTGAATAAAAGAAAACCTGCATGATGTTTAGGCTACAAAACAGCGGAGATGGGTGACCTCCAATTTGTATTGGAGGTCATAGCGTTTCTTCTCTGGATCTAATCCATGCCTGGCCCCTTCTAGAATTCTGAAGCCGCAGGTCACTGTTGATTTCAGAGTTCAGCTACCTCCTATAGTGGCGGGAGAGAAAGATCTGTGGCCCTCCAGCATCTGTGTTGGTGGATTCTTAACTGCAACTGCCAAAGCCAATGGTCAGGGATGAAGGGAGTTGTAGGAGAAGTTGTTATAGCAAAAGGTTTGGAGAAGTAAAAATAGAGTAGACTGGCCTTTGCCCCTTCTGTACCAAACAGATCCTAAGCCAAAATGATAAAACCACACAATTCTCAAATCTTTGCCTCTCCTTCTGAAAACAGTGTGATTCTGATAACGACGTTATACTGTCGTATGGATGTCCCATCTGTAACTTCGGTTCTCTGAAATCCTATGATTTCCTTTGCTGCATTCTCCTGACATTTGAATAAGGAGGGACGGAATGGTGGTTCTGGCGGGGCTATTCCTTCCACATCTCCGTCCATCGTCTCTTTGCCACTTTTCTTGATAGGCCTATTACTCTTGTCTTGATACAGGAATTTCCCCTCCAATCTTGGCAGGGCTATTTCTTCATCTTCACCTGATAATGATCTCCTTTTCCCCCGCTCACAGTGCTACAGCATTTTCCTTATAAAAAATATAACAGAGACATGTACTTTACTCCTAAATAAGAAATTGGATGATAGCAGTACTTTCTTATAGTGTCATTTCTTCCCTGGATCAAATTAGTCTTTTCTGTAATAGAGCCATGGAGGCATGTGGCGTTTCAACAGGACAGAGCCGTTAAGAACACAAGAGTCCTGCTGGATCAAACCAAAGGCTTATCTAGTCTGGCATCCTGTTTTCACAGTGGCCAACCCAAAAGCAGGATCTGAATGTGTTATGTACTGAGTTGAATAGGATCCAAAATGCAGCAGTCTGATTGGTCCTAGAACAATAGGATCCAAAATGCAGCAGTCTGATTGGTCCTAGAACAATAGGATCCAGAATGCAGCAGTCTGATTGGTTCTAGAACAATGCAGCAGTATGATTGGTCAGCAGGAGCCACCCAATCCAGCTCCAGGTGGAAGTGAATCCGCAACCTGATTGGCCTACAGGAGAATCCTGGAATTAGCCAACCACGTGCAGCCCATTGTATAAATAATGTATATAAAGCAGATATTGTGGGGGAAATTCCATTCCTCCTCACCACTATGAGCTGAATAAAGAGCATGGAATCCACTCTCGACTCCAAGTATATTTCAGAATGCAATAGCACTCTCTCTGCCCAAGTTCCCCAGCAATTGGTGTTGAGAGGCATACTGGCATAGTGCAAGCCATAGTGACTAGTAGAGTTTTATCCTCCAGGAATTTGCACTAACTCCCTTTTTAAGCTACCCGCGTTGGTGGCTAGCACTACATCACGTGGCAGCAAATTCCAAAACTTAACTACAGTGGTACCTCAGGTTACATACGCTTCAGGTTACAGACTCCGCTAACCCAGAAATAGTACCTTGGGTTAAGAACTTTGCTTCAGGATGAGAACAGAAATCATGCTCTGACAGCACAGCGGCAACAGGAGGCCCCATTAGCTCAAGTGGTGCTTCAGGTTAAGAACAGTTTCAGGTTAAGAACAGACCTCCGGAACGAATTAACTACTTAACCCGAGGTACCACTGTATATGCTATTTGAAGAAGTGCTTCTTTTTGCCAGTCCTGTTCTGAATCATTAGGAAAGGTAGATTGTGCTTTTGATTACCTTTAATAATAATAATTTTGTTATTTATACCCCGCTCATTTGACCGGTTGCTCCAGCTACTCTGGGCGGCTTCCAGCAGAATATACAGAACCACAACAGAACATCTCACATTAAAAGCTTCTCTGATACAAGGCTGCCTTCAGATGTCTATGGAAGGTTGCATAATTATTTATCCAACAGGAGGGCATTTCACAGGGCAGGTGCCACTACCGAGAAAGCCCTCTGTAACCTCACCTTTATATCACTTGGATTTTCAAGCAGCAGTTCTCAGATATAAGAGGGGAAGGAGAACTGGAAATGTAACCATGAGTCCCTGAGGAGGACTCTTCTTAAGATCCCATAGGGCTTTTAGG